GCAGGAAATGATCCGAATCTAATTAAAGAACACGGGTTACTTGGCAAAGACTCATCTCAGGTTATCTTGCCCTAAATAATCTGCAATCATATAAATATTAGCTGAAGTGCTGCTATGTTTCCTTAACTTGTAGTTAATTTTAACATTTTCATTATGTTCCACTGGTCTCTAGTGTAAATGGAAACAGCAGGTCAGTCTTGTCCAGACTGCTTATCTTATTGTTCCATGTATTTTCAGGGTCCACCAGGCCCGAGTGGTCTCCAGGGTGTTGTTGGAGCTCCTGGTCCAGCTGTGAGTATCACATCCTCTGGTCATCTGATGTCCACTTTTCCCCAGTGAGGTATTATCATGCAGTCTTAGTTCACTGGTATTATAGGATGTCATATTCAGGTATATACAGTAAAACATGAAATGAAGAGTGCAGCAAATGACTTGGTTATCACTTGGTAACCCGTGCACACTGACATTCACACCATATTCTGACCTTTATTTGGCAGATACTGAATTTTTACTTTAAAAAATCCTTTCAATAATTTAAATGCCATAAAAATGTAAAATTTTTCTAATGTTAGTCCCTGGTTGCCATGATGGGTTTTGAGTCAATACAATGAAATGGCAAAGCAAGTCTGAAATATTGACTCCATTTCAAAGCCTAATGAAGCTGTGAGGTAATGGGTAAAAGCAGGAACCAAATGCCCATTGGACAGAGATTTTTAGCTAATGGTCTCCGGATAACGAAGTGATGAAACTATGTCTGGGTCTGTAGGACTAGACCCTGTTATCCATCACTTACCAATCATGTTTTATTAATAACAATGTGAATTCTATATAGGTTTTTATTTTTACTTGTCCATTTCTGGCAGATGCTGTGATTATCAGCTAAGTAAGCTGTTACAGTGTAAAAAGGGATTGGAAAACTGGACACTTGTCTTTTAATGTTGCTTAGTTGAAGACCTCTGTTACAACAAGGTGGCCTAATTGATATATATATATAGTATTATTGGTACACAAATTTTATTTTAATCATGAATTCCTCTTAAGGAAACATATTAATATCTGGGTCATCAAAGTTGCTAACTGCTTGTCCTTTAGTAGAAAAGGGTTTTTAGCACCCAGTCATTAATTACATTATAATTATACATTTGGAATTTGTATTGATTTGCAATTCTTACACAGGATTAAACTTGTGACCTTCCATTTACAAAGTAATCTCACAAACCGCAGTGGCACCCCAACCTGCCAATCATTTCCATGTATTACCTCATATGGCATCAGACCTAACTGAAAATACTGCCTCATATGCTGTAGAGCATCCTTTACTCATCCATCTCATTAACACAACAAGAAATGTCCTGTTTCTACAGTAGCTGATGGCCTGAGGGCAGCTAACAGCTCATTGCTGTAAATTATCAGACCCTAACAACCATTCTAGCAAGAATTGAGCATCTGCAGGGCTCTGTGGGGGCTAAAATAGACCTGGTGAGACGGATTGCCGCAAGCAGGTAGCACACCCATGCTGAATAACAAATTATTTAACAGTTGTTTGTCCCGGTGAGTCAGTCTGTTCATGTGTATTCATAGCTTCATAACTGTATCCTGCATCATGCTGTGAAGTTTCAAGATTTCCTGCCCTTTTTTTTTACTCCACATCCTAATGCTGTTATCTGTTTTGACTATAGTATCTACCCCACCTCTCAGTCCAGGAAAAATGTTGGTGTTTGTAAGGAAAATGAATCATGTCCTCTTTTAGCCAAAGCTTAACAAGGTTTACAGCACCTCATGCACCACTGCTGTTGTCTTCAAGGTGCAGCTAAGGTCAAGCAGGGCAGTAGCAAACGTCATTTTCTATAAATCAAATGTGAATTTATTTAGCAGTATCTGATATTCTGTAATATACTATGTTTTTGAACTGTCACTTCGTAGGAAACTTTTCTAATGTAAATGTTTATAACATAATCTGAGGCAAACAAAAATCCAAAAATAGCCACTTAGCTTTGTTTCATTGTGTTAGGTGCACTTCAGGTGACTCATAATTTCCACCTGCCTGAGCATGTGTGTGGTGTCTCCAGGCCTAAGCATTTCATATATACACTCATAGATGCAAGTGATGGTGCAGAATCCTGTCTCATTCAGTTGCTAATTACACTTCAGATACAAACATGGCCACCAAGTAAGCATATTAAATGTTCAGAGTTGGCAAGTTTTAGTACAAGTAATTAGACGATGACCTTCAGAGATTAAAGTTCCTCAGAAAACATTGTTCTAATTAGATCAGCTGAGCACTGGGTCAGGACTTTTTAAAATGTTTATTGAAATTTTATTGAAAATAACCGTTTACAGTTCAGTTAAGGATCACATAAAAAAAAAACTGTTGACCCAAACAGCTGAGCAAGTTGTGCACAGGGTGTCACAGTGGTTGACAAAATTACACAGCATTTGAGATTGAGGACAGCCAGACACATTTCTGATTTGAGTCCGCCTGGGGAGATGTTGGAGCAGTCAGATCTGTGACTTTTGTGGTTAAAGTCTCTCTAAACTTTAGTCCACTTTGTTTCTGACACTTTAGATCAAAGCTGTTCTCATGCTACCTGTAATTACCTTCTACACTTTTGCATTCAGTGGCACCTGCCAGCATGTCCCAAGCCTCAGCAAGAGCTCCTCAAGCGCTTTCAAATGCTGACATGCATTTGAACTGAAAACTCCCAAATCTCGACTTCACTCTTCCCCTGTAGCCTCCCCTTTCTATCCTGTGGAGCCCTGTGCACCTCTGACTTCACAGTTGAAATCAGCATCTTTCACTTACACTGTTTGGCATCAGCCTATGGCTATACTGTACTGTGTTCTGCATTCCCTGATGTAGCACTTTGGTAGGATGGCTGCTATTTCCCCAGGTAGCCAAGCAGTACAGTGGATCAGTAGCTAGGAATGTTACCTACAGTAAACCTTGTCCTTGTTCCAAAAAAGGTTGTGCATTTTTCCCTGAATCCTCAAATAAGCATCTCTCACTCAGTGTGAACTACAACATGGCTTTATAAAGCATGTGGTTTCGCTATAGTTATCATTATTCATATTGATAAGAATAGGAATAAGTATAGAAAAATAGAAGAAAAGTAACAAGTTGTGCACTTATTTCATCACCAGGAAGATGGAAAGCAGCGAGGAGAGAGACATCTTTTTATGTGCACCCTCCTGTGTGAATATGTGCACCTTTGTGTTCCTGAGTGTTATGGTTCATACATTAATTGCCTATTATATGTTCTGTTTTACAAATGTAAGGACAACCAAGTTGCCTGTGTGTGCCTCACACAGAGGACGGACTGTGACACCTAAAACAAAACACTTAAAACAAGCTCCCTTGTTTTCTTTGTGACACAGTATGATCTGTAGCCTAAATGAAAGACGGTGATTTGTACACAGACTGAGTGGGGATGTTTGTTGTTCTTCTTCTGTTTTGTTTTGGCAACTGACATGATCAGGAAAGTTTGTTTTGCTGATCTTTGTGTTAAAGTGAAGTTTACTGCTCCACCACACTTCGATGGTGATGCCAAGAATTGCATGCATGCCAGTATCTTTATTAAAATGAACAAGTAATGAATCATACATCAGTAATAGGCTAATTTTACACCTCATCCATAAATAAAGATAAAGATACAGGAAAACAAATACCGGTACATAGCAAAATAACATATTGTAAATTCACAAATCATGTTTTCAGGGGAGCTCCCCTGTAGTTCACAACATGCTTTCCCTGACAGGTTCACTTTAAACTTTTATTAGCCTAATATCTAAACGATTGCAAATGTCTGGCTCTGCATTATCGCTGAGATAGACTGTTGGCCTGTCCAGGGTGGATGTGAGAAAAAGATCCAGCCCCCTTGTGACTCTGGATATTAGAGTGTAGAGGACAGACGGGTGGTTGAAACTGACATAAAATGACCTTCAGAAAGGGCATTAAGGTAACTGTCCATCCTCATCTTTGTTTGAATATGGGCATCGACCCGCACTCTACCACGTGAGCTTGGATCTACTCCATAACCTTGAAAAGAATTAAGAGTGCAAAGAAATCCCATGTGAGGAAAAGCCACATGTTGCAGATAAGAGTGTTTGTGGATTTGCATTTGCTAAAGCTCCAACTAATGGGGATCAGAATAATGATGTTTGATTGTGTGAACTTTGACCGCCCAACAGGGCAGTGATGGCGAGGCTGGACCGAGAGGACAGCAGGGTATGTTTGGCCAGAAAGGAGACGAAGGACCCAGAGGATTCCCAGGTCTACCAGGGCCGCTCGGACTGCAGGTACTGTACTTCTATGTCTGTATTTTTTTAGACACACAAACACACACATTGATTCTCTCTCTGTCATTCTCTGACCACATGACAACCAGATCACGTTGAACACAGCCTAGTAGTTATGCACATCACTTTCCCTCTGCCAGAGCCAAAGCTGAATGACTTTCTCCACACCTTGTCTACCGGCAGCATTTCATCTCTCTTTACATCATTTACATTACATCAAAACAGAGCATAATTTATTAATGGAGCCTCGGCTCCTAATAACACTTTGTGTTGCTTCTGGGCAAATAATGTTTCTTCCCTTCAAGGACTTTCTTTAGTGTGTGCAATACTGAAAATCCATCACTGTTGCTAATATTTAGCATGTGGCATTTTGCCATGGCGTTAATGGTGGAGGGGAGACTGCCATTGGTTTTTACACACACACTGCATCATTGTCATGCAGAAAACTGCTCCCCTGCAGTGCTCCCAGGCCCAATGAAGAGACCATCTGCTGCAGCAGCCCATATTTGGTCAGAGATTTAATCAATGTGTCATATAAATTACCGTTTGCAAATATGTCTCATAACAGACATATTACAACACAATACACAGTATTCATTACCTGGAGCATTTAGAGAAAAGGGACAGCTACTTTGAAGCAGGTAGGCAGTCAAGGTTTGTTCAGGAATGATTTGGATAATAGGATTGACGTCAGGTGTCAAACCTGTGACCCTCCACATATTCTGTCTAGCCACCAGTACACCCTGCACACACAAACATGGACTATGCATATTAAAGGGCTGTGCAAAAAAGGGATTTTTGAGGGCTTTTGTTCCCGTTCAATTTTCCACCTCAAAACACACATCTACTGTATCTGAACTGTGCACATGGCACTGTATAGCACAGATTTTTGGTGTTGAAATAACACATTCTTTCTTCTGCACATAAAACATTGACAGGATGTTTAAGAAAATCAACCCTTTCTCAGTTCAGTCCAGTCAGGTTCTTTCAACCTTAGTCTGATTTGATCAGCAGATAATCTTTTTGATTTTAGCAAAATTTCATTTGCTTTTCTGTATGTTCCTACTGCTCAGCTCTCTTTTCCTCAGAATTACAACAGAGTGAAAAAGGAACAAAACAGCAGAGCATCGGCTCATTTAAACCAGTGAGCTGAAGTTCAGGAAACTTGCTTTGGTGGCAATTAATAATCCAAAGACTCACTGAGGATGAAATTAGAGCGAAGCCCTGCTGGTCAATAGGGCCGGATAACCTTGTTATTAAGTGCAATTGGTTTTTAATTGGGCATAATGCACTCCATCTCCACTCTTTTAATTATGTTTGGCTAAGCTGCCCTTCAATGGATGGTAGCAGCCGCGGTGAGCTCAGCTCTTCAATGCAATTATCTGTAACCATAATGATTTTTGACTATGGGGGAAAGAATGGCTTCGGTCTGAAAGCCTTCCATCATGTGGGTCTCTGTTTGCCGTGGGTTATTGGAGTCCCTGCTGAGCAGATGAATTCTTTAGATTAAGACGTTAAGATGTGGATGCAGAGGAAAGTAAATATGAAATCTGATTACACCACACAAGTCCAAGGCTAGTGTGGATTGGAGAGAAATGCCAAGTCATAAGTAAATATTTATTGATTTGCTTTGTTATTTATGCCAAAGAGTAGCTGTGTGTGTACCAACAGTATACATATGGTTATACTGGTTTTGCTCGCAATATACTTTTTTTTTTTCAGCGTCCTCATCCATTAGTTCATATATTTTACAAACAAGCCTAACAGGCCCTGCAGTGATGAAGAGCTCATCACTTCCAGACACTATACATGAAATAAGTTGGTGATCTATTTATTTTTCTGTTGTTACTGTCGTCATGCTTTATTACTGTGACTGAAGCTGCAGTTACAAATTAGCCTTCTCTGCCATCGCAGTTACAGTAAATTAACAAAATGGACAGAAACTACACATATGTGAGCTTAGTGATCTATATCTGTGTCATTTGGGTTTTACAGTAACTAATCATGGCTGCTGCTGCCTTCCACCCACCTATTGATTATGTATGCTCCATCATCAGAGATAAACTAACACAACAAATAACTGCAATTATGTAGACAGACAATAAGCTACAATAGCCAGTGAGAGCTTCTTCATTTTTGTTGCAGATACACCTTCCCAAGTGGTATTCAAACTGTTTTAGTCAAGCATGACTGAATCCCAAAACTGGATAATACCTTCCACCTGCACTGTCCCCTTTGTTTCCACTTTCCTGTGGACATAGATGGATGGTGCTCCCACCCCGTAATTTACCCAGGCTGATTATACCCATGCCTCCCATACCCTTTAATTACAATAGGTGTCCTTTTTGACTAATTGTGTGTTTATACTCAGGGGTTCAACTTGTATTAATGCATTCTCCATCACATTGCAGTCTAAAGCCCTCTCTATTCAATACGCATCTAGAAGTACCTGTTAATGAACAGCAAAAAAGTATTTTTGCTCCTGCCGGTTCATTTTCTAAAGTGCAGTTTTGTATCAAATGTAGTCTCACATGAACTTTTTTTTTGTTGTTGTTCAGAAGAATGTTTGTCTTCTTTTCAGGGTTTGCCCGGGCCTCCTGGTGAGAAGGGAGAAAATGGAGATGTTGGACCAATGGTGAGTGTAGCTCTTGCTCTGACTTTTCTCCGTTACAGCACTTTGTATTGTTTTCACGTACAACCCAGCGAGGTGGGAAATTGTACTGATTGTTCTGGATTGTTTGGACTGGTGACTGAATTTGGCAACTCCACCGGCCACATGGCAGATGTTTTTGAAATCTGTGGAAGATGTATTGACACAAAGATCTCAGCAGGTTGAAAAGTTTGCATCCTCTGTTCCAAAGTAGTGGTTTTTCTACTACAATCTCTTAGTTTTTTTGTGAAGTTAGACTACATTAAAAGTACTCCCAGCATTTATTGATTTGCTTTGATGTTTGTGCCAAGGGCTGCTGAGGGGTCAGCTGAGCACAGACACAGAGTTTCGGGTTGTTTTCACATGCTGCAGTTATGTTTTGGATCTTGACTTTGCTACATTGAGACATATCTGAGCATTGTCTTGCCTCAGGGCTTAAAGAGTCACTGTCATGTGCTCACAAGAAACGCACTGGTCATCAGACACAGCCTAAATTTTCCATAATACAGCAAGTGTCATCAAAGTAAGAGAAATGTCTCTGAAGATAAATATGTTTACATTTCATTACATTTTTTTTTTCTGCTCATCCTTGGCCCCTATGGCTGCTGTGCAGTATATGAGAAATGACTGCAGTGGGTGTGGCATGTCTGCTGTTTGTGAAGACACATATATGAATTCTGTTTCCTATATGACTAAAAGTATTCTGTGGTGTACTTTTATACCCTTTTGATATAAAAGGCATGATTGTTTTGGCTTTGTTTTTTCACAGTGTAAGACGGAGCATGCATTTAGCTCTTAACATACAGTATAAGTAAAGCTTGTGGTGCCCTACTATGCTGAACATACGTTCTGTTTTTGCTAACAGGGTCCACCTGGTCCTCCTGGCCCCCGAGGTCCTCAAGGTCCCAGCGGAGCCAGCGTAAGTTTGTCTTTTCTTTTTGACAAGGCTTCTGTCACCAGCATTATGTCAGTGCTCATGTTTTGTCAGTTTCTTTGGCTGATGTCACTGCGACTGATCCGCAGGGTGCACAAGGTCCTACCGGTGGTATTGGTGCAATGGGAGGTGTTGGTGAGAAGGTAAGAACCTAACATGTTTTGCCTTGAAATAAAGAATTCTGCACAGTGTTTGTGCTTTTGAAAGAAACTGCCATTTTTAATACTGTACCATACTTTAAAAAGGTTATTGTGTTAGAAGGAAGGTACCAAATAAAAGCACCGAGTGGGCAGCCAGTACACAAGTTGGTCAGCTGATAACACTATGTAGGCTGCAGCTGTGATAATCCACATTTTCACTGTGCTATAACAGGGAGAAACCGGGGAGGCTGGCAACCCAGGATCACCTGGAGAGCCTGGCATCGCGGTAAGTACGATATCATACTACAGTACTGCTGTCTTCATCTCTGATATCAAAAACAAATGAAGTGACCATTCACACATGTAAACAGTATCAATCCCGTAACGGTAAACAATCCAGCAGTGTATCCTCTCTACCTATATGTTATTGCAACTATCTAAGTAATTTGCCTATGAATATGTGATAGTGCAGCAAATGTTTTTATTTGACACTTTAGCTGTGGGGGCTGTTCTGCCTCTGAGTATTTCACCTCCAATTACTGTAGGCTGATGAGCAGAAATGCTAAGGGCATGAGGGCTTTTCAGTACAAGTACTGTAGCTCAGCCACATTTGGTTAACACCACTGTTGGTGCTGTCAAACCTGTATTAATGGCGAAAGTCAGAGCATCCCAGGAATTATGTTGTGGCATCTCAACACTGCACTGTGTGTTTGCAGTAACATTCTGTTGTTTGATGTGGCCAGATTTGTGTTTAATAACATGACATTCACTTACTCATACCGCATTTTACATTAATTTGCATAGGCATCGACTGCATCAGTACACGTACAGTAACGTGCATGAAATCTATTTGAAGATGCAGCAGACTGTCTTTTCCTTCAGAAGTGCCTCTGCTTTTTACTTTCCCTCAGTGGTACAGTATAATTCAGGGTAACGTATTCACATTAGGCATCTTGATGATGTATATCTCAGATCGGAACAGTGCCATTGATCCATGCTGAGCAGCAGACATTTGTTGTGTAGACCAGAGAGGCCTCGCCTTAGTTATCGGTATGGGCCAGTCACCCTCCTAAGTCCATCAGGTTATATTGACGTGTCTGTCTGCTGCTGTGTATTTGTTTACAGAGGAAGACAGAGCCAGTTTTTCATGTCTCATTGAGGTCAGTTTGGTGCCCCGCTGGCATCCAATAGAGAGGCACTTGGCTTTAATGGGCCAGCTAATGATTCTAGGCTTGTAATTATGTTTTAGCTGTCTCTTTAAGTCATAACCAACACTTTAAAAGGTTGTATCTGCTAGTAGTGGAGCAAAAATTAATATATTTATTTAGTGCAATTATTTTGTGAATGAATTTTTTTAAATATGAGACTCCACAGCAAATGATCTTAAAGCTTCATTTTAGTTTGATTTTTAAGTGCTTGAAGCCATACTTTTGGTTCACAGAGTCAGCTTGGTGCATATTTTGATGCCAGTTGGAGTGACAGATTTGGAAACACTTTTGTCTTGTGTCTTATTTAGCCTTCTGTTGTCCAAGTGCTGTGCTTGGCTTTCACATGGTCCTGATGGTGACAAGCCTGTAATGCATTTTCCCTCAGGGCCCCAGAGGAGAGACTGGTGAGAAGGGAGAAACTGGCCCACCAGGAGCTGCTGGACCCGCCGGTGCCCGTGGACCCCCTGGAGATGATGGCCCCAAGGGTAACCCTGTATGTCAGCTCCACTGACACACACAGCCATGACGGATGCATTATTAGAGCTGTCAGCGGGAGCATCACTGTGTCATATCTCTCAGTGGAGCTGTCGGCTGCCAGAGCTGTTGTTGACACGATGTCAAATATTCGAGTCAAGCTCGGTCTTCTCAATGTCTCAATCTGTCTGCAGGGCCCTGTTGGGTTCCCAGGAGACCCCGGTCCCCCTGGTGAGCCTGGTGCTGCTGTAAGTGCTACATTTATCCCTCAGTCAGTCTAATGTTGTGGTTTGTTTTATTATATCATTCACTGAATTAATTATGGTTGTGTATCATTAACTAGGAGCAACTGCTGCTAATAGTAGAAGTGAAGTTAAAAGCAAATGGAAAAATTTTCTTGTTGTTTTTAGGAGGATTTTATTGTGTGCATTTTGCTTTTTTTGTAAAAAAAAAATCTGAATTGAATTGAGCTTAGTTAAATGTTTGATTTCTGTGTTTTGTTTAGGGTCTTGATGGTTTAGCAGGTGACAAAGGAGATGATGGCGAGGCCGGTCAACCTGTAAGTCTTGCATGATATGAAACTGTATAAAAACATTCCAAATAAACAAATTAAAAATATCAGCTAGTCATATTCTGATACTAAAAACAATTTCCCATGTACACAGGGGATGTACAGCAGGAGAGCTGCTTCAGTGTTTTATGTGACTAGACATTTTCAGTAAATCTTTTTTTTTTTTTTACAATCGCTTTGGCACAATGGTCATCACTCGTAACGCAGGCTGTCCAACATTCAGAACATTACATTTTGCATTCATACTGTAGTTTTAGGGAAACACTGCACTTACAGAATCATGGAGACATTTCTTTAGATTACCCCCACACAAGATAGCAGTAGTTTCACTGTTTAGTTTTGCATATACCCATTGAATATTGTAGTACAGAATATGTGATACGTTTCATCTTGGTGCTACAGGTAATGTCACTGTAAAAGGACCAGTAGAGAGAATACTACAGACGCGGTGGAATCAATCTGAAAATGTACTAATGTAATACGCTCTGCAAATCACAACATAGCTTCACTTTCAATTGATGCAACAATTAGCTACAACAAACAAAGAACCAGAGTAGTACCTAAAACAAATTCAGGCCGCGGTGTTCCTCACCTGCCTTACAAAAAGCAAAACAAAGGTCTCACTTATTCTCATTAACCCTGTCATGTGGATTTGGGGTCACTTGTTGTTGTTGGTGTCAGGGGATCTTGTTATCCTGAAACCTTCATGATGTGAACAGGGGATATTATTGTTCCCCAGTTCCTATAAAACTATGCTTTAAGAGGAATGCAACAGTCATTTTGAGCTGTTGTATCAATTGATAGATCACTGTAATAAAATGACCAGGCAGTCGTCACAAATGCAGTGTGTGAATTGAATTTTGAAATGGTAATACTTTGTTGTTAAGCTGCCATTTTGAACTGGTGATTTCAGTTCAATCAACAAGTGATCTTTGGTTTATATGTATTGTCTCCAAGCACCTGCAAAAAGTGTTAGAGCTTTGAAAAATATGTATTTTGATCACCGGTTGGGGGCTCTGTGTGTAGAGTTTTAAAAAATGACATTAAGGTTTTGAAACTAGTGCCAAAGTGATTGTAAAAAAAACTGTATTAACATTCAAAATTGAGAAAATAAAAGTATAATGCTTACAGTGGAGCAAATGTAGCTATGATCTGGTGATGGGTTCAGAAGGAGAACAAAAATCCTTGTTGAGGGTTCACATCCTTTTTGTGAGAATGGAATTCACTTTTTTACAAATGTAGGACGATCTCATTATCTCTCACAATTCTTCAGTTTTGGTGAAATGGAGCTGAGTGTTCTATTTACTCTACTTTAGGGCCCTCCAGGTCCATCTGGTGAGGCTGGAGTACCAGGGCCTCCTGGCAAAAGGGTGAGTACATTTCCAAAATGATGAGATGATACTTCTCCTCAGCTCTTCTATTTTTAGTCACAGTGCTCTTACAGGCTCCCAGCAATTACACACTGGAGGGAGACACGCTTTTATGTTATGTGTAGAATTTGAATTAATCTACATGTGTTTGACAGGAAATTATGTTCATTAGTAAAACCAAGTGTCTGGAGATCATCCCGTGAGAGACTGTTGACATATTGTGAGTTTGACTGGCAGTAACGTAAAGGCAGGAAAACTGTTGCTGCTGCTAATGTCAGGAAATTAACTTGTCACTTTAATGTCTGGCACTGGATGGCTTTTCTGTCACATCAGGCTTGAGCTGATATTATTTCATTTTAGTAGCACAGAATTTATTATGATGCCTTACATTTACTGTAATAATGCTTTACAGTTGGCAATAAGGCTGGCCAATTAATGTGCTGTATGAGAGGGTGGGACAGTGTGACGGTGGACAACAGACACATTGATATTCACAATAAATTAAGACATATAATATGGCGCTTGCATTTCATGAAAATATGAGAATGATAAACAATGACTTTCAGCTTGGGATCATTAATAAGCAAATATACTAGTACTTCACCTGGGTATTTCCATTATATGGCACTTCATACTTCTAATACACTATACATCCCAGATGGAAATATTGTATTTTTACTTCACTGAATCCCTAAATTTTGAGGAAAAACTTTGCACAATTCTATGTTTGCAAGGACACCGGGCCAAAAGGTGCTTTGTGTCTGTGTTTCTGATCAACTCCTGATGCATTAGTAAACCTACTGATTGGTCCAGTGCCCAAATCTGTATTGGTGGCAAAACCAAAGACCCATAGAATGGGAACTAAACTAAACCACATAACTGTGAAGCTACAACTAGTTTCACCTCAAAAGATACAACAGCAAAATACTACAATGCATTGGTCATTAATTTTATTACATTTTTAAAATTGATAACACACAATTTTGGCAACAGGGCTCATTATCTCAAAACACCTAACACAGTTCACAGAACCATACACCCCAATTAGAAAAAGCCTACAAAGCTACAAAAAAAACCTGATCAGAATCAAAGTTTTGCACCACATGCCACACGTCTTTCACATTAACTGACTAATTTCCAAGAAACTACACACTGCTGTGCTAAATTCATAACATAATTATCTTTTGTGGGCTTTTACTATAAGAGGGTTTTGCAGAGAAAGATCATTCAAGTTCACAGAAATTAGCAGAAAGTTCTACTGCAAAAACAACAAATTAGTGCTGTGTATAGCACAATGGATGTTAAAGTTGTGCAAACACAAGAGCTGCATCATGCTGCCTAGCTCAGTCTGGCCACAACACCTCATCGACATCACAACCGACGTTCTCCATAGATAAACCTGAGGGAGGAAACGTCTTGAGGGTCATATCCAGGTCTGTACAGCCCCTAGCTCTTCCTCCTCCCTCTGTTTTGACTCCACCCACTAGTTCACCGCCCAGTATTGTTGCAAACAGGTACTCAACTGTGGTCTTTTTTTTTCCTGATTAATGACCCAACAGTTAAGCATTTAGGTGTTTGGCCATTAGAATTTTTGTAAATGGTTCAGTTGTAATTGGAGTGTGGTGTTTGTTTGAATGCCAGCATTTGAAATGGCAAACAGGTGATTGTGTGGCAGATTTATGTAACTTATGAACTGTGTGTACTGTGTTAAATTGGATGCAAAGTACAAAATACAGTATGTTTAGAGTTTTGAGCATTGAGCTGTTTTTTGCTCCGAGTGTGTGTTGTTAACTGTGCCAACTGTGTCTTTTTGGTGTGTTAGCAACTGAAAAAACTGTCATCTAATAATGTTATATGTAATAATATGGTATACACTAACATTGTATTTTTTTGCTGAGAAAGTAGTTGTATTTGTGACGCTGAGTATACTTTTCTTAGACCACTTTTTTGTGCTTTTGTTAGATTTTCAATACAAGGCTTTTGTGATACAGTGGAGTACTTCTTAATTGTTGTATTGGTACTTAAGTAGAGGATCTGAGTACTTCTTTCACCACTGTGAATAAGGAATCAGGCGCAAGGTCCATGTGCTGAATTAATCTTCCTTAGTTTTCCTCACCACAGAGATTTCAGAATGTGATTATAGTCTTCGGTGGCTGAAACACATTCATTTCTTCAGGTTATCATGACCTCGCCGCTTATGTGAAGATAGAGTGCTGCTGTTTGTCAGACAGAAGATGTTCACTGGGTAGATACTGAAACATTATTTGAGATCAAGTGTCCAAAAAGCATATATGCATCAGGCACTCTCATTTGTTTTCTGTGCAATTTTGTGGCTTGAATTAAAATACAGCCTCAAACAGTTGTTCATGCATTTTAAAAACGGTTCTCTGGTAAAGGCTTTTATTGTCCCTGGATTTATATTCCAAGGGGAAGCATCCAGGTGACACCGACTACAGAACAAATTAGACCCCGGGTCCACGTCCATATTAATGTACTTTGAGATATGATGTTTCATCCTTCACCAAGATAATTCTGGTTTAGACTCGCCCAATATCACTTTGAAATTGATTGTTTGGTGCTCGCTGGTGCGTGTATCTTCACACACGCATGCCTGCATAATCAACAGTCACTAATGCACACACACAGTTGCCAGGGTTCATAACCTACATTGAAGACCGGTGACTTTTGTTTGCTTTATACGATTATGGCTTCTAATAGAAAATGACGGCCCACTTACAAGGGTTTGACCAGAGGCTGTTTAGTGAAAATGCTGATGTGCTTTTAACTCTGTATGTTTAGAATGTAGGGCAATTTGCTTGCACTGTTTGCCTGACCCTGCATAACCCTCTCTCTTTAAAAAATATTCAAGGTCAGGGCATGTTCAGTGGAACAATTAGTATGTATATGAAACTACGGCTTGTCAGAAAATGTTAAATAATTTCCCTTTCAATAATAATTACCTACTTTGTGGCCTTTTGAATAGGTGTCTGTAAACGGTTTTGATGTATAGTGAATTCATTACTTTGTTAATTACAGTCATATGTTTGCATATTTGAAGTATTCATGTGCACAGTTATAATTGTATTTTATTGCCGTTTGTCTCAGGGATCGATTGGAGCAGCAGGCCCCGAGGGCAAACAAGGAGAAAAGGGATCAAAGGTAAGTTGCCAGCAACCTACTATCAAATTCAGCATGACTTTTACGATCAACTGTTGGAGTTGAATATCTGAATTCATTGTTGGTTAAATGTACAGAAACAATGAAAAGCCTCAAGGACTTTTGAATTGTGAATTATCACAAGTTTTCAGAAGTTTGAACACCACTGAATTTACTTCAGTCTGGAGATATTCAGCTCGAATTCTACTATTGAAACTTCCAAATGTCCCTAAAGCAACATCTGTTTAGGTTCAAGTGGCACAGCCCTAGCACATGGAGTAATTATGATGGGAGTAACGGAGGATATAATTAAGAGTCAGTGCAGAGAGGAAGTCAGACTGGGTGCATGTATCGCCAAAACATCAGATGGGAGATGGCTTTTTTTAATTTTAGCGTTCTTTTAAAACATAACCATGATCGTTCCCTAATCTTAACCAAGTCTCTAAGCATAACCTAATCTAAACCATATAGTGTTGTCACCTCATAAAACTACATAAAAATGCTTTTCATCAGTGACCTGGCATGGTTATAAAAGGCACCGACAAATGCAGTCATTTTGATTTGAATGTCAGATGAGAAAGCACTTTGTTCTAGAGGACGTGAACAAATGAAAGTTTATTTGATTTGGAGGAACTGGGGGCAATTTCAAGTTGTATAATTTCAAAAACTTAATTTTAAGGTTTTGTTTGTTTTGTGATTTTCAGATATATATAAAAAAATTAGGTTCAATCAAAATATTAATTTGCTCAAACTGGAGATGAGAAATTCAGACACCATGATGAAAAACTTACTCGTGCAGATCTGGGTTACCAAGGATGAGCAATGATGGCCGTCTTTGATCAGCTCTCCGCCCTGTCAGGTTACTTTTTGTCCATCATTTGATCAAAGTTTGGACTTCAAACAAAATAAATTCAGATAGTGAGTTATAAAGTGGAAGGGAATGTGTAATTTACTAATCATTTTTATGAAATTTACTGGAAGAACTATGTACTTTAGTACTAATATACGGATATAAGGATATAATGTTTAATTGGGACATGTCTAGTTAACAAATGAATTCTTATATTAAGTATCAATGGAGATTTTTCTTCAATGGCATTGATATTTTACTGATAATTAGTATTAAATGGATATATATATAGTGAATTAAGGAAATTTGTGTAAAGTGCAGTAGAATATTTAATTGCTATAAATTAATTGGTATTTGCAGTACACTTCAAAAGTAACTGACTTAAATGATAGATGTCTCACAGATGATCTAAAGGACAAAGTAACACCCATTCGACACCTTCTGCTAGTAGGCTGTGCAGGTGTACGTTGCCATGCTCCTCTGTATTTGCAAAAATGGGTTCATTAATCTCGGAGAAGAAGCAATGGACTTTGTTGAGATTATCAGCACATTTTATTGCTTTGTTAAAATCTGTAACATGCTAGTAATTGCACAGAACATTGAAGAAGAACATCAAACAGGAATGGTCTTTGGAAGCCTTAAAGAAATTGTTTGTCTTCACATCAGACGATTCACAGAAAACCCAATGAATCATAGCTCTGCTCTCTCTTTTGTTCTCTCCCCTTCACCATCATTTATTTCTCTTCTACACATGCACACACTGTCGGGCAGACACACACATACATCCACACTGAGGTTAAGGATTAGAGTTGATTTGATGGAGACAAGATAAAGCCCGCGTGGTGATCTCAGAGTGTCAAATCCAGGCCTAATTGGTTGTCAGAACAATTTAATCCCCTCCTCCTACCATCCTAGGCGATATGACATCTCTGAAACTTCAATACATAAAAACCCGCTGGTAATGTTTGATCTGTTTGGATGTAGCAAATCCTCGAATCCTTCCAATCTGAAGTTTTGTGGAAGGAAAACACTACAGAATATTGAACAGTATGACTTCCAGATAGGGGATTGCTTTATTTATGAAGTCGGATGAAATTGTTTTTGTCATTGTTGTCAGACAGATTTGACTTTTATCCTAACATACACTGTACGGTGCAGGGATATTAGGACTTTGCCAGCAATGCAAAGTTAGTGTATGAAGCGGTGGGAAGTTTTTCACCATTAGCAGTGCTGTGGGTTTTGTTTGCATCTAATGGAAGGTGATGTATATATGCACAGTATCAGAAAATCGGCTTTTCAAGTGATTTTTGAGGAAGATGTTTGTTAGGCCTCAAGAATGCACACTGTGTTTTAAGTGCCCAGAAGGTTACGAGTTCTATAGACAGCGAAAAGGGAGTACATGTGATTTTGCACTAATATTCTATTTTCGTAGGGAGAAGCTGGAGCTGAGGGGCCTGTTGGGAAAACAGGACCTGTGGGACCCCAGGGTCCTGCTGGAAAGCCTGGGCCTGAGGGTCTGCGTGGAATCCCTGGTCCTGTTGTAAGTTTTTTTGTGTTAAAAAAAAAACAACAGATAATGCAGGTTTGACTTTAATGACAATAAAATTTCCAGTGAGGAATAAATTATATTATTGAAAAAGTGCCATTAGTTGAGCCACAGCATATCTGTGTTAAAACTATTCTACTACTATACATACTTTTTAAACATGATGTTTCTTTGAGTTCAGAATGCCTAAAACCTAGTATTAATGCTCATGTTACTAACCAAACACTGATTATTTTTTCCTTATTTTCAGGGTGAGCAAGGACTCCCCGGTGCTGCTGGTCAAGATGGCCCCCCTGGACCTCTTGTAAGACATTTCCTTCTCCCTTCCTACTAAAAATCTGTCAAATCTGCAGCATTAGCTCACTGCACAGATGCAGTTCTGTGAAGTAGGAGTCAAAAATGTCCTGAATATATGATACTGCAGCACTGCCTGGCCTCCCCTTATTAGAAAAGTCTCTATGTTGGATGCTTTTTAGCCATCAGGTGCCTTATGAATTAATCATCTGAGGGGGGGTTACTGTTATCCAGCAGCTGGTTCAGTACCTCTACAACACTAATACTGAATAGTCAAACTTAATGCAGAGTTCTGTGCTGGTTGTCACTGTAAAATAATGTGAATTCATTTCACTTTCAGTTATTCTTGACAGACTGATTTTCCCCCTCCATAGGGCCCCCCTGGACTTCCTGGTATGAAAGGTGACTCTGGATCCAAGGGAGAGAAGGCAAGGCATTATTACGATGCTAATCTCAAATTGCTTTACTGTGTATTTCTCATATCTGCTTATGCGCCTTATCTGAAGCTTCCCAAGTAAGCCAACATCTGGGTCTGCTGCCTCCATCTCTTTGTTCACTCTCTCCCAGTGAGATGAAGAAAGGTTCTGCACAGTGAAGAGTTTTCACACAGTGACTTAATGCAATGAATGAATATGTATAAGTTCAATAATATCATCTTTGTAATGGCTGTTGTTTTGAAGCCAGAAGCAGATGGCCATAACTTTGCCCAGCAGCAGGTGCCAGACAGGCCACCATTGTTAAATATGATGACCAGTATAAGCACACTAATTATTTATAGCCAGAAATAAGACGGTGCTGAGGTGATGTGGCCAGGCATTGTACATAAATTTGCAGGGCAATTAACATACATTTGTTTCATTTTGAAAATGGCCTTTATTTTCGGCTGGTAATGAAGGAACAGAAACTTTAGTAAATACTTTGGATACAGTTGGATAATGGCTACTGTTGTTTTGGCTTCTGAATTCATTTCCATGCTTTTGTGTGTCAATTTTTGTGTCTGTATTTCCTTCTATTCCTGCTCCAGGGTCATCCAGGTCTAATTGGTCTGATTGGACCCCCTGGTGAACCAGGAGAAAAGGGAGACAGAGGTCTGCCTGGGCCTCAGGGTTCTGCAGGTTCCAAAGGAGATTCTGTAAGTCTGTCTGTGGGAGCATACAGTGTTTTAAGTTCATAGTCTGCCTGGCACAGGTGTTCCACTAGGGGTGTAAAGTTAGAGAGGTTAGAGTCCCACCTATTAGTGCTGATCTGGATCATCATCCAGATCCAGCAAGTTTTTAAAGGACTCTCCACCCTTGTGAGACAGGGCCACTTTCAATATTTTAGCTTCTAACTGTACAAATCTATCAAATACAATATATTCAGTGAGGCCTCCATTTACTATTCTTATTAATGTCATCTCTCATCTCTTATAAGGGTTTTGGTGGGCCCCAGGGTCCTCTTGGACCTCCTGGTCCTCCTGGTATTTCTGTAAGTTCCACTTCTCAGTCCAATGTATTTTTGCACTCTTTTACATCCTGGTTGTTGTTCATCTAATAATCTTGCTTTGCCAACAAACAGGGCCCTCAAGGACAAAAGGGATCCAAGGGATCGACTGTAAGATATGTTTTCATTGTTCTCAGTGTTTTGATACTCGTTCGCCTGTCAGTATTTGCTTGATAAGAATGGGTTCCTTATATCTTTGTCAGGGTTCAGCTGGTCAGAAGGGAGATCCTGGACTGATTGGACCACCTGGACCGCCTGTACGTTACCTGCTCATTGTTATTACGTTTAGATATTTGCCATAAGAACTCTCTAAGCCAAATAGAAACTTAATAGACACTTTTTAGAAATAATCGTCTACCTTTAACCTCTGTGCTTCAGGGTCCACCAGGTGACATGATCCAGCCGCTGCCCATTCAGCTGCCTGGAAAGACCAGGCGGCACGCCGAGATGCAGGGAGATGAGGCACTGGCAGACTACGGTGGCGAGGAAATGGAGGACGTCTTTGGATCCCTCTACAACCTCAAACAAGACATTGAGCGCATGAAGTTCCCTATGGGTACCCAGGACAATCCTGCCAGGACCTGCAATGACCTGCGCCTCAGCCAGCCTGACTTCCCAGATGGTATGACGGAGGCACTCTATTAGCTTACTGTAGTTTTACCAGTGAGACAGAGTTCATCAACAGTAGATGTTGTTCACATTGTGATGGTGAAAAGCTGTAAAAATACAGGTCAGGAGTCACATCATTTGTTCTGTTCTTTGTATGTAGGAGCCAAAGCATGATTTCCACCTCATTTACAAGGGTGTAATTTCCCCCACTGCATTTATAGTTTGATTTACTCACAAAGATTTCCACAAACGGTGTCCTCTTATTGTCCAACTGCCAAAAACTGGAGAGAGAGATTGATATACTCATCTGTGTCACCTTGAGTTACCATGATCTCACAGCACCTGGGGTTATAGCCCAAGAAAAATGAATTTCCACTAATGTTTATGCCCTGGGTTTTGACTCTCAGGCTACGTACAGGATGCCCTGTCTAATTTCTGGAAGTTGTTTGGGATGTGTGTGCCCTGAAAGGAAGACTCCAGTTAAAATGCAGATAAGGCCGTGAAAGGCAGCGTTCTTTGAATTTAAAGTGAAAAAAGTGTTTTAAAGTGCCAAGTTCCTCTCTGAGAAATTACATATGATTTTGTGATTCCCTTCACAATATGCTAGAGCAAAAGTTCAAGGACATCACTGAACATCTTGCTTTGTGCTCCCAACAGTCCAAATCCTGAAAAGATCCAGTCCACTAAGAAGCCAGTTTTCACATTATGAAAACCCAGAACCAACAAATGGAGTTAAATAGTGTAATTAATTGGTTATCAAAATAATTTCTGATTATTTTTTCAAGCAAAGCTACACCCATGGTAGGAAAACCAACAGTTTTATCCTCCCTGTAGACTCCCAAGTGAAAACCTGATATTCACAATGGACCAGTCTTGTCCAGGATGATGTGAACATTAAATATCAGCAGAACTGTGAACTTTGGAGAGGACCAAAGCTGTCTGTCTCATTATGTTTCTCTCACAGGTGAATACTGGATTGATCCAAACCAGGGCTGCATAGGAGACTCCTTCAAAGTGTACTGTAACTTCACAGCAGGTGGAGAAACGTGCATCTACCCAGATAAGAAATCCACAGGGGTAAGTAATAGGCAATGGTAACATGTAATTTAAAGCAGTATCAGACTTGAATCAAATGGACTTTATCCTCTGATTCAGGGTTGTACACTAAGAGTAGAACAACACATGGAGGAGCTCTTTGCGTGCATTTTTAAAATAATAATTGACCTGATTTCTTTTTTTGTTTGCCTCTTTTTGTAGGTTAGAATATCCAACTGGCCCAAGGAGTCTCCAGGTTCATGGTTCAGTGAGTTTAAACGTGGCAAAATTGTGAGTCATCCCACACAGATTCTTTTCTTTTTTATTACTGCTGCTTTATCACTTTGTCTCATTTACAGTAACCTTCCCACCAGTCACTGTTCTCTACCCTGATTTCCTCTGTCATACATCTTCCTCCCTTACCCTTTTTGCCATTCTTTTCCCTGACGTCTTCTTTCCTTCACTCCAACCTTCATTTCAAACATTCATCACCCCTCTTCACTTCATCCATACATGTTCTTTCTTTACCTCCTTGTTCCTCTTCTATCCATCCCCAGTTGAACTATGTTGACGTGGCAGAAAACACCATCAACTCAGTGCAGATGACCTTCCTGAAGCTGCTGAGCTCCTCAGCGCGGCAGAACTTCACCTACATTTGCCATCAGTCTGTCGCCTGGTACGATACCAAGGCTGACAACTATGACAAGGCGCTGCGCTTCCTGGGCTCCAACGATGAGGAGATGTCTTACGACAATAATCTGTTCATCAAGCCGCTGATGGACGGCTGCTCGGTAAACACTCTTTTTCTAACTTTGAGTTAGCAATTAAAGTTTTTTCTAAATCCCTTGAAATCCTGTTAATCCCTTGAAAAAGTGCACAACTTACAGGTATGACTGTTGTCAAACAATAATAATATTATGGTTACAGACCAGAAGAGTCGAGGGATCAAAAGTAGAATTTTATTTTGCTTTAGAAAGCATAGACAGTTTTCAAGCTGATGATTAGTGAGTGGGTCAGTCTGCTTTTGTTACTAATCAGTACATTTTTGGTCAGACAAACCAGGCTTTACCTTTGTCTTTGGGAAAGTGTGATGGGCAGTTTTTACTGTGTTACCACATTTTAAGGATGAAATGGTTAAATAATTAATCTAGAAAATAACCAGGTCATTTATTAATGGAAATAGTTTCAGGTCCAGTGGAAATATAGTGAAGGTTTTGTTAATTTAATAGCAGTTAGGATTTTTTCTTGTACTTACACAACAGATGAAGAGAGGTCTTATTTTATATTACTTTAACTAATTAATTGTGTAGTCTGTGAAATATTTAAAAACAGTGGAATAACTAATTAATTGTTTGGTCTGTGAAATATTTAAAAACAGTGGAAAATTGTTCCAGGCCTGAGATGATGTGTTCAAATTGTTCATTTGTTTGATCAACTTCCCTCTTAAAGTTCAAAGTATCAAAGAACCGTACTTAGCTCACATTACTGAGTACCCATCCTCCCGTTTGCCCCATGTGTGTGCAGATGAAGCAGGGCTATTCAAAGACAGTGCTGGAGATCAACACACCCTGCACTGACCAGCTGCCCATCATTGACGTCATGCTGAATGACTTCGGGGACTCCAACCAGAGGTTTGGCTTCGAGGTCGGCCCCGTCTGTTTCCTCGGCTAGACACGCCCCCACTTCCCGCTGAAGGACAGGGTCAGAGGGTACATATTATCACCCACATGTTGAGATCCGACAACCTTTACCTTCTCTCCCCGCGAAGCAAAAACCCGTGTTTTTTTTTTGTTGCCAAGAAGATCCACTCAAGCCCGGAGAAGAAGAGTTGCCCCTGAGACCTGTCACTGAAAGCGCCGACCAGGGGAAACTACTCCTCGCCCTTGTAGGGCCAGAATCACATGACTTTAACTTAGTAATGAGAGTGACATCAGGAAAAGGACGTTTGATGCCGTGGTAGACAGTGGCACACTTTCAGCAACAGAGAGGATCCACTCAGCCCAACCCCCACCCACCCTTGTCCTCCCCTTCCCACCACACCTCCCTCTCTGGATGCTCCAGGTGCTGCTCTGAACACAACCACAGAGGTGCTTTTGTGCAGAATCACAAAACACTCAAGGTGCTACAAAAACTTCTTTTTGATAAAACTGTAATTATTATTGTTTTGTACAATACTGTTCCTTTCCGAATCCACTCTAAAAACTTGCATGTGCCCCAGCTCTTCAGGTTTAAATAAGTATTTGGTAAACGATATTAAAAATCCTATAAATATAGATTGTCTTAACAGATTTGATGAGAAATATTATGTCTTTTGAAAGCATCTGACATAATTTGACAAAACTCCAATTTGTAAATAACAAAACTTTCATTATATGACTTTTTTGACAACAAGGAAAACTGGAACACAGTACTTAACTCAAAGCATTCAGTATAGTTTTTTTGTCTTGACACGCCAGTTGACATGTCCATTAGGAAAGTAAGCCATAATAATAAGAGATAATAATATAAATATTCAAAGAAAGGGCTTATTTTTCCAGACAGACTTTATTCACCCAAATGTTATACCTCAATTTCTTTTAAAAACGTAGCCATGTTTGGCTCTGCAATCATGTTTATATCTTGATAACACAATTGAGTTCAAACGTTATTTGTGGTGTCTAACGTATGAAGAAAAAAGACTTTGTGTAGTTAAATTTGTCCAGTTTTTTTTTTTATTATACAGTCACAAAAAATTTCCTGTTGATTTTCTTCTTTGTAACAATGAACCAAATGTTTTCATGTGCCTTGAATTGTTCATTCAAAAATATTAAAACTGGATTCTGAAAAATGCCAGGTTGGATGTCTGTATTGTTGGCTATTGGAGCGCAGAAATGTCTGGTGCTCTTTATGTGATTCTGCGCTTATAGTTATTACCATCCTTTGCCGTGATAATTTAGGAGGAGAATTTAGTCTTTTCAAGTGTCTGGGTTCATGTGGCTGATTCGACCGAGCCCGGATGCTCTGATCCTTTCCGGTTTTTTCTCTCTGACTCAGATTTGACTTCGATCAAGGTCTGTTTGCATCGCCACCTCCTTAGCTCAGAGCCGCTTTCAAACCTGTGTAATTATAGTATGTTAACAACCTATGTAAAACTGAAATAAATGGTTGGTGCTTTGCCAAATGCACATTGCAATGGTTTGCATTCACTTACAGGTTGTCCTTTATGTTAATAGCAAGGTTAGTTCATTAATACAACCAGTGGTTTTAGACAAAATGTGCTGAAAGGTAGTCGTACAATCCACAAATTTTGAAATCTTACTGTATGTGTCAGCGCTGACAACCACACTTCCCAGGCTGTGTTTGGCTTCCCAATTACTCCACTGTCCTCAGTCAAACTGACTCCACAATCTTACAATTGCCCAAAAAAATGCTTTTTGGCTTTTCAGGCCACATTGTTGATATTTTGTGGGCAACCCGGTCGACTTTTCTAAGACAGCACCAATTACTATTAAACAACATGCTTAGTCATTCCAGAAAGTTTAGTCCAGTTATATTTGTCTACATGAAGACATACAATAGTGACAACCTGAGTACGTTTTTTATGCTTTGTTTTTTGTTTCATTCTTTGTAGTGAAATGAAATACAAGTATCAAATGAAGTTTAAATTACTTTCATTACACGTACAGTAATCTTAACATAGCGTGTTTGTCTGTGCTCCCAGAGAATGTTAATTAATAATTATTTTGTCTTCCCAGGAAGTTGGTCATGTCAGCAGTGGTGAGTATGACGGAACAAACAGCATTTATGGCAGTGAAGATTGTAAATCATCAGATAATTTATGTAAATTAGATTAGACAAAAAAAGGTAAATATGACTTTGCATCACACTGAGAAAAGTAACAACAAGAAATGTGCATGTTTTCCTGGAGCAATGGTAAATGCAATACGATATGTAAAGGTTTCATATTGAAAGGTTTGTTTTAGGGCTAAACCAAGAACTGTAGTCATTAAATGTTTGTATTTTAACATTCAACATGTGCAGTGGCCTAAATATTTTTCATCCTTACCAATTATTGTTCTCGCTGCAGAGGACTTTAGCTTTCAGCACTCATTTTTTGACACATCTATAACAACCATCCCAACACTATGCACCATTTTAAATCATTTCTAAATGTTTATTGTTTAACTATGTCATTCGACCCTCCTCTAGAAATCTCTGTCATGACAAGTACACAAAGCATGTCTGGGCATGATTTATGCTCTTTTTTTATATTCAATAGGCTTTAAAGTGTTATTACAGTGTCAAAAGTAACAACATACCACTGCCGCCATTCAATTTTTATGTACCCTCTGCTAATGTCAAGTTGTCAGGACTGCGATCTTTATGTGAGCGTCTTTTTCAAAGAAGTGATTTGGAAGCAAAGGACAGCTATTTACAACAGTCATAAAAAATACATAAAGTTTAAATTGTGTTCATGACATTTTATCTAGTGCTACAGCACCCTTTTACACATCTTCAAAAACAAAATGCTTGACTGTCCTGAGTAGGTCTGCTGGGTTTAACTCACCTGAATGGAAATTCACATTTCAATCAAACTTTGACATAATGGAGACTTTGGTTGTAGCTGACACAGTATAGCATAAAACCCCTGAGCTTACAGTGAGTTTCAGGTACAATGTTTGATGTTTTAATAGTAATCACATACAAATCTGTATCCACTTTCAGCGGTAAGTACAATACTCACATAAACATGACTGTCTCAGCTTTGCCATCTGTCAGGCCTCAGCAATGCTTTGAATGTATACAGAAAAAAACCATCTGACTTTTGTGAGGTCTGTTTGGTTTTGGCTGTCCACACAGATTCCTAAACTGTTTCCATTCTATAAATCATTACATCTGTCATTAGCTGTCACTGTGTACTTCTTAGACCTGAATGTTGTTGTCATTTTTTGGTTAGTGGAACCACATATGGTGATGAATTCTCATTAAGCTTGTGTGCCTGACAATATTGCTTGAGCCGATGGCCAGTGATTTTTGTTTTTCCTCTCGTTTCTCTTTAAATACAGAGCCACCTGTTTTTCATCTTTGAAGGGAGAGCAACATGTTTGTTTGTTAATTGGTTGCAAAATCAAAACAAGGAAAGGAAATGAAGGCTGCAGTCAAATGAGGATGCTGCTGGCGTAAGAGGGCTGCTTGCTTACTCTGAGCTTATCCACTCCAGAGCCCCGCCTAAACCCAGCTCGCCATGGCCGATCTGCTGGGACACCCACTTTGGTCAACATGCCTGAAAAATTCTGTCAAAACAACAGGGCTGCCTTGGGCTACAGTCACATCTGATGAGATGAGATTTCCAAAGAAATGAGAAAAGAAGGGAGGCGATATTTTCTCGTCTGTTCTGTGGAAATGTTAAGTTCTCCCTCCCCTATTCTTATTCTTATCTATTCTCTTCCAGGGTCGTAAATGGTTCGACCCTGTCACAGCCTGCATTAAGCCAGAGGACAAGAAAGCACCCTGGAAAGTTTCCATTCTGTCTAAGGACTAACCTGGAGAGACAGGCAATCACATTTAGGACAATGGAGAATTCGAGTTTCTGATTCTTCTCACGTGGTTGATTTTAAATGGAAAGAAACACCAAAGGAAGCCCCCACCCAAAACAAACAAATAAGAGACAGACTGAGGCACCTCACAACACATTTTTTAAAATTCCTATACTATTTAAAAATTTATATATTCAAGAAGCCCTTTCTATACATCATGTACTGTCTTGATATGCCCAGTTTTTATGGCGCCATTAGCTGACTTTCACATTCAGCAGTAATTTTCTCTCACATATTAAAAAAGATATATTGGCATTTTGACAAGCAGAAGCAATACTTTTCTATAACTTCATATTGTTTTTTGCTGCTCACTCTGGTTTTATTTTTTTTAATATTGAACATCAAATGGCCAATGTTACCCAGTTAATGACTAAATTAAATGAGCCAACCTAAAGTTACCTTAATCAGCTAGCTAGCAAACATCAGATCGATAGATGTTATGCTCCTCTAAGGCATGTACTGTAGTTAATCAAAACTAAAACTTGGAGTGGTGATTCTTCTTTGCACTCATGTAAATGTGTTCGAACATCGGTATGACTAACACTGGGTGCATTAGCAATGCTATTAACAGTTACTTTAGCTAGAAGTTGAAGCTAGCTTAGTTAATTAGAATCAGAATCTGCTTTATTGGCCAGGTGTGTCGGACACATGAGGAGTTTGACTCTGGTACATCGGCTCTCAATGTATATGTACATATCCCCATGCAAGGGGCAAGTAAACAGTAAACAGCAAAAGGCTGTGTAATATAACAAAATAAGCCGTGTTAACAAGCAACAAGCAGTGCAAACAATGCAAAATAAGCAGTATAAACTAGCATATAAATTAGCATAGTATTGCACCTAAGAAAGATATCTAGATTTGCTGCAGCTTAACATTACGCCAGGATTTCCTGTGTACTTTTTTTGGTCCATTAAATATAATTTTCAAGGGAACTGATAAAATACAGAAGAACGAATGGTTTATTCATTACCATTTTAATGTTAACTGAAAACTAGCACATCAGAGAAGAAGAAAAAAAGACGAGGTTTTAGGGCAGTAACATTAGAATGACAATTTCCCTTGTTATGGGAGTCCGTGAATGAAAATTGTGTTAAATTTTCAGGTCACTTTAATTTATCTGATTAGTCCCAAATCAAAGATCACACACTGCCCTCGCAACACCCTCTGCCCTCACCTTTATAGTGTTAACACTGCAGACCTTACTGTGTGGATTGTAAGTTTAAATACCTGGAGTGAAATCAGTGCAGTTACCTTCCAGCTGCTTCAGCAGGGCTGCTTATTGACCAAGAACAGAAAACCTCTGATGTTCTAGAAAGGTACTGGATGTAAAATTTTGAAGCAAGAGAGCTCAAAAAACAAGTGTACACTTTCCTGGATAAAGGAAGAAAAAGCTGACTTGTTTAAAATAACCAACAATGTGCAATTTTCAGCTATTTGGAGTGGAACACTAGAAAGGGCATGTATTGAATGGTCTCTTTTGTAGAAAGATTGCTGCGCTCTTTCTGTTGATTATTTCATGACTAGTGGAATTCCTACAGGCATAATGTATCTATGGTGACAAATATTTTTCGGTAGTCTGTTTTTTCACTCCTTCAGTAAATAAATTCTTTGTAGCAATTATGAAAGTGTATTTGAACTGCAAAAGATTCCCTGGGCTCATCATGTCATGACCAATTTCAGCTGGATTGAGCTACAAAGCAAGCAGCAGTCACTGTTAATGCTGTAGAGAAACTCATCAAGTATGCAGGTCATGGCTGACGAAAACCCTTTGTTCAAGTACGCCAAGAAACCTCTCTCTCCTCCTGTCAAAGACACTCTTTGAGTTCAAGTATTCCTGTTTCAAACAGTTTCACAGGGAAACACTAACAGTACTGTGCTTCATTTGTCCAGCCCATCACCTCATCCCGACCTGCTCCTGACAACTGATCTGAAGAGAGCATGGAGACACCTCTACCCCTCAGGTCTCCGGTTTACACTAGCTGACATTAACATTGCCCAAAGTGGCCAGAGAAAGGTGGAAATAAATTGTTTTCAGATAGGTTGGTTTCAGCTTCCCATCACAGCTCTGAAATCCAGTGTGTGACCTGACTCACCAAACCGGACAGAGCTTTGCATTCCCCTTGTCTCTTTGCTGCTTTTCCACTATCTAAGCAAAGACAAAAAGAACAAGCTGACTCTTCCATTTTCCACAGAAGAGAGAAAACATGGGTTAGCAAACCAAAGTGGAAGGCTTCCCACAAGGGTGAAGGTGACTCTTAAAGAACATGCTCTTCCTCTAGTCTGTAAGAGAAGTGCTGAATGCCAGTACAAGTATATTAGTCATGGAGTGCTTTAGATGATAATTCCAGACATATGCTAGGTTAGGGAAAAAAATAATTGCTTCTATCAGTCTAATCCAGAACTATATTGTACCTGTGCAGGGGACCAGGATAGTCGAGATCCTGTGGAGGAAAAACAAACCCTTAATGCCAAATATCAAAATTTGCATAATAAATCAAATCTTAACACACTGACAGGATGCTTTGTATTCTTAGATTTAGCATGGCTTACACTGTCGTGGCATGTATATCTGATGACTATTGTCAATAAATGTAAGGGGCATGATTTCCACTTAGAAATTCATAGTAAAGAAATGTTTCTACAGTTGCAGAACTTGCTTGAGAATCATCACATTGTAATTTGGTATTTGTTATAAAAGTAATACTCTGATAGTTGTCTGTACATCCATGATACATTTTAGACAGGAGATGCTAAAAGCTAATTCAGCATACTTTCAGTGGTGCTGCTTGCCAAAATGTAAGCAAATATAGGCTTTAAAAGAACTGGCCAATATAAGATATTAAGATGGGATTTACCAGTTATCCCGGTTGAATTTTTAGCCCTGACTCAGGTGCATGAAAGCAGGTTAAATTAACATAAATTAACAATGGAGATTTAGTCTTTGCAGTTAGCCTGGTCCAGGTTTTGACTTCTTTCATATTTCGTCTCTTCTGTTTTTAGCTGATCTCTTGTGTTTTGAAAGTTCAAATTTAAAATTGGTATTGGTAGCCTGTTTTTAGTATTTTTATTTTCATCTCTCCACCACACCCCCAATTTATTTATTTACTTGTTTGTTTGTTTGTTTGTCACCAATGAACTTCCATATATAGCCTGCCACTAGAGGCAAACTGGGAGAATGTTCTGTAATTTGGGTGAATTTACTGTTTAACATTGACGGTTTGGAGTAAAGCCTTAAAATAGCGTATTTCTCAAAAATAACCTATGTTTTCTTTTTCCTAAATAAGTTAAGAGGGTGGGCTGTGTTTTACGTGCTTCTGCCTTAGTATCCTCTTTCTCTCGCCCCTGTATTCGGGTACAAAAACGCAGCAGTCGCGTCTCTAATCTCGGACCTCTTATCTTTTTATTTTCTAGAGAATACTGCCAGCTGCAACTTTTGTCACCGCCACAGTTGCCGGTGGTTCCTCCTCTCACACATCAAGCTGGACTCATTAAAAGTCAAGAGGCAACAGGATGATGTCATATCCGTGAAGAAGGGTCCGTGGTACCTACTGTACACGCAGCACGGATTTTCGCTGCATGCAAGCCAACAAACTTTTCCCTCCTTTACAGTGACGAGGTCTCTTCTTGCTGCCTGCATGGCATGCATGCGTAACGGGGACAAGTGGCTGGATGTGCCCCCCTCCTCCCCAGGAAGCACCGTTTTTTACCAGCGCGTAATGAACGTGGTGGCGCGTACCCACGGGCAGAAAGTTGCGTGAAATCTTTTGTTGCCGTCGCGGCGGAGGAGGTGGAGGAGGGAAACGCTGCTGCAGCCGACAGTATGTGGTCGCTGTCTGTGGTCCTGAACCCGCTGCTGTTTCTGCTGCTGTTCGGATACTGCCCTTCAGTGGTGAGTTTCCATCAACACTGCCTTTATATTTCTTACAAAAAGCATTGACTTAACTTCAACAAGAGCTCGGTGTGCCGTGTAATGTTAGCGCTGTAAAGTTCAGGTGACTGGGGATGTAACTGGGGTGGAGCATTGCACAGTGGTTGAATGACCAACAGCACAGAAATGAGTCATTTCAGTTTTCTGTCGTTATTGCTAATTTGGCTGATTCTTTTATCTTACCACAATGGCCAGTGTGTAGTTCAGTGCCACTATCACTTAATATGCAGAAATTGGAAAAAAAAAATCTGAAAAAAGAAAAGAAAACCGAATTTAAACTAGCAGTGGAGGAAGAGGCACCCTCATAGCACTCATGTTTATTGCCTACATCAAGCATTGATATTGATCCGGGAGTATGGCCAGGTATATAACTCACTTTTAGGGGAGAGTCCAATCACTGAGATTCCAATTGCTGCTGTGAATTATGTCTAATTCCCCTTCCAGAAAGAAGAAGCAGCACTGATCATCTTGATAGAGGCAAATTCTCCCCCATACTCTGTAAAACAGAATTTAACTGAATGAATCATTCATTTCTGAGGCAGTTTTCATTTTCATGCTACTTATATGCTTTTAAAGTATAATATTCTATAGGAAATATGTCCTTCCCAGTTTAGGCTTGTGAAATGGAAATGCATTGTCACAGCATTATCACAAATTAGGAGGAGCAGCTTGCAGATCACCAAGCCATTTGGACAAGAACAATGGTCGATTAGGTTCATCCCACCCATGCAGAATACAATCCCTGTGACAGTGTCTTGATTGCAAATTATTGTCCTCACACAGTATCACCTTGCCATGATTGGAAGTGGTTGTGCAGAATTAATGTAGTTTGTTCAGGAAAAACAGGAAATGTTTATAAGCTAAGTCAATGCTCTGTAAACTGTATTCAGATCTGTCAAAGTCTAAATGAACGCACTAAACAAAAAAAGGAACCAGCTGTCTGAATTATTTAATGAGAAAAAAAGTAGTTCAGCAGAATTCTTCCCAAAAACGCATCGTTGGAGAGTGCATCTGGCTTGGCTGAGCTACAGAATCATTTTAATATGAGGAAATGTGCGAGATGGAAGAGGGGAAAGGATGTGCGTCATTCAAGAGACAAAGGAGAAAGACCATTTTAACAGATTAGTAAAACTGGCTTCTTTTTAGCAGCTTTAGTAAGGAAAGGAAGAGCTAAGGATGTTTGCTCTTTTTTTTTTTAGCCCATTCAACTATGATGCCATGAGAGAGAGACAGATTCCAGTTAAAATCATGGTGTAACTCCTGTAACCATCTAGTCTCTCTAATAATTTCTGACTACAGTGAGGTACACATTAACTTTACATATTCCAGTGCAGTGTCACTTTTTCTTCAGCTGCTTTTTGTGGTACTTTTATTTTATTACACGCTGAACATGAAGATTTCAGAGATGCCGTAGGACAGTGGAATTAAAAAAAATAGGATTGTAAGATTACTGTTCTCTAGGTTAAATGTTTATCAAATACCAGGGCCCACTTAGCATCAGGGCATCAGTAGAATGAGATTAAATTCCTAGAACACAAACTTTACAAACCACCAGCAGGAAGGTGGACAAATGTCAGGACTGCAGTGCTTTGATAATACCTGAAACCGTTTTCTAACAATCTGATAATAGCAACAGGACAGACATGTGCTGGGAATAGAATGAAAGTTCAGGAGACTGATAGTATAGAAGTTTTTGTTTTTTTTACTTCAAGATAAGAATATAGCAAAGTCAAAAAAAGATGCAACAGAGGAGTCAGAATGTAAGTGCTGAAAACCAACAGTGATGAGGCAAGTCAAATTCTGCCTTGTAAAATTCCAATTAATGTTTTGGGCAACCATTCTTAAAGTACATGATTTTTTTATAGCAGCTTTACAAGATAAACAGATATTGCTACATTATAGATGCAAAAACGCAGCTTCTTTGTAGGTGAAAATGACAAGACAAAGCCTGCTATTTCCCCTCTGAGTGATATTGTCGCCTGCAAAGACAGGACATGATCTTTCATGGCTGATTCCAAACGCTCTTTAAACAGCTCAAGCTGACAGGAAAAGATGAATGTGAGAAGGAAAGGATGCCGGCGCCATAAACAGGGCACTTCACTTTTCTATCCATCAGCTTCAGACACCGGTGAATGCCAAAGTTCATGTTTCATATGCTGTTCTCCTCCAGAGTGAGTTTTATAAGGTAAAACAAAATCCAAATGATAGTTGGTTGCCTGCCAAAGAGGTTGGTAGTGCAGACAAATTTACCATCTGCAGTCAAAGGTTGCCAGTGTTTGGCTGGAGGCTTGTGTTAATTTCCCAGGCTAATAGTAAACAGCAGGATTGGTAGACAAATTCTGTTTCTGTGGCTGATACTGTAAGTATGAACTTCTCCAGCACTTCAGGACACATTGGAGCAAAGCTAGTTTTACTGTGTACACTCTGGCAGTAGTTGATGCTTTTGCATTAAAATATGCTGCATTGGCTTATGATGCATAACTTTGTTTTTTAGACTTTATACTCTAGTAGTGTGGAGCATATTGAATGTAATAAAGAATTGGAAAAGCTCCCATAAATCGGCTTTATCTGCATCTCACGGCAGGACTTTCAGTGAAAGCAGTGGAAGTCCTAGTGAGGAGAAACAGAAGAATTTTAACAGTCGGGTTATTCATCAAGGCAAGGAAACACGATTTATTGTTGAAGAGGAAATTCACTGGAGACTATATACTGTGAGCGGAGGAATATCTTACAGAAAAAACACTTTGTTCTTTCAAAGCCCAGACTTTTTATAAGTCAGTGGAATTGGTTGCTGTCAAAGCTTTGGGGGTATGAGACAAAATAATGGATGGTCCATGAGGAAAAAAATAGAAAACTTAACAGCTGTGTTTCGCAATTTCATAAGACTGATATCATCAGAGTCGATTTTATTTTGTGTGTCTGTCTGTGGATGACTGCGCCTGTGCTTTTGTATGCAGACCATCAGGCCAAAGGAGGGGTGGCAGGTGTACAGCTCAGCTCAGGATGCAGATGGGCGTTGTATCTGCACAGTGGTGGCACCCGAGCAGAATCTGTGCTCCAGAGATGCCAAAGGCAGACAGCTCCGCCAGCTTCTGGAGAAGGTGTATGCACACAGCCGCACACATTTCTTGTTATATGACAACAAGTCGCACTCGCTCTCTGACACACATTTACACTAAGCACCCAGCACACCTACATTCATATGGACATATCACATTGATTTCTATTGTTATTCGTGCATATTCGTTGCCCTAAATCCTCACAGACATCGAGGCCAGGTCTATAACCCTGTTTTCTAGTTCTACATACTATATTACATGGATGAAATCAGCTGAATGGCTGCTCGTGAAGATGAAAACACTCCCCATCTTGACTTAACAGAACTAGAGTGCCCCTATTTTTTTAGCAATAGACAAATTCAAGCTTATTGATCAGTTTGGAGTGTTATCAGGCTTGAAGCATTTGATTGGGAAAGTTAAGTCTACCACAAAGTGGACTATGCTCAAGCTGTCAAGAACTGGTCTTATTTTTTCACATCTAGCATCTAGCACTAGTATAAAATTAGCTCTGAGCACAACAGCCCACGTTGTGAACTGAACAAGAAACATCAAATTTAATTTGGAATTTTTTTTCACCATGACAATAGTGATTTAATGTGTTATCTACAAACAGCGTGGTGCTGGTGACACTTTCCTTAATTAGTATGCCATATAAAGAAACACTGCTGTCGTCTACATGTTAATGTGGTATGCCAAAGGGTGTTCTCTGTCATTCACTGGGGCCTTTGACACTAATGTACTAAGTAGCCTTAGGGCTTCAGTGAGACCATTTCAGTATCCCTCTACCAGAGCCAGAAAAGTCTGCAGAACACAATGTGAGTGTTGTGCCAGTTTACAAACGATGTGCTCCAGTAATGTTTGTTGGTTGCAATTAGAGCAAAAGAGAGGAGAGAGAAAAGACCATATTTCTTCTTGTTCTGTGTCCTATAAACCTAGTGAGCTTTTGTTAAACCAGAAAGATACAGTGTAAGGTTTCTGCTCTGAGATACTGTATGGTCTTAAACTTGGCAGATTCAATAGTTCATCCATGACATTTATTAAACAAACAGTTTGTTTTGAAATATGAATAAAGTGAAATATTTTTAAAAACTGAGAGGAAACAGGGTAAGAGTACTGGCATGTAACAGTCCAATGCCCATGTAAAACTCATTCATATTGATGGTTAAGACTCACGTTCGAGGCCAAAGTTTTGATTCGTTCCTTCGGAAGTTAGAACAGTGCATGCTACAAGCAAACGACTGAACATGGAGGACATTTTAATCTTGCTGTGGATGGAAAAATCAATGCTACACTGTTTCATTCTCTTCAAAAGGTGCAGAACATGTCACAGTCAATCGAGGTATTGAACCTGCGAACGCAGAGGGACTTTCAGTATATCATGAGAATGGAGAGCCAGATCAAAGGGCTTCGGTCAAAGTTCCGACAGATTGATTCGGACAGGAAGATGCTCGGCAACAAAAACTTTCAGGTATACTTTTGATATGTTTGAAGTTTAAGCTTGTGAGAGACATCACAGAAAAGCCAGGGAAAGGATTGCTTCTAAAGGTACCTGAGACACATCTGAATTGATAAACTTTCATCCATGATAAGATCAATACAGGTCTACCACTGCCCAGCCAAGGACAAGATTGCCTTGGCAGTATCCAGTGTGGATACAGTGACACCACAGGTCATGATGGCTGCACAGAGTATAGCACTTATCTATTTGTTTTATTTGTTTACTAACTTATTCAAAGTCTAAGAACCTTTGTGATTTAACACCTTCCTACATATCACTGTATATGTTAAGTTTAACAAAATACAATACAGCAATTTTTATGTATCTTGAGGAAGGGGAACCCCCAGATAATCTGGCATTGTCTAATTGATACTGGCCTTTCGTAACTTTAATAACAAGTTTCTTACTGGATCTTCTCCTTTTTCTTCTTTTTTTGTTATAGCACTGAGTGCTAGATACTGATTCTTAAGACCATAATTTCCTTAAACAAGTGAAAACAAGCACCAGAACAGAGGAGATAATATGTTAAAGTTTTTCTTGAATAATATATTGTCTTTAAGGTGGTGGTTCTAATGCATAAAACATCCTGAAACTTCTGCATTGAAAACAAACTGAATTGTTCTGCCAGATTATGAGATTTATTAAGACTGCAGGTATTTTTGCAGTGGTGTATGCTCTGTGTTTTCTAGGAGCTAAAGGGAAAAATGGAGTCCTTGCAGCCACTAATCCCTGTCCTGGAACAATACAAGACAGATGCCAAGCTCATTTCGCAGTTCAAAGAGGAGATCAGAAACCTGTCTGGTGTGTTGATGGGCATCCAGGAGGAGATGGGAGCCTACGACTACGAGGAGCTACAACAGAGGGTGCTCAGCCTGGAAAATCGGCTCCGCAACTGTATGAGCAAACTCAGTAAGGCTGTTGCAGAAAAATGACACCCAGCATGGTGACACTAGGTTATTTGATAGCAAAGAAATGATAGGAATATTTCTTGCAGCCACCAGCAGATTGGGTTTTTAGATAGAGAGCATGGTACCAAGCAGAACTGCTACTGGAGGCAGAAATGATGTTAATGGGTTGAGAAAACCTCTATTTGAAGAATCTAAGAACAATTTTCCAAGCTGACAATAAATGGTGTTGGTGTCATGAAGTTTTGTACTCTGGCTGCTAAGCTGCTAAAACAAAAAGTGTAATCCAGGCTTACACAAAGTCACGATCAATAAGTTTATTTCATTTGTTACTGTTTTTCTTTCTGGTTTCTTATTTGCCATTTACAGTGGGGATTAGAAAGCTGTGGTTTCTTTGTTCCATTCATTGAGGTTTAGCTCAGCCAATAAGATCAGTTCTGCTGCTAGAGCAACTTTGCCTCTGATAAAGGTTTGCATGACTATAGCTCCAATTTGCCAACTGCCAGGTTATCAACATTGATTGTGTCATCATGAATAGTTAACATATGAATGCTGATGGGACGTGGCTGAAAATCTGTCTGAGCTTGAGTTGATTACTTGAACATTCATTGTGCAAAAGCTTTGATTGATTGGGTAAAATAGCAGTTAGTAAATGCTTGAAAAGGAGCTTGCAAGATCGGATGCAAGTGATAGCCTACTGTCACTGGCACTATGAATGTGTCTGGCAAGATGAATTAAGTGCAGCTAAAGTATTATGTGGTGCAAATATTCACCAGATTTCATGCATGAGAAAGGGTTTAAAGGTTGGTGGTGTCTCTGCTTATCCTACATATTTTTATAACAAGAGTGTTAGTGTACGGTTGCTGCACACAAACTGTTAGGTATTTTTAGTCAGATAGAAATTAGATAGATACTTTATGTATTAGAAATGTTTAGTGGAGATAGGATGTCTAGTTAGACTGTTAAATGCTTAGTCATGCTTATGAGTTTCTACAGGGTACATCTGGTCAAGGATAACTAGAGAAAAGTTGATGACTGTCAGCAGACAGGGTGTTCAATATTATTATTACGATGTGTATAACTGCAGCCTTAGCCATAATGTTCCTATGTTCAAGTCACGACATGTACTAGAGGTCGTGAGAATGTTTTTAGCTACACACCAATGACTGTCAGCAGACAGGGTGTTTAATATTATTATTATGACGTGTATAACTGTAGCCTTAGCCATAATATGTTCTTATGTTTAAGTCACGACATGTTACTAGAGGTCGTGCGAGAATGTTTTTAGCTACACACCACTTAACCAACAGACACACACACATTGATTTGCTTCATGTTTTGACTACTGCTATGACCAGCTGCAAAGCTGGCAACAGAGACGTCTCGGTTGATGTTTCTGTGTAGTATGGGGCTAGCCCAACCGAGGGGATATAAAGTATAGGCCTGGTGGGTTCAGGGTCTTTCATCTTTCATCTGCCTGCGTGCAGGTTGGAGGTGCAAGATACTTGAGTGTGTAATGTTAATTTTTACCTGTGTTCATGGAATAAATCAGCACTGTTTTGTAGTTACTTGAACTGTCTCGTCTCTCAGAGTCAGTATGGTAAAAAGTACCGGGTACAACAAAACCAAAACTCTTTTGATTTGATAAACGAGCTACTACCAGATGCATGCACTGCCGTTGTTTGAGATTCAATCCAGTATCAACATCAAGACATGGGCTGGATTTTATCATGTGGAGTGGGAGAAGTTTGAGCTGTTTCTGACCACAACTGTGATGTGTTCACAGCATGTGGCAAACTAATGAAGATCACTGGGCCGCTGACGGTGAAAACTTCAGGGACCAGATTTGGAGCCTGGATGACTGACCCTCAGGCATCTCCCAAAAACAACAAAGTGAGTCTGGTTCAAGTGCTTTTCTTTATGTTGCAGTTCTTTGAAGCAACACTGAGCGGTGAATAATTTACATACAGCTGCTTCCCTCCTGTTGTTCAGGGGCAAAACATGGTTGAATTACAAACTGCAAAACCTATGTTTAATACACAAGACTGTAGTTTCAAGTACATGAAGTACAGCTAAGAAGTTGCTTTTGAAGTTATTTTTTAATGTTTTGAAACCTCCTTGGGTTACATCCATGTGTGCTATCTAACTCTAACAAGCAGTCTTCTTCTTTTTGCCTGCCTTTTGCTGACCTTTTCCTGCCTGCCATGACCCGTTACTACCTCTGTCATACAGTGTAGTAGTTTGAAGCAGGAATTTGTATGGTGTCGCCTGCCTAGTGGAATATGAACAGATAGATACAAAGAAAGAACTCTGGCCTACTTATTCAAACATTGCTCCATAACACCGCTAGTGGTCAAAAGCTCTACAGCAGATCTTAAATCCCTCAGTAAAAATTAACAACCTTATAAATAAAAGGGGAAAAACAGCTTTAAAAAAATCTAATACTTAAATCTTTCATGATTCTGGTTGGTTGCAGTATTCTGAGATTAACCAAAGTCTCTTTTTTTTATGTTTCCAAGGTTAGTTAAAATTTTCCTCCTTCACTCCTAGTCTGACCTTATCAGTACCAATAAAAGAGAATGACAGTCCTTCGGTGAATGGTTGGCCTCCAAGTAATGTCAGTGGAGGCCCAACTTCTCTTCTTTATGTTCTGCCATCCTCTTTTTTCTTTATACTTTTTACGTGGATGCATTTTTTTATTTTACAGGTGATAAAGCTGTTTATAACTGAAAGAATAAAGATAATAGAGAAACTTGTAAATTTACAGCTGCCTTGGACCAACCCCTGAAGTTTCTTATAACTGAAGATCACAGGACTGTTGTCTGTTTGCCCCTAGGTCTGGTACATGGACAGCTACACCAACAACAAGATAGTAAAAGAATATAAATCCATTGCTGATTTTGTAGCAGGAGTCGAGTCAAGAACCTACAACCTTCCGTTCAAATGGGCTGGAACCAACCATGTGGTGTACAATGGCTCTCTGTACTACAATAAGATGGAGAGCAACATCATAGTGCGGTACAGCTTTGAGACGGGGCGCGTGGTCACACAGAGGGCTCTGGAGTTGGCAGGCTTCCATAATACGTACCCCTACACCTGGGGAGGCTTTTCAGACATCGACCTGATGGCGGACGAGCTGGGCCTGTGGGTCGTCTACGCAACCAACCAGAATGCTGGGAACATCGTCATCAGCCAACTGAACCCAGACACGCTCCAGATCCTCAACACATGGAACACAGAGTACTCAAAGAGGAATGCTGGTGAGTCTTTTATGATCTGCGGGACCCTCTATATCACTAACTCCCACACGACCGGTGCCAAGGTGTACTACGCTTACTCTACTAAAACATCCACATACGAGTATACAGACATCCCCTTTCATAACCAGTACTTCCACATGTCTATGTTGGACTACAACGCCAGGGAGCGCGCCCTCTACGGCTGGAACAACGGTCACCAGGTCCTGTTCAATGTCACACTTTTCCACATCATTAAAACTGAGGATGACTCTTAAAGGGAAGAGAATAATGTACATGTGAAAGAAATAATGAAAACATGGAGGAAAACACCTGAATGTTCAAATGATTTTTATTTATTTGATAAGTTATTTCATTTTGACAATGACATTGAGCTATTTGTCCATTTTCATATGAAGTTAAGTGAGATTCTCCATACATTTGGGAAATGTAATACTTTCTCTGTTAAAATAACTGATAGCACAAATTAAAACAAATTCTGTGCATTTTGAAACATATTGCAGACACTTGGGGACTAAATATTAACACTAGAAATACTGAATAATAAATCACCAGCCATTTCCGCAGCTGCTTTTTTCTCTTTAATTAAAATAAAAGGCTTTAGAAAGAGGTTTTCATATTTGTAATGCTTTTCTCATTCAGTATTGCATTTACTTAGCCTTCCCAAATGTATTCATATTTTGACCATGTTCGCTAATTGGTCATTTTCTTTCTTTTCCTTCCTTGGCATTTATTCATCATCATCTGCTAATTTATTCCTGCCTCCCAATGCCTCCACTCTCAATTTGTCTTTTTATTTTTCCTCTCAAAACTCTTTGCACTTGACCTTGTACAAGACAGTGAGAAATGTGGTGAACCATAATGCACCTGTATAGTTGCTGTACTTGGCTTCTTTGTGTCCATGAAGACTCTCAGTCACCCAGGTCACTGGATATCTGTAAGTACTAGGTGAAAATACTTCAGCAAACATTCAGTCTGGTTAGTACTTTGAGATATTAGCGTTTTGTAATTTTAGCAGCAGTTTGTATGCCTTCTTCAGTGCAGTGCATTCTGTAAACCGAAGGATAACGGCTCTCATGCATGAATGTTAGCTATCCTGATAGCGTTTTTACTGTAACTGTATATCTGTGTATTTTGTATTTGCACAACATCCCATTCTCCTTCTCTCTTACTATAATTACAGTATACAGTGGATAACTTTAATAAGCACTCATTTGTGTAAATAAGAAATTATACACAACCCAAATAAAAGTATTGTTTTCATTACAACAGTCTACTTGTGTTTTCAAGTTGACAGGTTAATTTGTTCAAGATACTCTGCTGCAGCTTTAAGGTAACGCTGAAATGCATCACAAATGAGGTAATGTCACTTTAAACCCACAGATGTGGGTGCAGCTGTATAGTCCTTTTCCGCCAAAAGAGTTGAATCATTGTACTCGTTTCCTGCACTAAACTAAACCTTTTGTTCAAGGTTTTATTACATTGAGATTGCTGCTATTTATTAGCTCTCTGCTGCAATTCTATACTGTACAGTAATGCTAAAAAATATAATGCTATACTGATCATACAGATGATATAGCTCGGTGTGTTGCAGTCCCATCGGTATGTTCAGTTAAGGTCTGTCTGTCTGTAGGTCTTCTCTCAAACCTGAACACCTGGCTATAGTAAGGTTTTTATTCTTCAAGAGCACTTTAATGTTCCATGGACTTTCTACAAATGAAACTGACTAAGCACTTGGCCTCTTTATTCTTCTAAGAAAAAAAAAGTAATTTAGCACTTTGGAGGAAACTAATTTCAGTCAAAATGTGACTTTGGAAGACTATTGTCTATTATAAAAGGTCTTCAGAGATGAATTTTATTAACCACAAACACTGGCATAAAGAAAACAGAGACATTAGAAAAGCACAGAGCATCTGTGGTATTAATTTTTCACAAAATTTAATTCAGTTTATGACCACCTGTTATTAATGTTACTTTGCTAAAGTGTTTGGAGGTGTTTTCTTTGCTGTTTGGATTTGAACAAAGCATGTGTAGCACAGTATAGCTGCAGCTCTGACAGATGAATGCAGCTGACAGAGGATTAGAACTTTACACGTAATTGAATGAAAGTAGTGTTACATAAATTTGACTGCAGTGGCAGAGATCATTTAAGTGTTGTTATGATAATATGACAGGGATATACACAGTGAAAATGTTCAGTTCTTTTTCTTGACAAAACTCTTCATATGAGGAAACATAAATGGGTGCACAGTCATATACCACATAATAAACCCACTCACTAACAGCAGAACCATTAACCAGAGGCAGCAAGGTCAAAAAATACAACTAACTGCCTTTAATTGACAGCCTGTTAATGACTAACGTCTTAACAACAGATGGGTGAAAACCGAATGTGTGCATAAATAAAACCCAAGCAGACGATGTAATATTAGTTTTACACGAGTCTAGAATGGTTCAAGACAAACAAAACCTGGTGCAGTGCTATGGAGACTGAATCTACTGGCTCCAGAATGCAAGATGAAGAGATTAATAAAGTAAGAATCTAATAAGAACTCACAGGTAAATAATGAGATGTTCAGAGAGAGTTTTGTGAATCCACAGAAAACCAAAAATAGAATTATGAAGCAAACTCAATTCTCAAGCAACCAGATCTGACCCAGGCGTTCTTGTTAGGTTAATGAGGGAGGCAGATCCTTTGGCAGTGCAAGTTTCCAAGAAATTTAATGTAACTGAGACCTAAAATAAATCTTTGCTTTCACAGTCATTATTTTGATAACTATGGTTTGTGGCAAAGGAATGCGGCCGACAATGAGACACTAATGTGTTGCACTACTAAATGTTTAAAGAAAGACAGACTTGTGTGACTATAAATACAAACTAACCTAGTTAAGAGGCACAAGTTTTGCAGTGCCGGTCTATTGACTCGTGTGAATGTTGGCTCATTAGGGAGCTTCTCTGTGGAGAGGTGTGATTACACTGTGTGTGTGTGTGTATGTGTGTGTGTGTGTGATGACCTTGATGGATTTTTAGAGCTGTCCACTGCTGCAGTGCATGCCCAAAGGTAGCTATCAGCGTTGGAATAAGCACCCCCCCACACACACACACATACAGTACGTATAAGTATGCATGCACCCACACTTACTTAGACTGATATCCAGTGTGAGAGCACCGACCACCCACAGTTCCATCTCTGACAGGCTCGATGTTGTAATGCTCCTCTGAGTCAGATTACTGCAGGTCAGCCTGACAGGAAGCATCTCATAGATGAGAGAAACAGCCACAGCAACACCATTCCTTTAGGAAACACACTATGGATCTTCTGACATACTGATCCCTGCAGTGCACGAGTGGCAGGCTCCTCCCCATGCATCACCTCGTATGCTTCGGTGAATTCTTGAATTACTATAACTTCATGGCGTGTATGTCTATACTGTACATCTAACATGTTACAGTAGAACTAGAGCTCCATGAACCACCAACCCTGTACTTTTGTTACTGGCCAAAATTTCAGTTTTTCTATTATTAGTCAACTCAGTTCAGTGATGCACACTCATAGTCGCTCATGTTTTACTTCTTTGTTCGAGTGCTCGCTTTAGCACACCACACTCTTATTCAGTTAGGTTTTCACTGATGCAGAGAATACACAGCTTTTATGTCGACCCACAAACATACTGTTTTCAAGGCAGTACTACACAAAACACTGCATTCATGGTTTTTCTTTTAAGTCAGGATTGATAAGCAGACCATACCTCTTCTCTGGCAGCAAATAAAAATAATGTTTCTCCAACCACTGATGGAGCACACGTTCACCCAGCAAATGCGCTGATGCTACACCACATTTCTAGTGTTGTTCTTAAGAGCTTCTCCTGGGTGCCAAGAATTCAAACAGTGCAATGAAGCCACTCTAATGGCATCAGGTTGCTACTATTACTATTAACACAAAACGCACAAAAAATGGACCAAAGTACATATTCTGGCTGTAGTTGAGTCATTTTCTACTGTAAATATCTACTTAGATATTTTTGTGCCTTTTTTTTAGGTTCAACCACTATTGCAACAATATTGTTGCTTTTCCTTTAACAAAAATAACCTTAGCAAAGTTTTGCAGGAATGATTCGAAAATATAAACAATTCCAGTTACAGAAGAAATGCTGCAGTAGAGTACAGAATACATGCTGAATGACAAACCCCATGCAAAGAGCATTACAGATCTGGGTACACACAAACAATCCTTAAATGCAAGTTGGGATTAGGCTGAAGAAACGTCCTGTACAAGTAGGAGCAGCTCCAGTATTTTGGGCTGGCTGTGGCTCAGGAGGTAGAGCGGTCCTCCCCCAGCCGGAAATTCAGCGGCTTGATTCTCATTCTCTCCAGTCTAAATGGAGAAGTGTCCTTGGGCAAGAGACTGAACCCTGAGTTGCTCCCGATGGATAGTGCCACCAATTTGTACCAGTGACAAATTCCTTGTGTGTAACATACTTTGCCAATAACAGTGATTATCTTTCTCAACATACACATTAACATGCAGAACAGGTAAGTGCATGATGGATATGTGTTCTAGTAATCAGCTAATGCAAAATGGCCATGTCTTGGATGGTCTTTGTTCAGTTTTCCTTTTGTTTCTCGTGGTGTCAACTCAAATAAAATGAACCAATTTAAATATTTAATATGCCAAGTTCAAAGCAAATTAAAAAACACATTAAAAACTGTACTGCACTAGGGTGTTAACACTGCCGACAATCCTGTTCATGTTCACTGGAATTTTGTTGCATGGACTTCAAATTTATTTCCTGTCAGCCACTGATATTAACACTGTAATAGGAAATAAACCCGGACCACTTTGAACTGCTGAATGTGAAATATTCTATAGAAATGAAACACACAGCGCTGCTTTTCTGTTGAAAGCCATTACCCGTCATCCAAATGAGAAATGTAATTACTGTGCACAGTTTGATGGGTTTTTAATAAGCATCCACCCAGAGCCCTTATTTATGATTTTTAAAATATAAACGTTACCATCTGCTGACCAGTGGGGGAGGGTGACATTAAGGGTCCATCCAGCTTTGTCAACACAAAATCATATGTTCAGCACATCGATAAATATCATTTTACCATGCATTAACTGAAACACAAAGTATGTATCTGGTTATAAATGATAGGATGTGATGCTACAAATCATCCTGACAGCTGAGAACTAATCTTGAGAGTGGGGCAGGAGATTGTGTCACCTTATCTCTGCATCTTAAAATGGTGTTCACACATTCCTTGCTGGATTTATACAACCACCAAAGACAGGCATGGCATCAGCAGGTAAATATTTCCACTCTAGGATGGATGCATGCATATCTACATTTCCCAATTTCCACCTTGAGTGAGGAAAGAAGTTGCTTTTGGGAAATTCAGTTTTGATTTTGTTGGGTGTTGTCTTATGCAATCCAGACACGTTTGAGGAAAACAGTTTGAGCTCAAGCTGGAGCCATGGACTGATGCCTCTAAAACAAGTCAACTGTGGTGATTGAAGTCATTAAAGTTCCCTGGTGGCAGGGAATACTTAGACTTTAGAATTTAAAGCATGACTATAACAAGACAAGATTTAGCCTTCATCGAAGGCCTCCCGTTACACGCCACGCTTTATAATTGGGTTTGTCTCCGGGTGAGATAAAATGGAAAATGTACTGTGATTGCTGTGATATGTTGACAAATTATATTGTTGTTTTCAGTTTGAGAATGAACCAAATCTCTGCAGTGTTGTTTCTGATAGTAGAACTCAGCTAAATGCTAAATGTTTCACTAAAATCCAGTCATTAATTAACAGAAATATTATGTAATTTCTTTTCATTTGAAGTCATTATTTTCTTACAAACATCATTTTATTAAAAAAAAAATCTGTCACATTTTTTTAATTCAAGTCTTGTGAACTGGATTTAAATTGCAATTAAAAGAGCTGTAATGTGACTCGCTGACGCGGCTCTGTGTGTTGTACAGACTGGAAAACAACAACAAAAAGCTTTACAAGATATTTTCCTTTGTCAGTTAAATAGGATTCCTTAAAGACACGACTACATTCATGGTGGAATTAATAACACAAATTATATATGTGTTCAAAAACTGTCAAGTGGTTAATTATCTTAGCCACTACCAATGATATTATGCATAGAAGATGGCTTTTTAATTATTTCTTTGGTCCATTTAATGTTTTAGTGGATAAAGGCTTATTTTGTGTGTTACATAAGAGTGATGGATCTTCTTGCATACTACTTCATTTTCTGTGAACATATACATAAATACAACGAAGCTGTAGTGGTTGTAAAGTATCGAGCTATCTTGACTGAGACAACCATGTGATCACATTTTGGTCTTAGGAGTCTGTCACTGTCTCACTTGTTTTCAGAAACTTAACCAATGTTTTTTTCAGTTGTATGTCTTTTTCTCTTTTTAGTGAGATGTCACAAACTGTCACTGAGGAAAATACAATTACAGGATAAAGGCATGCAGAATTTTCCTACATTTCCCAGGATCCTCTGGGGGCAGCTGCTTTAAGGCATCATCATCAGGTGAGCAGACTGAGAGCATGTGGCCTAGTAGGACCACAAACCTGGCTTGATGTGAGGTAGGCCTTGTTTGCATCTTGTTCTAAACCCACTGAAATGTTCATTTGTGACATGTTAAAGTACCAGAAGGAACACAGGTAGAGCTACATCAGTCCAATGAGAGGAAATTTAACCAGTACCATCAGTGTCTTGTACATGTTTTCATTTGGAAGAAAGGGACTGTTTTCTCTGTGCTTTCAAATACTACAGTCTTGCTTTACAAGGTTTCTTCTTGGCCATCTGTCCTCTTTTTCGGAGCAAGTTTGTCAACAGCCTCTGCAAACAGTGTGTTTTTTTTAACAGCAGTGTTTTGTCACCTCAGGCCAACCCACTTTCTCTAAACAATAATTAAAGTTGTGTCAGCCCCAAAACTCTTTATAGACTTTAATGGAATTATAACAGATTGAGACAATTAATTAATTAACTTTTATTGCATGCGTCACCACTGTGGGAATCAGTTCTCTAACCTGCCTTTAAAGTTTCAGATATATAACCATAGGAAACAAACATTAAATAGGACACAACAGCAGCAGCAGCAGCAGCATCGAAGCACATTCTTCCAACATTTCTCTGTAATTTCTATCAATTGCTGACCAAAAAAAGTGTGCATGAGCAGTGAAAATGTCACATCCTCTCCGGTCTTTACAGATGATCAAAGCTACTTTGGTCTCTCTGTCCAGCAAACCGAATTACTGAACCCTGAGGCGAGAATTACCATCTGAGATTTTCAGATCTTTGATGGTGGGGAGATAAAGTAGTGGAAATGAAACCGGAGTACTTCTTTTGAATTTAGCAAGTTTTGTGTAAGACTGCATCTGAGACTCTGCTGATAGATAGAGACAGCAGAAGATTTTTGCCCTTCGTGCCGTTGCTGCACATCATATGTATTAATTTTGAATGTCACTTTTCAGGTTTACATTTCTGTATTTGGCTGCACTCCTCTGCAATCATCTCTTATCTGTGTGCACAGCAGCTAAGGGTTCAGCTCTCTGAATATATGGGTTCAATAAACCTGTCACAGCCTAGACTTGTTGGCTCTGTATTGACTCAGGTTACAGGGATCCATCCTTTTTATTAGCTTCAGTGTGGCTACAGATTTACAGCATGTTGATCTGCCCACACATGACAATGCCATTAAAACACAAAATCGCTTAGCACGGTTCACTTGTTTGTTGTTCTGCTCAGTTGCTGTTGCTTTTGGGGCTTGGAGCTGCGGAATACAATGGTCTGCACACATACTGTATAAGTGGTAGGTTGTCTTGATATGCTGCAGAGTTTTCATCTAGTCAGTTATTTTAAGGCATCTAAAGGATATGATCTGAGCAGTTTAGTAGTTTCAAACTGAGTTAAGTTCAGGTTTTCTCAGGACTTTTTAGTGAATGACACAGATGCTGGACGACACGTCCTGGAAGGGCCATTCAGGTGTTAGCTCCTACGGCTGTCAGGACAGGTGCACGGAGATGTTTGACTGACAGCCAAGCACATTAAGGTAGGGATGAGCCGGCCCCACTTCCAGATTAACTTTGCACTGCTCGAGCCTTGGAGATTGATCTGTGTGGGTATTGTAAAAATAGATTGGATCTGTTCTTTCAAGGAAAGAGCTCCCAGGGTCGCCGGAGAAAGGGCATGATTAAAAAAAAAGGGACTTTTATTAAATCATTTAGAATCATTGCTCTGTGTGCGCCTGGTATTACTCTCACTGGGGGCATTAAAATTTGTTTACACGCTCACATTGTGGGGATTCAGTCTTTCCATGTAAATCACTGAATTTCATAGTGGTAGCTAAGGTTAGGTTGAAGTTACTTTAACTCAGAGCCTTTAAAGTAGAAGAGTTGTGACAGCGAGGGGTCAAAAATGGCAAGCAGTCAAAACAAACAGGTAGCGCGCTCTGGGGGAATCCAGCCTTGATCATTCAGTGCTATGGGGGGTTTCACAGACCGGCTGGATGTGGGTTAGACTCGGTCAGGTAAAACAGCGGATCCCTGAACAGGAAGTGCATCTAGAAACATAACAGTCAAGTCAGTGTAGCCCTACGGCGCTGCTCCTATGCCAGTACATGAGAAGGGAGAGTCAGTGGAGAGTCATCACTCTGCTTCTTATTCCATTTAACAAGATTGCTTCCTGTTGTCTTATTTTTTAAAATTGTATGTAAACAGCTAATTTTTCTAATGCAATACTTTTAAGTAATCATCTAAAAATTATAGCTGTTATTATGCTGCTTTTTGGGTGTGTTTTTTTTTTTTTTTTTTTTTTGGTTGTTTTTTTTTTTTTTTAAAAGGGGGTGCGGGGGGCGGCCGCCCTCCCGAGCGGCCTCCCCGGACTCACCCCATGGACTAGGGCTTTGTTTTTTGGGTGTTTTTTTTTTTTTTTTTAACAGGGGCTGACGGGGTCCTTTTAATGAATTAATCAGATGTTTATAGTGAAATTTCACATTAGGGTACAGGTAGATCTGTGTTTGTGTGGTTGTCTTTAATCATTCCACAGTCCTGCCGTTTGAGTTTCACTGAGCCGGCCTTAAAATAATCATTTGAAAATTTAGGAAAAGTCGTTAAAGACTGGAAGCACAGAGAAATAGCTTGGCTCTCTTTAAAGTTCTAAAGTTCACCTACTGTAGCTAAAATCCACACCGAAATTTGAAAATAAGAGTTAGTGGCTTGGTATTGGACAGCGTTCCAATCTTTACACTTGTCTAAGAAAATAAAGCCCTGGCTCTCGTTTCATATTTGCACAGACATGTGCGTGGTATCGATCTCTTCATGTAACTTTTGCCAAGAAAGCCTGTTGCTTAAAAATGCCCAATTATTTATTTTACGGAGTTAACTGTGCATGTTTTCTCCTTACATGTACAGTTGTTTTTCCTTTGTGTTATTTTCATTGTTGATATAACCAGGGTGAACATTTCCTGTAAAAGTCATGGGAAGAATAGAAGCTGACAGTGACCTGCAACAAGCTGCAACTGGTGCAACTGCAGACATTCACTCTTATTGTCTTTGACATTAATGGGCTAACAGTGGGGGAGGCATCGTTTCCATTCTACTCAGCTCCTGCAGCAGTTTAGGTGGGACAAATTTGTTGTCAGCCTGCTGTGCATTAGGATGTATTAAAGCAGACGGTGGATGTGTACATCAGCTATTTCTACAAGCTGTCTTTCAGCATCTTTCCTAGATTTTGTTTGAGTGTAGTTTTCTCAAAGTTGTTTGTAGCCAGCGTATGTGATTAAGTAGATGTGGTTTTACATCATGTCTGTTACTGTACTTATTTTTGTGACCTGTTCCGACTTTTTAATTATTAATGGTCTAAAATGAAATCAATTAGACGTTCATGAGAGAATGGTATGTGTTCCCCAGGCAAATGATTCAATTATGTTCTGTAAATGAGGCATGACTGACCTTTTTAAACGGGAACTATTCATAGTTCAATTTCCACAATTGCCTTCATGGTTCAACTCATCTATTTTGCATTTCTTCATGTGTTAAATTGAGCTGGCAATATCAGAACATTTCAGATAGTGTCAGGTGATAACATAATCAGAAATTAATTTTAAGAATAGGATTATAGTTCATATAGTGCAAACTGTGTCAGAGATATTGGAGGCTCAGGGCTGCTGGGAGTGGTGAGAGATTATCTTTCAGATTACATGTCTTGGTTTTACTTCCTCAATAGAGTTAAATACAAACTGTTTATCTTTGTATTGTGTTTAACCAGCATCTTATCATTCCACTACCGACAAAGTCCTGTTGTGTTTAGATTATAAACTGTAGCTAGAAAAGTGTGTCAGACAAGCAGGACTTCATTTTAAATTGTAGTGAGGATCCTAAAGTTTCCAGAGATTCAAAATCAGCCAGGCTGAATTTTAAGTGTGTATAAAATGATGGACTGTGAAGAGGTAGAATAAGATGATACAAAATATATACTGCATGACACTGTCATCCAATAAGAAATGGGATGGTTTTCCCAACCTCAGGTTTAATCCAAATGAACTCACCCAGCTCCACTCGCTCTCAGTGACTGGAGCTGGGTGGCCATACTGATTGACAGCAGCTGACAGACTTAGAAATTTCTTTTAACTATGGAACCGAACACCAGCAGGTAAATGACAGAGAAAGTCAACAACGTTGTGCTTTTCAGTAAAAGGGGCAGACAGGGTGTTGTCAGCAGTGGGATTGAACGGTAAGGACCAGGCTAGCAGCTAAATTGTTTAATGGGTTAGTGCTGGATCTCGAGACTTGGGAGTAGAACCAGGTGGAAGTGAAGCCTGTTTACTTGGGGATTTGTGTTTTGTAGCAGGCTGCAGTTTAGCTGTTAGTGTGACTTCCTGCCTGATAGAGACAGTGGCATTAGAACAGTATGGCCACAGACCGTACAGTCTGTTTTATGCAAATAGAGTTTAAATTCAAGTGATCTGATTGGTTGGATGGATGGAAGACTGGACTACGTATGTATGGATTACATAAAGGTATTGATGCAAAGATAAGGGCACATATGTGCCATAATTATATTACAGAAATAATGCAGGCAGTTAAATTAATCCATTTGTAAATTAACAATGAAATAATAGTTGTAAATTAATGTGATGAAATGTATTCATAAAAAATGAAATACATTTCTAATAGAAAATATCACCATCTCTCTAGAAAGCAAATTAATAAATATACATTAAAATACATAGGCAATTCAATATACAAAAGTTTTATGTACTGAAATTAACGTGAGGAGGCTTTGAAATAATGTCACTAATGGTATTTATTAATTACAGTCTAGGCTAAATATTTGGACAGCTTTGCATAGTTTTTTCTTTGGGCTCTGTACTACAGCACATTCAGTTTGGAAAAAAGGTATGAATTGATTGTCAGTGTATTAATTTATTTTAAAAATCAGTTTTTCCGTTTGCATGATAGTGCTTCCTAAAAGATCAAACTGAATCAGTTTGTGTTGTCTGATATATCAAGACATTAACTAATGTAAAATCACTAATGTGTGATCCGTAATATTCAGACCTGTAGTAAAGATGAATCGTTATGCTCAAAGTTTTCAGTTCAAAACTCAGCTTCATGTATTATGACTGTGGTACACTGCTCAGAGAGGTTTTGAGATTTCCATTAGAATTGTCCTCAAGGCCGTTCTCAATTTTTTGTGACCTGTTGGTGCCAAAGCAATCCTTGCCTGTCAGACATTTTTCCTAATCGTAATCAATAGGCCAAGCATGACACTCGAAGGTGAGAGATGTCGATCCATCTTTCTCAATCATCTTTTCCTCTGGGGTCGATATCGCTGCCTTTTAGAGGCACCAACAAAGTTATTCACACTCCCCCCGGGGGTAATAGCATGGAGCTGGGGTGCTGCCAGGAAGCTAATGAATGTATTTGTCATATCTCTAATGACTCACTATATCACCACAGTACCTTGGCTTAAGATTTATGGTAATAATGTCTGCAGAGAGGCAAGTGCATTCTTTCTGAGGATTTTTTAGTTTCTGTGTACCGTTGATGAGACACCTTGGGAGAATATTAAATTGACAGCACAAGAGTCTTTTCTGAGCCAAATGTTCACAATGCACCGTGGTACTGTAGATGATAGCCTAAACACACAGATCTGGGAAGTTGATTTTCACATTAGCAAGAGCGCAGGAATGGCAAACTAATGATGAGTCGACTCTACTATTGATTAGAGCCTGCTTATTTTAGTCCCCAAGGCCCAGACAAGCCCACACACCCAGACTAACAATATCAGTTCTCACTCAAGTTATGCTGAGATGTCTTTACTGATACCAGCTCCAGAAACTGCCTCCCTTTTGTGCCTCACAAATCTAATCCACGAGAACTTCATCTTCTTCCATTAAGTCCCAAGTGACTTCTTTTTTTTTTTTATCTGCAGTGTGCACTCTAAATGCAAATGGCCAAGTGTCTCGGGTTGTGGCAAGTACAGAGCACAAGTGAGCAAAGATAAGTCTTCACAAGACATATATAGGATATTAAAGTAATTAGTCTGTGAATTAATATTTACCACAGCTCTCTGTGATCGGTTTACCACAAATTAACATGGGATATAAGTTATTCTTCACTTGTTGATCAACTCTAGCAGAGTACTGAAGTGTGAACAGTGAAAGGTTTGAGCCAGCATAGTTCATTTGTATGTTTGGGGGGTTTGTAGTTGCACTAGTATATTTTATGTAGCGTGAATAATGGTATGCCAGTACATGAGAAGGGGGAGAGAAATATTTGTTCAAGATTTTTCAAGGGTGTCTCCTGCAGCTTCTACGGAGACGATGTAGGCCAGTTCGGATGCACTTTAGAAGCACAGTTGATCAGCAATTCCTTCTGTGAGTTCACACATCCCTCAGACTTCAAAAGATGCCTCCTGAAGGTTCAGGGCACAGACCTGAGGAGATAAAGAGAGGGATGCCTCAGCAGACTTTGTTGACACAAGGCATTACTGGGGTATTTTTATAAACCTACTGCCCTCATGTGGTTGGTTCTGGGTCACAAACAGAACAGAAACAAAAATGTTATAGTCACTGAGTTCTCAGACATATAAAGCAGAGTGTTCGTGACCTGCTGAATGCTGCAGTATATTGGCAAACTAATGCAGCTATACTGTAAACTGTCTACATCCCTACCTGTGATTCAGTCCACGTAGTGTAGTGCCTGATCGATTACCAGTAAATGATTGATGAGCCCAGCTTTCTTAGGGAGAATTCCAGGATTAGGTTAATTTGGGAAAGAGCTGAGCTTTTGCTCAGAACAGACTTTTTCAATGGCATCATTTGTTATTAACCTTTGATTTTGGACCTGTAAGGTTTAGATGCCTTGTTGTATGTAAGGACATGTCCCTCTCAGTATACTTACTAACCATACCAGTTGGTACATTTATAAATGACTGTGATTCTGTCAGTAAATATGGTTTGTTTTATGAAAATCCAGATACGCAGTACGTTTTTTTTCATGACCACAAATGCCCAATCAAATTTTAATCTACTACTGTTTACACCCCAGAATAACAAGAAAAGGGAAAACTAGATGTTCTGAAGAACAAAGTGAACAAACTTTAAAAACATGGAATTCCAAGATGTACAAAATCTATGTACTAGCTTGAGAACTCGACTGTGCCTTCCATCTTTTTCACTGTAACGGTCTCATGGTACATTAGATCTTTGTACTGCTGAACGCTTACAGAATAAGCTGCAGGGATCTATATGGAAAGATGCCTGAATGCACAGAGATTGAATCTTGAACGTGTATTATTGTACAAGTAAATCTTTGTCATTCTTTCTTTGTCCATTACTGTCTCCCTCTGTGACTTTAATGCACAATTTCTCTACTATTGGCTTCTACTTAAGACTGTAGCTGTGCTCATCCAGAGGTTTATTTTTCACCCCACACCGAGACAGACCAATAACCTTTTCTGACTCCATCCTTTAACCATGCCCTCAATTAAATTTCTGACCCAAAAATCTACTTCTATGGCTCATCTGCAAAAAAAAACTTCACAAAAACATTAAATGCTGTAGCCTCGTGCCCCATAACAGCAGTAACAGTTGAACTAAAGTTTCAATGAAAACTACACTGTAGCAATAAAAGAGTGATTTATCATGTCCAACTCAGTAACAGTTAGAAGAAGTGTATTTCGAACTGAGAGTAATCATGCCACACAGCCAGCCACACAGGGCCGCTCGGCAGCTAAAAGTCTGAATCAGTGGCTGTTTGTCTCACTATCTGTGCAAAAGAATACAAAGAGCAAAAGCCAGGGTTAACATCAGTTTGGCTTTTTTGAGATGGAGAGGGACTTGGATTTGATTCAGATGTGGCATCTTCCTTTTGGACGCATTAGCATCTAAAGCTAATGTTTTGTTTTTGTTTGAATAACATTAGCAACCTAGCATGGTCATGATGCTACCGTTTGGATTGAACAAATGAGTTTAATCTGGGAGTGTGTAACATTAGTGCTTTATGTCACATTAGCAATAACCAGAGCGTCCTACTGGACTGATGAATTTATTCATCGTTTAGCTAACCCTAGCTTCAGACTGGAGGCTGAATTTTGTATCGTTTGTCACAACCAGGTATCCTTAGGTAATGTTGCTAGGAAACAGGATGTGATGGGAGGGGAAGAGTGGTGTCAGTTTGTATAGAAGAAATTAAGCTCATCTGCTAACCTGCTCATGCGGTGTATCCGAATCAAAAAGTAGTGGTATTCACTAATTCTGTAAGTGATGGGGAAACCTACACTTCTAATGATCGGTTTGTAACTAATGAGCATATGATCACCAGAATAACTGAGAAACTGGTGGTGATTCTTATTAGCAGTTCCAGGACTTGTGTATTATTTGAATACAGTTGGGGGACTTGTTGAGAGAGAAAAAAAAAAAAAAAAACTAAATCGGTGCAGAAGAAACTTTCACTTTGTAGTAGCAGCCTATGGGTCGAACTCAAAAACCATTCAATCCTACATTTTCCATAATGCGAATGGCTGTTAGACCTTTCCTTCAGACTCGACATTGCTGGTGCTGTGTAGCATGTAAAAAATAAAATAAAATAAAAATTACTATGTGCAGCGGCTTCACAAAGTATTCAGACATCTCCTTTTGCATGTGGCAAAACAGCATTTTTACTCACAATACAAAGTGTGAAAAATGTGAAGGAGTCTGAATACTTTCTGAGGAGGCTGTTATAAAATGTATTTTCCAGTAGGCACAGTTTATCACATAATTAAGATATGTATTGATTGAAGTCAGAGAACTCTAGGTCAATAAAGTGGTGTGTATGTTGTTAGTAGAGGCTGATGTTGTGCAGAGGGTGATTCTGAGGGCGAGCAGAGGCTGCACTGTTAATTAAGCAGATAGTCGCTGTTTTGTCAAGTCCCCAGAGGTCAGTTTTGTTTTAGTTTCTTCTGTCTGTGCTGTAATACTAGTGATTATGTTTGTCTGACTTTAACAAAAGCTCTACAACAATCAGACCATATGGCAGCTGCAAAACAAACTGCAATCTGTCAAGATATAAACATGTGGACAGAGTTACTGCAAGAAAAACATTTCATTTTCATCTTCTTCTTCTCAGAGCTGTCACATCACTGGGGGTTTGCAGCTACACTGATCACCCACTGTGCACAACCACCAGGTGAGTCTGACCATGAATTCTTTCATCTAAACACAGCATTTCAGCACAGCAAAATGATTCTTATCATATGTTAGAATTTTTCATATTTTGGAAAAAATGTCAGTATTGTGTTGTATAGTGCAGGAGACTGCTTTAAAATAAGTTACTGTAGACAGTTTTCCTTTAACTCTGTTACTTAAGCTGCAGCAGTAATTATGATTTATACATTTGTATGGATAATATTTCCCTTTGCTTTTGTTGCTGCTGTTCTGCTTGTGATGACTTCTTAACATTATGTTTCACTAAAATTCGCATTTCAGGCATGTGGTAGATAGATGTGCTGGAACTACGCAGCTTCAGAAAAGGGTTTAATGAGGTAACAGCTGTTCACTGATGTATGGCATGACTTGATGTTTGACCTGATCCCAAACATGTTGATCACACATCTCATTTCTTGGCACTCAGTTGGCGCACAGGCAGGGGATTTTCCATTATGCATTAATTATCCTCCTGTTCTGCCATGGCAACAGGGAGTCGGCCAGAATATGAAGACAGCTGACAAATGAAAGGAAAACCCTGAGTGGTCTCTATTAGGATGACAGTGCATGAGGGGGTCACTGAATGGTTTGATGAGTATGAAAATTATGTAAAGGATACGCTATGGTCTTCACAGTCACCAGATCTCAACCCAGTTGAACACCTATGGGAGACGGATTGACACTTTGTAATGAGTTCCTTTCATTTGTCACCTGCATGTGTTTCCTTGTAGCCTACTTCATTTTAAACTACTTTATACTTGCAATTGATTACATTTCATTGTATTTTTTACTCCATTACAAGCAGAGTAGTTCAATTTTTAGGTAAAGATTTACATACAGAACACAAATTAAACAACCCAAGAGAAGGTAAAGGTGGCCATGCGTGGTTGACCAGTAGCGTATGGTGGCTAATATTGGCAAACATTTTATAATTCTGATCGACTGGAATTATGTGTTTAGCATTTGTCATTGGCCAATAGTTGTCGATATTTTAGTCACTGTTGCTGTTCAGTAAAAATTACACACCAACGGATTTGATTCTGCCACTGTTATTTTGGCATTTTGTCTTTTGTGTCATGGTCAGAGGTGGAGCAAGAATTCAGATTCTTTACTTGTAAAAGTACAAATTCCACAGTGTAAAAATGCCTCATACAGAAGTATTATCAGGAAAATGTACCTAAAGTATGAAGAGTAAAATACTCAGTATATACTACAGTATGACACCATATATATCATTAGAATGGTTATTAATAATTGAGTAGGTGGCTGAGATTAAATTAAGTATTTCATACAGGGCTGCAACTACTGGATTTTTATTATGGATTTTTCTGCTTTTTCTTTTCTTGATCAATTGATTCAGTGATTTGTAAAACACAAAATAGGGAGAAACGCCCATCATAATTACAAAGAGCTCAGTGACCCTTTCAAGTGTCACATTTTGTCTAACAAAATGATTCAGTTTCATGATTTAAGTTGAGGAAATGCAGTAAATTGTCAATAGTTAAGAAGCTGAAACTTGAAGCTGATTATTCAGTTATTAAAGTAGTTGTAGCTTAATTTCTTTGACTAAGGAACTGATTAACTTACTAGGGTCTTCAAATGTTTTGTATGTCAAAGTAGCTGCCTTGCAGATAAATGTAGTGGAGTAAGAAGTACAATGTTTTTGTTGAAATGTGGTGGAGTAGAAGTATAAAGTAGCATAAAATGGGGATCTGTACTTCACCACAGTACTTGAGTATTAAGTTACATTCCACACATACTCATGATGTTGATGGGTGTGTCTCCATTTATGATACAAATTTAAATAGATTTTGGTTCTGATAACAGATCTTTGTGTGTGTGTCTTGGCACGCTTAGCCTTTTTCCATATTCGGCAGTAGTCAGTCACATTTCATAGCCTGTTACCCTATGACTCGTTTTACTCTCCCACAGTGGAAATATATTCATACTCATCAGTTCATGAGCATATGGGCAGGAGAAGAGCATGAGATCCACACTAGAGAATTAATTAGCAGCCCCAAATTGCACAGTGCCAAACATCCCTCTGTTTCTTTGAGGTAGCCAATGAAATTAAGGCTAGTGGTCGGCCTGAGGCGATGACACCACCGCTTCTGGATGGAGAACAGTAATTGGACAGCTTGTCAGATAAATCCAGTGTTGCTGATGCAAAGCTGTCTGTGAACCACTCCACTGACCTGCATGCAGTAGCATTTAGTGGCTTTAAATAAGAGAAGCAAGGGAGAGAAGAAATATTTAGTAAGACATACTGAGAACTTTGGACTTTTATTTAGGTCTGATACAGTACAAATAAGCTAGGCAAGACAGCACGGTGCATTAAATGTAAAGCATAAAGGTTTATTTGATCAGATACAAAAGTTATTTACAGCTTTATTTAAAACTTTTTTTAATCAAATGTAATTCCTTAAGAGGAATAGTTTGTATTGACAGAAGCAACATGACATGGAAATGTATGAAATAGCAGAAGGAGCAAGAATTCAGGTTATTTACTTCTGTACTTAAATGTTCAGAAGTAAATGAAAAGAGAAGACAACCAGTGTTAAAATCATTTGTGTGGTATATAAGTAAGGTGTGCACATTGTAGACATTTAAAAAATACTGCTTGGATGGTGCTTAGGTGTTCATTACATAAAGTGTGTGTGTGTATGTATTCTCTCTCTCTCTATAGAGAGAGTGAGAGAGCTTTCTTTTCCATATTTCAGATAGAACTTGCTTTCTGTCAGACATTCTTGATGTTTAGTAATATCATGGAAGATTAACTCCTGCATGTAGCCAAAGACTTGTACAGTTTGGCTGTGATTGGGGTGTAAAAAAAAAAAAAAGCCGTTCTGTTACTGGCCATGCTCGTCTCTCCCCTAAAAAGCAACCTGGCTAGTGAAATCTTGTGGTGGTGGAAAGTTAGATTACAGGGGACTTTTCATGTTTTCCTGTTTGCTGGAGAAATCTTGGTATCTTTTCGTCCACCCCCTGCTCGTCTGTGTAACATAACGTCCTCATCATCTCCTGTCTGGCGCTTGGCAAAGCTGACAAACACCTAAAAACAAAGACAAACTGATTTAGCATATTGTTGTTAAAGGGTCCATTTTCTTTTACTGCTACATGGCAGTAAAGTACCGTAATGTACTGTATCTGTCAAGGAAAGAGCAGATTCAGATGTTGCTCCATTGACTTTGTATTGTCAGAATGTATCTCTGACAAATGTCTTTTTACAAAAAATTGAAAAATGCCTAAAAACAGCTGTGTGGTAGGATGCGCAACCAACAAACTAGAGTTACAGTTTTAAAGTTTGCCAAATGAAAAACAAACCTTTTAAGAAGACAGAAGTGAGACATTAGCAGGAAGAACAGGGAAACTGTGGGATCCTGACACTCTATGCTTTCGTGTGCAGCAGCAAACAGTGTCACTATTAAGCCAAATTTCCAAGTTATTTCTGTAAGCTAAAGCATTTTGACAGTATGCCAAAGTTAACAGCTAACGTTTCCATCATTTTGGTTATCAACTGCACCTCAACTTCCCTCTGGATCTGTTTTGGAAATAAATTGTAATGCTAATTTCCCTCCCTCATGCAAGCTACTGTAGATAGCTAAAGGACCTGCAAACATACCAAGATGCTTGCTGCACACACAGACGGCTTGTTCTTCCCACTAATGCCTCATGACTTATCCACTTCCGACTTCTTAGAGCTTCTGGGTTTTTTTGTTTGGCAGCTTTTAAAACTAACTGTGTTCCGTGCCTTGTTGGTAGTACACCCTATCTCACAGCTGCTTTGAGGCATTTTTTCAGTTTTAGTTAAAAAAACTCAAGTGTCAAAGGGATGTCTTCACACAATCCAGTTGTTAAATACATGTACAGTTTATTATCAATTCAATATGCTACAGTGTTGTTCCCCATTGTTTCAATAGATCTGAATCAAAAATCACAGGTCAACTGTCATTTTACCACTTTCCTTGCGACGAGAAGGAGAAAAAGAAATGGCTACAGTTGATTAGGTGAGTAACAGCATCGTTAAATTAATACTTAATTTAACAAAACTTCTAAAGGTGTGCCATTTTGTAACTTCTTAATGCAGTAGCTAGTTAGCACAAAAACATTTTTTGCTGAAAGTAACTGCTAAACTCTGAATACGTTACATATAACACAATATGCGTACAATTATATGCAATTCAGTGCAACACTTCCACCTTAATTTTACAAAAAACAAACACTGTCAATGTATAAATTCAATTATATTTATTATTGAGGAATTGTCCCCCCCACCCCCCAGTATGATGCCTTGTGCTCATGGTTTGTACATCCAGTACGTACCTGGTCCAGAGTTGTCTGAGAAACAGAATAATCTTCGATGCTGAGCCTTTCTTTATTGGCCACCACCAGCTGAAATATCCTGGCTAGGGAGGAGGAGGAGATCTCATACTGCAGTGTGTTGTAGTGCTTCTCCCGCTGAACACAGCCGGGGAAGCAGCTCTTCATGAAGCTCTCGACAGGCTCCAGCTCTGGGGACAAGCCCACTTTAGCTGCCTTGATTTTCATGATCACTACATAGCCGTCACCAAATCTGGAAAAAGGAAACTGCATATAAAAATGACATTTTCAAGGATATATAATGCATTTTCTTATATTTGCATATTCTACAGCCTTTACTGCTTGAAATGCCATTATATGTGGTGATATTATCGGTAATTTAGTTCTGACTGTATAGACTGTATATACTGCATTGTGTTGCCTCGTACTTGTACATGGGTAATAAATAAAGTTGAATCTAATCTAAACTGGTTACTTCATAGTGGACCAAAGGTTCTAAGCAACAGTGGTAGAAAGTAACTAAGTACATTTACTCAAGTACAAGTTTGAGGTAGCAGTACTTGAACTTTTCATTTTCTGCTACTGTTACTTTGACTTCACTGCATTTCAGAGGCAAAAATTGTACTTAATTGTAACACAGTACTTGAGTAAATGCACTTAGTAACTTTCTACCACGTATTTTCACACTGTTGTATTGCTACTTTTACTTAAGTAAAGGATCTTAGTACTTCTTCCACCACTTGCCAAGCGATAATACAGTGGATGTGGTTTTAATCTCTGAAACTTAAGTATTTTAAAAGTCAAGATGTATCTTAAGGCTACCCACACAGTCCTGTTTTTGAAACCTAAAGTACAGAAAGCTCCTTACTTGTACTTGAGATGCTGGATGGTACCCAAACACTTGAAGGACCCGTTGACCATGATGGCCAGCCGAGTGCAGAGGGCCTCACACTCCTCCATACTGGTGAAAAACAACAATCCATCTTAATTTTAGTGCTGCCATTTCATGTCTGAGCAATAAGTCATAATTTCACAGATCTCTATATTAAAATCAAGCAAACACCAATCTAGTAGTGATTTTCCTGACAGAACAGTTGGCTGCATTTGGTCAGCTGATACAGCAAACGTGTTGCAAGGATTTAATTTTGTAATGAAATGTTGAACCTGTGTGACGTTAGCACCACGGCGCGACCATCCTGAATCACACTCATGATGGCGTTCCACAGGAAGCGGCGAGAGTGCGGGTCCATCCCTGTCGTCGGCTCATCCTAAACATACACAGCCACAAAGAAAACGGTTAACGTGACTCTAGGTACTTCCATGTGAACAGAGTACTGAACTGCATCGTTGCCTGCCAACATTTGATTCCAGACTTGACTGAACCCATATGGCTTCCCATCTGGATCCATTAACCATTTTATTGATAAATCTCTGTATAAGACCTAAAAACCCCAAACAATGGACTCCTCATTATTGGCTAACTCACCAGCAGCACCAGTGCTGGGCAACCAATCATTGCGATAGCTGTGGAGAGTTTGCGTTTGTTGCCTCCACTGTAGGTCCCTGCACAGCGGCCAGCATACTCTGTCAGACCCAGCTTCTGGATGCCCCATTCTGCCACCTACAGGGGTAATAGGAGACCTATGCTTGGAGGGTATGTCCAACCAAAGTGCCATTGTGCACAAATTGTTAGGATGGGGAACCCCTGCTGTTAAATGAAACCTCCAAGACAATGTTATTGCTAAATTAAACAGGCAAAACAAGCATTAGCAAGCACAGAGCTACAGTAAAGAGAAAATGTATAAAACAATAGTAACAAAATAGTTCAGCTCTCTGTGTAGCGTGTAGCCACACTGGTTTCATTTGAAAGTGAAACATCCTTAGTTCAACACACGACGCAGCAGGAGTCCCACTCACTCTGGGGATTTCTGACTCAGGTACCCCTCTGAGACGAGCGTAGAGATGGAGATGTTCCCTGCCGGTAAGGAGCTCATCAATAGCATCAAACTGAGGGCAGTAGCCCATGTTCTGGTGCACGTCCAGAATCTCTGTCAGGATGCTGCAAAACAAGACGGGGTGCAGCAACACATAGTGAGCATATAATGTGCTAGGAAAGCAGAATATCAAATTGTAAAAGAGGTCAGTCATTATTCCTCTTAGCACACACTATAGAAAACAAAACTGTACATAAATTACATTTATTAATTTAATGGCCAAATGTGTGTTTGCCCTTAATTACTGCTGTTTCGTACTGTACTTTTTAATGACTTTTGCCTCACTTTATGTGTTTTAGGAAAATACCAAGTCCTCGGGCTTCTAAAAATCATTTGTTACAATAGACGAACCTCTCAGGGCTACATTAAGGCCATAATCTGTGAGGAGAAATCACAAATATGTTTCTATATTTAAAAAAATGTACTTTCCAAAAAGGTTGGGAATAGATAATTGGTTTAATTCATCTGGATTTGAATATAGTGTCCTGAAAGCCTTTTGACATGTTTTCCAGCCTGACAAGAATTCTGAGGGGAAAACTGGGTACTCTGAGCTTGTTATTTTATGATATTGGCATAAAAAAAAGTCCATTACAAAAACTGGGTCTTCAAAAACCATTTGTGAATCAAGCCATAAATTCTAGCTGTTTTTCCTGTTTCAGGAAATGAATGACCTTCTAGTTCTTTATACTTTCTAACTCACTGGTCTGTTTCTGGTAGTTACCCATCTGAAACTGCATAAAGGATAAACCAAAAGCAAAGTTATTTTTCTTTATAAATAATATTCAGTCAAGCCCTGATCAGCATTTCTGTTGTATTGTCCAGGGAAAGCTTTAACTCAACTTTACGTACCTGTAACCAGCCACAGTAGCCTCCCCAGAACTGACATCTGTGTCACCAGTCAACATTTTGAAGGTTGTCGTCTTTCCAGCTCCATTAACTCCCAAGAGGCCAAAGCACTAAAAGGACAAAAGACAATCGGCCTCTCAGTACAAGGACAGAATCAACCAACTGACATTAACAGCTAATGACCTTTTGAATCCCTAATATTGTATCTGGCTTCATAAAATGACTAGAAATGATGGGCATGATGTGTTAATACATATGAAAATAGAAATCTAACAAGCACACCCAGTAAAATATACTTCAGTATGTTGCCTGATGATAGTAAATGACAACTACGCATATTATTTGCATCTCTAACAGTGTGTCTGAAAGCTTAATCATGTTAAGTATGACAAATAAGACAGTGGTAGCTCTCTATATAAATGCATTCAGTGACATTACCTCTCCTGCGGGGACTCCCACACAAATCCGGTCCACAGCTGCCCTCTTCCTGCCCACATACGTCTGTGCACAGAAGGCAGGGAAACAATAACAACTCATTTTATCTGTCTAATACTTTTTGAAGCAGTAGAAATTTAGGGGTGAACAAACAATATAAATAAAATATGCCACCTACTAATTTTTCTGCAACATTAATCCGTCTGCATATAATGTGTTTAGCATGTAATTATTTGTTTTGTTCGGCTTGTTGCAACTTTACACATTATAGAATTATTTCCATTTTTCCCTCTCTGCTGTTAGGGAACCGTATGAAAATTATTGGGGCGAGAAGGAGATTAAAGAACAGTTTGAAGGTCAAGACTTGGTTTTAGGGTAAAATTAGGTATGAAACTTGAAATGCAAATGAGATTACATTTCAGAATGACAAGGATATAATCTAATGAGATACAAAGTCTGTTATAGTCTAATGTATACTGTGAACATGGCGATCTCATGATGACATCAGACATAGCTGAATCAGTGGTTCTTACTTTGGAGAGGTCTCTGATCTGCAGGATATCTGTCTTGCTCCCTCCATCATAAACTCTCTGCCTCTCTGCTGCCACATCATCATCTTCACCTTGTACCGGAGTCTGCTTGTAGTCTGATAACCTGCAGCGTGTGAGAATATCATCTGTCAACAAGCATCTAGTACAACACGGGTGCACTTTATCTGTTAATAACGTGGCAGGATTTCTGACCTCGAGTGAATTTTTCTCATTAAGTTTCCATGGAAAGGTCAGGAGTGTTGGTGTGATAAAAAGCAGAGATGCTGTGTTTGTAAGCCTGCATGCTGATGCATGTGAAGCCAGTCCCTTACCAATGTTCCAAGAAGAATCGGTACTGGATCAGAAGATTGAGAATAAAGTAGATAAAGCCTTCCGCTGCCATGAAAGCAACATTTTTCCCCACAAAGTCCCACCGGAAGGGGTCAGCTCTGTACTCTTCACCTGGAAACAGAGACTGAAAATGAGCCCTTTGTTCAGTGAATTAAAAAATCCCCCAGGTTTTTATTTTATATAGCTCACAGGATGTACAAACAGATCAGAAATCTGACATCTCATTGGCTGCTCACTACTATTTACACTGTGAAATGAAAGTATGAACAACTAGAACTTTTATTTCCAAAGGTAGTTGTATAACATTTAGTTGAGATTTTCCATTGCAAGATGCATGCAAAATGTTCATTTTCCCAAAGCATGTGTTTATTGTCCTGTGAAAGATTAGTTTTAAATAAATAATGGTGGGAACCTTGTGGAACTTTATCTGCTAAAGTAAAGAGTACTTACCATATCTAGCATACACATCAGTGACAGCTTGGTTCATGGCCATGTCGATCAGTCCTCGCCCCAGGCAGAAGTGAGGGAACACCAGCAGGCCTTTCTTCAGCCACTCATTGAACACGAGCAAAGACTGGCAACAAAAGAAAACAACACATGCAACACATTCAGGTCACATTTGCCTAAAGTGAAAAACTGACCAACACTTTTGTACGAACTGCACAGTCCATAATGTAGTGATTATCTGCAAGAAACCTTTAGCTTTTGGAGAGATCAACATAAAAACTTAGCCATGCTACCTTCATGGTTCTCCCATGGCTCATCTCTGAGGTTTTTCAGTGAGCAGACGAGTACAGATGTGCAGTGGAAGAACAATTCCCCCCTTTTTTTTTTTTGATGGCGCAGGAAGTCACCTGTCACCATGACATCTTCTGTTTCTTCCTACTTGTTTTTCCCCTCAAAAGACTCAGATACCACACAGCAACCAGACCAGGTTTGTTGAAATGCTTGGAGTAGCTGCTGACAATCCTGTTCTGCACACCTGTAGCCCATCTTCTCATCAGCCCCTCTGCACCACATTTTTAACTATGTAGTTGCTGTGTAGTCTTAGTTAAACAGCCTCACACACACTTTTTGTTGTGTGTGTTGTGTGTAACTTGATGTTTCAAACTATCAAACGCCAGCCCTTTAGTGTCCTGAGAGGCACACAACGCCTCAGGCAGCACTGAAAACATAAAAAAGGTGAATGCTGAATTTACTTAGATGTAATTCATCAAAAAAATCATCACAACCAACTAGGTTTAAAGCTGCATTCACAGAATGTTTGGCCTTTTAAGACCAACAAAACAAGCTGAAAACCCAACACAAACAATTTCCAAAGTTACACATTCTGCAGAGAGGGAGCAACATTTGGAGGTGTGTCTCTGTTCATCTGATTGGATTCATTGTTAGTTTAAAAAATGATTTTCAAACTCTTTAAAGCTGCACTAAATGCTATTATATTAACACCTTAAAAAATGACTGTTAGGTGAAAGGGGTCACCTACAGTAATGAACTCAAAGGAATTATTTAAACCAATTTCATGAGCCCAGTTTCCAACAGCAGTGGGCAATTTTCTGCAAATAAAGTTACGTTTGTCAGGTGGTCAGAAAAAATGTGCAGCAGCTTTATAATACTGCTGAGCTGTGTCAGGTGTCTCATCCAGACTGATGAGTTTTTTCCTCGCAGTATAGTGAAAGTAAACGTCCTTACCCGATTGTTTTCAAAAAGCTCCAGGATGAAGGTAATGGCACTGCTGTTGATGCCTATGAACAGGTTGATGCAGGACAGAGAGACGTATGCAGTACTTGGGATGTTGAACATGTAGGACATGGGATACATCATGGGCGTTACTGACCATCTAAAGGCAGGGGAACCAGACAAAAGATACATTTACAAGTAAAATGAGAGTAATTCCCAATTAGTTTCTTTTTCACCTCTCTTGATGTCATTTGATACAGAATGAACCAAGGAGCGAAGAAATCTATTCGGCTACAAGGAAATCCATAGAAGAAAAACTAAATGCATAAATTAGTTCTTTCTTTAAAGAGGAGACATCCTAATAAGGCCCTCTGGGTCCTTTTACAGTACAACACTATCAGTGCACAATCTGTTCCCTCTTCAAACCTTCTTCGTGTCTTACTGTTCATATTTTTCAAATGTAAATCAAAAGGAGCCAAATTTCACTAAGGAAAGCCTTACCCATATAGTAGAAGCAGTGCTATTAGTGCCAGCAAGTTAGATGGCGATGTGTAACACTTTTTGTCAAAAGCCATAAAAATGCCGACCACCATTGCAGTGCTGAGAGAGTAGTTCATCTGGGAGAGAAACAGCATTCACATGAGATAACCAATATGGAAATCAACTATACACAAAATAATCAGATGTAAGATGCTAACTCACCTAAATAAACCAAAATATGGATCTTCTTGAGTATACAGTTATCAATATGACATGAATAAAGCTTAAAATGACAGGAAAATCACTATTGTTAGACTCACCATGTCCCAGAAGAAGTTGGCCACCCAGTAAACTAAGGGGCTGACCCCACTGACAAACTGCAGGTGCTTGGCCTTGGTCACACGCTCCTGGATAAGGTAGAGGACGAAGCTGGCGGGGATGAAGGACATGGCGAAAATAACACAGATCGCCACCACAGCGTCCACTGAAGTGGTCAGTCTGGAGGAAGCAGCAAAGTCAGTACTGTACATTCAGGTCTGGGAATGGGATATTAGGATCATAGACATGCCACAGTATTTTCATAAAAGCTGCATACAAGCTCATCTACTTTCAAAATAAAATGACTGTGATAGATCCAACTACTGAAGGGATCCGTGCTAAGCTCTCACTCCTAATAGGGTCTGGTTGAAAAGCTGTCCTGTGTGAAATGATCAGAGTCTTTGACCTTTGCCAAAACCTACATAATATAAAAGAACACTCACACGGTGACTTCAGAAAGCTGCTCTTTAGTGAGGTTGAGAGGGTGGTTGATGGCAGTGATGCCAAACTCAACGGGTTTGGCAGTCGATGGTAGGAGGGCTCGCAGAATGGCGTTGTTGGCCACATTCATGAAGGCAACCATGGCGTGCCAGCCTTTGTTATTATACCATACCTGACAAAGGAGAGCAGAGTAAATAGAATCTGCAAACTGACCTCCCTTATATAAAACCTTGATTAGTGGGAAGGGGGAAGCAAAGCTATTAAAGCCAGCACTTACACCCACATTTCATAAATTGAAATGTGTGTAATATAAAAGCAAAGTGCCTGAAGCAGACATCAGACCAGCGACAAAGAGTGTTTGCACATCATTTCTGCTGCTGGCTGGTTTGCCATTTGTGAAGGGGAAAAAAAGGCATTCTTCTATCCGTCCCACGCCTACCTTTATATTGAATTCACTTTCCATGTATCGTAAGAAAGGACCAATCTCCCTCAATGCAAGGTCAGAATTGTAACCCTAAGAAAAACAGTCCTCATTATAAACTGACTTAATGGACACATCTCCAATGTCTGAACAATAAAACATGAGCAACACAATGTTAATTACCCCTGTGATGTTAAGCATTCGTCCCAGCTGATGGAAAACATTCTGGATGTTTCTGGGGTTCACATCTAAGATGGGAAGTTGTCCTCCTATTGACAGGCCTCCATACCTGACAACACGGAAGGTTTACACTTGTAGCCATATATCAGTTTATTTTTAAAGTGTAGAGGGAGACTAAGACTGTATACTGAAAGAAACTTGCAGCAGTACAGAGCCAGTGATTACCTTTGCTCATTCACCCAGTATTTGCTCTTTAAACTGTGAAATGAAATTCAGAATGATTAAGCAAAGTGGTAATTATTTAAATGTGTTAAATATGTGAGACATGTTTTAGGTCTTTTGAGGGTTTTGTCACACTTGCATTCCTTCTCTAATATTGCCCACTTCTATTATTTGCATGCACATGTAAACTCGCCTGGTTCTGATGAGATTCGGGTAGGTTTTGACCAGGTAGTCAGAGATGTTCCTGTCAGTCAGATCCAGCATTGTGCCTCCTGTGGCCTCGATTCGTTGGCGAGGGGGCAGCCCACCTGCACCGATGGGACAGATGGGCATCATGGTCAACTTCTTACTGGTGCTGCACTGACACGAGGGGGATGGGTTTCTCTCATTCCATTCAGAACTCTGTGAGATGTTGCTGATCTCAGGGGAGACGTCAGGATACTCCCACTCTGTTGTACTGTTTCTACAAGGCATTCTGGAAGGGAATGAGTGGAGATGCAATCCACATGCAAAAAAGGGAAATTACTGGCAAAAACTACAGTTTTTGCCATGCACTATACTAGATCTGTGTCTTATCTCTGTGCACTTTCACAAATTAAGTGAGGCTCAGCACTTTGTGTTTGAATATTATTATTTTGCTATGACTACATTATTGCTTTGAATTTTGTCTCTCTGCACTAAAACTTCCTGTAAGCATTGTATGTGGTAAATCTGATATATAAGTAGTGTTGATACACACCCTAGTGGTTCTCCTTCCATGCAGCGTGTCCCCAGGCCTGGTGGGTTTAAAAATTGCTGTGTGAAGTGTTTCATTTTGGGGTCAAATGGCTGCTCGTTACTGAGAAGGTATGACAAAAGGTGAAGAAGAAGAGGTTTCAGAAAGTGACTGTAAAATGAATGATCACCACTATTCTGTCAGGCACCTCAGTGTTTATACATAACAAATGATTTATCAAGAGTCAGTGTTTTGTAAAATTGGCTATATACAGACAATTTATACAAGTAAAATCCGTTAGCAGGAGGCTTGGTAATCTGCCATTTCACAATGCTTGTCATGAGGTCTAACCTGAAGAAGATGAACTGCTGTCCGTACATCCAGGGCGTCAGAGTCAGACTGGGATATTCTCCAAACGGAGGAACAAACATGGTGAAGATCAGAGCTATCAGGACGAAACTGGCAGGGAGGATGATCTGAAATTACACAAGGATACATTTTTCATATTAAAAAGGAAATATTAAGGTTACAAATGTCAATTATACCCACCAGACTTGGACTACATAGTAACAAAAATTCATTTGTTTTCATCAAAGTATATCCACATTACTTTTTGCCAAGTCATGTGGCACTGGTCTGCAACCCTCAGTACATTACAGAACCATTCAGTAAGTTCAATTTGTCAGTAGTAACATCAACAACACAATGCCATATAACAACTCACTGATGTGTCCTTGTACCTGTGCCATGAAGTCTTTTTGGCTTCTTGTGGCGTGGTGGAACCTCTTCACTAGCAGCGCATGGAACTGCTTCAAAGTCAGAGTGGCACCTTTCACCTGCTTGGAGCCCTTTCCTGCACTGCTGTCTGATGGACCTTGGGTCATGCCATCCATGCCATTATGTTGGTCAAGAAGAAAAACAGTGAGCACTGAGGACATGACATTAGAGAAGCAGAAGCAGGCTTTCAGCAGATCTGACTAAGAAGAGCACCTAAACTCATCTGAGGTTTCTTTTTCTGTGCAAGTCACAATTATGAATGTGAATAAATGTATGAATTTGAAGCAATGAAAGGGCATGCAAGCAAAAAAAAACAACAACTTCTAAATACTGCTGGCTTTCGTGTTTACTGTACAAGTGGAACTATAGAAGTACATCTGTGGCAAAACTTTCGAGGGCGCACAAATCACATTTTGATCACTACTCAGTTTGCAACTCGACATTTGAGAGCATGCAGGCACAGATTTGTAAGCAAAGAATCAGGTTTGAGATAAAAAATCCCAGCCATGCATCCACTTGGTTCTGAGTCTGCACTCTCAGTTTTATCTACCGGGTTTTTTATATGAACGTCTAGTGGCAAAAAGGTTTGACAACACTACTCATTGTGCAAAGCAGGCGCCGATTTGTAAGAGCAGAATCACATTTGAGAGCAACAGGCAGATCCCTGCTGCTCACTCAAATCATCCGTTACACTCACAAAACTCGGTGGAGAAATCTGAGAGCACAAACTCAGAAATGAGTGGACGCATGGCCAGGATTACACTCTCTATGCTCATACAAATCTGTGCCTGAACACTCTCACATGCCGAGCTGCAAACTGAGTAATGCTCAAAATGTGGTTTATGTGCCCTGAAACATTTTGGTGGGGATGAACTTCCTAGACCTGGACCACTTGAACTTTTTTGAGCACCAGAAAACTGAGGCTTAATGCAATTACTACCATAAAATTCCATAGTCAAAGAAAATGAGCATACTGAATGTTTCTGTGATGGATACCATACAAAATGATATCCAAACTGTCCACATCAAATGTAATGAGACATTTAATTAATGACATTTCTTCTAATTGAAGTCCAGTAAATTCAAAGAAGAAGAACATTATTTTATATTGCCAGAGTTCTGTTCAGTGGTTCTCAAGTCTCTGACCTTCATTTCCCTCTACACCAACTTGGCTGTTGTTTTTTCTCCGCTGTAACATCCACTGCTCTAGAGGTGGAGGTTTGACACAAAAATGAGACAAAACACACAAACTAGAAGGTTAAAGTAACAAACCATACCACATGCAACATGTAGACAAGTACTACAGCTACTGTCCAAGAGACAGTTGTGTAAGTCATAGGGGATATACAACAATAACAGTATAATAAAAACAGGTATGAGGCAAATGGATTAACAATGTGTTAGAGACAGGGTAACGAGCCAAAACTCAATTCCAGGAAAAGGCCATGTATAATATCAGTGGTGGTATTTACCGGGAGTGGTGGCATTATTCGCTGCTTCTCCGTCTGCAGTGACCTTTATGAATATCTGAAAGCCACAACAGAACTTCCATAAACATTTCACACATTAAATAAAGTTATATCTTTAAGTTCAGGAGGAATATGATGTAAGCTTTTCATTTTCCTTTATTAAACTTTAAGACAGCATTAAAAACACACACACACACACACACACACACACAAAACCATGTGACACTGCTAAAATGTCCATTTTATCAATAACTTTCTTGCTGCTGAGTGAACAAAGTCTCATTTTCTTTAAACTAGTAAAACAAAAAAACCAGCCATTTCAGTAGCAGATTTGTTCACCTGTTCTTTTGTTCACCTGTTCTTTAGGAAAATGTGGTGATTTTTAGACAAAAAAAATTTGTTAAAAAGTTTTTTTTTTTTTTTTTTTTAAGCAGGTAGTGACATACCTAACCTGCCAAAGCTGCTGAGCCCCATGTCAGCAAGTGTCTCCTCCAGCTCCCGAAACAAACTGGCGTACGCCCGATGCTTGAATCCCTTATTGGGCAGCAGATAGGTCAGCTCCTGTCCAATCGTTTCAATCAGTTTGGCTTCTGGGACATGGTGGTGAATGAGGCTGGTGATGCTGTTTATGTCCCCTGGGAAGAAGACACAAAATCACTACAGTGCAGAGAAGGTACTGAAGAATAAAATGTTCCCAAAATAGCAGAAAGCAGGACAAGGACAAAGGAAAGGAAGGTGCCTAAGATGCAAAAACCAAAAACCAACATTATTATTCAAGCACTAAATGCAGAAGTAAATTTGTGCTTGAACAACTCCATGGCATTGCTTCTCAACTACAGTGTTCTTAGGCAGAATTAAGATGAAACTGCTCAGAGGTCAATATCACCACTGAATTACACATGTGAAAAAACAGTTTTCTGTTTTTGGATCCGTTTTTAAGTACATCAATTACGTGAATTCTAGCCAATGCGCGCACACACATACATACATACATACTGTACATCTCTGTAGGTCACATGCAAACACAAACTTGCACTGCTATACTTGTGAGCACCCTAACTGACTTAAAAGGCCCTAAAAACCTATTTTATTATTACCTCATTTTTATTACCTTAACCTAATATTACCTATTTTATCTTATCATTACAAATCGGGCAGAGAATTTTCTGCCAAAAAAAAAAAATTCTTGCAAATTTCATATGGGAGACTTCTGTATTTGCGTTTCCTCTTTGGTTTTAGGTAGTTGGCGCTGGGCTGGAAAGAGGTCAAGTCACAAACAAATCAGGATCCAGTAATATCTGATTAAAATCTGTGAGCTTGCTTGTTTGCATTGCCAGTGAAATGTCAACAGAATCAGATAAAATCACATCTACACGGTACTAATTAAGCAGATTAGGTCAGTTTTTTAGTTTTAAACCCAGAATATAACAATTATGGATGTTTTTCTGACATATAACTTTGATTTTTACTAATTTAATAATAATTATTGACAATATTGAGGGTGGGCCACGGAAAAGTAGCCCGTCTCCAAAGCAATCCACTTGCTGAGGCTACTTTTCCGTGGCCCACACTGTACAAAAAACACTTAATAAGTGATACCAAACCTAACCCTTCCCTTGTTCCAGTATAAGAAATACAGCAGTGCGCAGTTACCATCCATAACTCTGTCTACATGCTGGAACTGGCTCTGGGACTGATCTTTGTATTTGGTACAGATGGAGCAGGAACAGGAGCAGTCTGACGCGCAGTCACAGTCAGTCTAATGGAAACAGCAAAGACAAGAACATCATTCTCTCTTGTGTGTTTGTTAGAAACTGATTCAATCTCTAATGCAGAACAAACAGACAGAGAAGAGTAATATTGCAGCTGGTTGACTGTGTAGAAAAACCTCACCTCCCTCTTCCTCAGGTCCTTTATGCGGCGTACAAGAGTCAGATAAAAACCCACTCCAAAACAGTTCTTGAGGAACAGGGGTGACCCACAACAGTGGAGCTGTCCTTTGGAAATGATGGCAATGCGGTCGCTCAGCAGGTCGGCCTCATCCATGTGATGTGTGGACAGAATCACTGTATGGCCTGCGCCAGGACAAAACTTTCAATAAAGCTCTTTTATTGAATAAAAAAAAAATCCAGCCCATTCTGTCAAAAATATAATCAGCCATTGCTTTGAAGTGCCTTTACCAACAGAACAGTTAAAATGGATTGAATCCACAACTATGTTTGCTTTTGTTGTAGCTGAATTTTTCCTTTTGATCAGCTCTCTACTTAATTTACGTGCCTCAGGAAAGCTGTAAAGCCACAAAAGATTTGGTTTCATTCTTCAGTGTAACAGTAAAACACAGGTCAAAGGGAAAGATATGTACTAGTGGGTAAAATGTTCATTTAGAAGTTAGAACATTGAGCTTGTGGCAGTGACAGTTTTACCAGCTCTGTATTTCAGTAGGAGGTCCCAAATAGATCTTCTGGAGTAGGGGTCCACTCCTGAGGTGGGCTCATCCAAGATGATGACCTTTGACCCTCCAACAAACGCCATGGCAACTGACAGTTTCCTCTGCATACCACCTGCAAAGCAAGAGAAAAACAGCTGCTCAGAGGAGACATGGTCATGTAGGAATTAATAATATTCTCCCCCTTTCGCACACAGAGAAACAAATGGTCAACCGGAGAGGTTCTGAGCCTCGGCGTTTCTCCTGTGAGGTAGCCCCAGGTCTATCAGCATGTCCTCGACCTCCCTCTTGGCCTCCGCCTCAGTCCGACCCTTCAGCAGTGAGTAGAACAGGATGTGCTCTGCCACTGTGAGACTGGTACAAAAACAAGGCAGCAGCAATAAGTCTCCAGAAGAAAAGAGTAAAATAGTTGCTTTGACAGCTTCTTCACCAAGTCTGAATGGGGAAATAAATCAGTAACTTGGGCTTCTAGCAATTTCTGAAGAATGTGGATTGGTTTTAACAAACCCAGGCCCTCACTTTACCACAGCTGAAAACACTCTAATCTTTCAAGGTTTCACTAGTATTTTTGTCTTTTCAAAATAAGTTCCTTTTTGTTTTGCTGTGTTCCAAAAGTTAGAAAGCACTGTGTGTAAGTAATTTTGTGACTTGCGCTGATTCAGGCTTACAAAATGTGACTTACTGTTTGAAGAGGATGTTGTACTGAGGACACGTGCCCATAGAAGAACGGATGATATCCATGTCAGTCCTAATGTCTCTTCCATTAATGTATGCAGTGCCGGATGTCGGAGGGTACAGACCAGTCAGGATGGACCTGGAAAACAGCATCAATACCAGGACACAGGCAAACTTTTAACTCTTGAATCTGAGACTTAGAAAATGGTGTTTCTAAATAGTCCACTGATTATGAAAAGATCTGATTGCTCAAATGGTTTAACTACTGCTGGAAGCTGTTCATGTTGTAAGCATAAAAATGTGTGCAAAATGTGTTTACAAGGTGCAGACATAGGAGTTAACATACTTGTGCATGAAATAGTAAAATTCACACTGTATAAATACTGAACTGAGTTTACTTTATATATTTCTGGATAATTTCAGTTATGAATTTATTAATTTAAACTAATACTACAGTTGTGTACTTTCAACTCAGTGATTCATAATTAGTTAAATCTGCCATTAGCTTACATAGTTGTAGTTTTTCCAGCCCCATTGTGACCTAAGAAGGATGTGATCTGGCCTTCATAGAAGCTGATATTGAGGCAGTTGACGGCTGGATGAGAGCATCCATCAAACACCTTTACCAGGTCCTGGATCTGCACCCCCATCATCAGGCCCACTGGTTCAGGCTCAAAGAACAACTGACCTGCTTTGAACAACAGATCCACAAACAATAATTAACACTTATAATATAATGTTTTGGAAAGTTTATCATGCCTGATTCTGACAAACTCCTACTTTGATTTACTTTTAAACAAGTACAATGCACACCAACAGAGATTCACATACAATATCAAAATTAAAGTGTCCCTAATAGCAGTAGTTACTGGTTAATTATTCCACACGAGTGTGGACACAACCGCAAATTTTCTTTTGTTTATTTTTTTCCTTTAATGTTCCTTTCTTGTCTTGCAGATCCATGTGTGGTGCGACACCCGCTCTGTCCACCAGATGTCCTCAGAGTGTTCCCAATCTCCAGTAGTTCCTTTCAGATACTGCTGCCTCTGGGTCTCACCTTCCTTCCCTGAGTCCCAACACTCCTCCTCCTGATTGGGAGTTTGCTCTTGTCGTTTCAGCAGCTCCTTCTCTCTCTCTAGTTGTTCCCTCTTACTCTGGTGCTTACAGGTTTTCTTGCTGGCTGAGCTGTTGCAGGTGTTTGTCACTGGTGTGCCCCTGCCCTCAGCATCATTCTCCATGTTCTGTGGTTCAGATTTCGCAGGATCTGAAGAAGACAGATAGTAGAGACATGTCCTTATTATATTTGTTCGTGTTTTATCTGTCACATGTTGAAGGTTCTCACAGTCACAAGGTTTCTTGTTAACATCAATATCAACTCTTAGCTGCTGTAGCATTTTGGTAGAAGAGATGGGCAGATATGTGAAAGAAGGCCTTGCTATAATATCGAGATGGGAATACTTGAGATTTGATTTTTGATGGATGGATAGCATATTGCCCAAATTGCTTCTTGCAAGGATGAAATATGATACAATGCTAATTTGGATCTGGAGGTCTAGGTCTAGAGCTGCAGCTTGGAGTTGATTTTTTTCCCCCATTTTTTTGTGTCTGGTGAAGTTAAAAGAAAAATTGCTCTTTACTTTATTTAAACATTATGTTAACTAGGATGACCTACAACATGGTTAAAAGGACCAATCTTTGAAGATAGAACCTGGTATCAGACCCTGCATCCTTTTACCAAGATGCTGATTTACTTCCCACCATGGAAGTGCTAGAAGGTGTTAGAGAGCACGCATTACTTGCTTGACCTTGACTCATTATATCACTTATATTGGCCTCTCTAGTACAACTATAACCTTACAGTGGGCAATACATGCTTTTCCTAGAAGCAATTAGTTTTGAAGCAGCATTCATTTCTCCCACTCAGGTTTTATCTGAGTGAAAAACCCTGAGTCACAGGGTGCTCCACAGTAAACGAACAGGGGTATCAGAGCAAGTGATTCTGACCGTGATGGGCCACTTCTGTTTGTGAAGATGCAGATCTTTGCCAGTATGAGGGCTGGAATGGGAAGTAGAATGGCTGTCCAATGCCGTACTGTCCTGTGAGGGAGAACTGCAAAATCATTCTAAGTGTAATAACCTTGTACATATGAAGGTGGTTACACTGTAAATTGAAGCATGATTTATAGAAGCAGCCCAACCTGGGAAGACATTATCCAGGTACCAGGCCAGAACAGCATAGAGGACTGCATCAAGAATCATCATGAGGATAGAGGTAAGAAAGGAGTAAGTGTCCTTCTCTAACGGGCTGGTCTGGATGTTGTCCCACTGCAGACCCAAGCCCTGCTCCTCGTATCTGGACAGGTACTCTGTCCCGAAACCAAATGCCACAGGAGACAACAAGCTCTACAGAAGCAGAGAGATGCAGAGAGACTGTTCATTTGGTTTAGTTACAAGTGGTGCAGAATATCTTAACATAGAGTAATAAAGGACTTAATTCAGTTTAATTTATCATCTGTGACAAAATGTCTGCCAGGGTTAACCCTATTTGTTCAAACAACAATACAGATTTTCCTGCTGCTGTTAATGTAGCAGTAACAGATGACATGTTCGTTCAAACTTTGTTCCAGAATGATGTTATATTAGTGTAATCTCCCTTAAGAGCATGAAATTGTATGAAAGTGCTCATTAAACATGCAAAGGTTGTGTTAAAATAGTATCTGTGTATTTGTCCTGAAACAGCAACATACAGCAGCCAACTTCATGTTTTTTGTGATGCGGTCCTGCCAAGCGAAGCAGAGGATGTGGGGCAGGTAGAGGGTGAGGTAGATGATGCCACTGCAGGCGGCTGCCAGGTTGGCCTTGTTGAAGAACACACTCATCAGGAAACACTGCGTGATGGTGGTGACAGTGAAAGTCAGCAGAAAGAAGAAGATGAGGATGGGGTCGCTATAATTCAGCACCTTGCCACCCTGAAAGTGGAAAAGGCAGTGGGTGATGAGAGGGCTTTCACTTCCACATCAAGAGACAACTGTAACCAGACACACAGTGAGTTGGCTATCTTTCCATAAATAGAGTTTTAATAACACTCAGCCAGAGCATCATTCCATGCTACAAACATAAACTCTCTAAAGCTCCTTCTCCCACCTTCTCTATCCTGCTCTCCCTGTTTTCTCACCATGATGATGGAGGTGAGGAGCGCCGTGCTCGCAGTCATCACAGTGAAGCTGTCAATGAACCACGTGTACCAAATAACTCTGTTGCTGACTCCCGCAGCTTTGAGGGTCTCCTTGAGACGTAGCTCTTTCTCCAGCACAATGCTCTTCACGGTCATGGACACAGAATAGATCCAGGCTAGCACCATGGGAGGAGGAGAGGGGAGGGAAGAGGGTGAGTTAGTACAGATCCCATGCTGTTATTATCCTCAGCATTAATATACAGCTTACAGTGACTACAAAATTATCTTCTTTTCAGCTGAGATTGCTTTGGTAAAGTTTACATGAAACACACTTTTAAAGCCACTTTGTTTGAATCTTAATGTTTGATTTGGCCCAGTGGTAACAATGTCACATTTCCCACAGATCTCACCCGACTGGCTCTGTGAGGATGCACTGAAGAACCTTGAGTGGAACTCTGAGTTAATGACACTGAAATTGAATTATTCACACGCAACCAATCAATAGATCAGGTCACAGTTATGTCAATATATGTAACAACAAATTATAGCTTCAGATTAATGGATACCTTCTCATAAAAGTACACAAATGTGCACTTGATTTTGTCATTCAACCGCTGAATATATACGCAAATAAATTAACATATAAACAGTTTAGGTTCAACTGGACCTAAACTGTTCTGATTTGAAAATGTAAAAATATGATGGTACGAATATTAGTGGAAAACCCTTGTTTACTGGTGTATTTATTTAATTTGATTAATGAAGATTGTTCACACTAAAGTGTATTTAAAAATTCTGATTCCAATGCCCTCAGACACACCCATCACCTTCAGGTGTTCAGAAATATTTTATCTAATAATCTGAAATGAAATGAAAAGCATCAAAACAGAAATATTTAAATGTTATTTTACCATAAATTCTCATGCCTGGAACTCATTGTAACCAATCATGTTACAGAACTAACATTACCACAGTACGTGATCATTTTGGGACACCTATGCTGAAAAAAATACATGTAGTCAGGGAAGTTACATGAAAGCAGTTGCGTGAAATGACCCGTTTACTCACAGGTCATCCACATAACATGGATAGGGCATCTGCTGGACGTAGACCCCGAGTGGCCAGTCGTTGCCCGTGTGAAGCTTGATGATGCCATGTTCTATCATATCCTGCAGGTAGGCAAAGCCTCCCCAGATGTACCTCTGGTCCTCCATGGGGTCTGCTCTGGGGCCGGGGTCCCAGTACCTGATAGATACAAGGAATGAATGATAAAGTTGCCTGGAATATTTTATTGTCCTGATGCTGTAGCTGTTATGTGTCCATTACATCAATTGTCACAGCATTTTTACAACTGAATTATTGTTGTTGTTTAGGGGGGGGGAAAAATCACTGTCTCTATTTAAAACCTTGTAATTCTACAACAAGTCACTAAAGCCACAAACACACCACATACACACTGCTTTTACTTTAGCGGATAAGCCAGAGGCAAAACCCTCTTACAAACTGATTATTCAGTTGTGTAGAGGCAGCTCTCCCACTGGGTCCATTACAGCCTGTTGGTGCACTGTAAACACCTTAAAGTGTTTGTTCACCCTGGGGGCTATTGACATGCTGTCTGTTTATGGGAGAGGAAAATGCATGAAAGGGCCTCACATGGGAGGATGAAAGGGCAGGTATTGAGTTGATATGAAATCCCCAAGAAACTTTGGAAAAGACAGGACAGCTGGAGAGGCTTCTCTTCACATCCTTTCAGGAATGTGACAAATACATATAAAGTGTTTCATTTCAGCAGTAACAACATGAAAAAATGAAGGAATCAGAATCTGCTTTATTGGCCAGGTGTGTTGGATGCATGAGGAATTTGACTCTGGTACATCGGCTCTCAATGTATATGTACATATCCCCATGAAAGGGGCAAGTAAACAGTAAACCAACATAAGGCTGTGTAATATAACAAAATAAGTCGTATTAACAAGCAACAAGCAGTGCAAACAATGAAAAATAAGCAGTATAAACAGGCAATAAACAATGCAGACAGAGAGGAATGCTCATTGAAATGAGATAAATAGGAATAAAAATAGAGTACTTAAAAACAGAGACCTGTATGGATTTGTATAATCTGTACAATGTATATTTACAGGTATTGCACCGAGGAAAAGGATGGGAGGTTGTCAAGGTTGTTTGGTGGTTCAAACACATGGATCCTACTTAACCCATGTGTGCATGCTAGTCAGCTGCAATGAAATGTGCTGAAAAATACCCATGATTTGCGTTTTTGCCCTTTGCTGATAAAACACTTATACCCCATTTTGTGATGCCAATTAGTTTTCACCGACAGTTTGGAAACGACTGCCCTTAAAGGACCGGGATTGAATCAGTCATTTCATTCATTCATCTGTATCATACTGGTGAAAGTTCAGATACTGATATCTCAAACTGCAGTTGTCTAAATGGCCAGACACAACTAGAGAGAATATATATTAAATGAAAATGTATTATTTTATTTATTTATTGGTATTGTGAGTGAAATGACCCTTTAAAAGAACTGAACACAGCTGCTGAATCTCACTGTAGACTCTGTTTGACCTGTCTGCTTTGCAGAAAAACATTTTGATTAATAAAGATACAGTAAAACTACAATGTCACTGTTGGAGTCACTGCTGCTCTGTCACGTAAATGGCACACAGCTCCTCTTTATGTGGACACATGAGAATCGGTTCTGTTGTTTGATGGCCACAGCTATCTGACTTTACTTTTTATTGTGAAAAATACACATCTGTTTCATCTTTTTAGGTCTTTCCTCAACTGAAACAGTCTGAGGTTAGAATGATAAAATGCTCTTTGGATGAAATGCTCACAAACCATAAGAACATGCAACGTGAGCAGGCATGAAAAGTAGACGTTTTGCTTCATTTTAAAGGGTCACAAGCTAGAGAGGCTGGGCAGTGAAAACCATGACTCCACACAGCTGTTACTGACCTGTCTTTGATCTTGTTTGTGCGCTCCACTGCATCAATGTCCATGCGGATCTTGTACTTGACATGTGGGGGAACACTTGTCGTCCAGGGATACATGTCCATGAAAACCACACCAGCCCAAAACTTGTTCTCCTCCAGCAGGTACAAGGCCTGATGGATCATCTGCGACTCATCTGTGTGAGCCACGAACTTATCCAAACTGATGCACTGCAAAAAAAAAGTAGAAAATAGTTCAGTGGTTTTTCAAAATGAACTAGAAATCTGGAATGATGATGCATGCTATGGCATTTAGACCGAATTGTCAAAAAAATATTTGTTTATATCCCTCAAACTGGGGAAAAAAGGTCAAAAGTCTTCTTGGGTCTGTAACAAAACTCATTGTTTTCTGCCACTGGCGCTGAAGGATTTTGACCTTATCCAACCCTAAAGACAACAATAGAAAGGGGTTGTTCTGCAAATTTGTATTCAGTCCATCATTTTGTGAAGCAAATGTATGCACTCATACATGCAAAAAGGTACACACATGTATCTAAACACATGAATACAGCTCCAACCCTGGAGCTCACACTTTCATGTTGTCACAACCACACATTCACTCTTTCTCTCTCTCTCTATGAATTACACATAATGACTCTGTGAAACTCCCACTATACACACACAAACACACTGCTGTCAACCCCACATACACCCCCCCACACCCCCCCATGTACACCATGTCTAATGTTTCCATTCATATTACTGTACAATACCCTGAGAGCGCTCAAAGGAAAAGGAGAGCCCACTTTCCATTCATCTTCACAGACCCATACATTCACATCACAATAATGTTCACTTAGAGATGGGCCGAGAAGAAAGAACCTCACTGATACACATGTTCCAGTGGGATTTCACTGTGAGAAGCATACCCCTGACAGAGTGACAGGACCTAATGCTAACTGCAACAGTTATCCTACGGCCCAATGTTCGCTGACAGCTGTATCTAATTGGTTAAATTGCCTGGGATTGTTTGTGGAGCTAGGAAGGGTCTTGGCACCGATCTTCGAGAGCAAGGACGGGCTGAGATGCCAGCACTGATAGGGCTCTCTCAAAAACCACAACCTTTGCCCCAGCACCCCCATTTTAAATCAGATGACAGAAGAGAGAGGGAAGGCGTGAAGGATGGATAGAGCGATTTGCCCTCCTTTATTTCACAGCTGCAGGGGTCTGTTTCAATGTAAAGCCATATACTAAAACAGCACTGAGCTCACAGGGGGGTGACACCTTCTCTCTACTTTGTCACTGGCTTCACAATGAAAGCAAAGGAGGGGGGTGACAGCAGGCTTGTTCTCAGCACCTTTCAGCCTACTGGATGGAGAGCAGCTCTATAGCCGTGCTAAGTGGCCCGCTCTATTTGAAAGAGCCCTGGGGGCAATCTCCTGAAAGCAACCCTGGAAGACTGATGCTGCTGTCTGAAGAGCTGAGAGTCAGTTTTACAAACAAGCAAAAACACCCAGTCCTGAAATGTGCAAGATTTGGCAAATACCAACTGGGGCAAAGAGGCAACAACAGAGTGAAGGTTCTAACCTCTCCATAGTGGTTGAACATGCGTATGATCTGGTCAGTGATGTTAAAAATGTTCCTCCAGTCAAAGTTTGGCATGCCCGCCTCTCTCTGCTCTTCTGGACCATTGTACAGAAAGTTAAGAATGTCCTTGGTGGTAAAGTCACTATCCTCCAGACTGCTGTCCATGAAGTGCATCACTGTTGGGTTTCGCAGGGTGTCCTGCAGTGACAGGGACACAGGCACAGTTACTGAATATAAAAAATGTATTAGATATGGCTCTGTACTGCAAAGAGCTCAAAAAAATATTTGGGAAATACTCTTAAGTCATTACAGACATTAACATGTTGTATTTCAAAATTACATTTCTTTTTGTTTTATTACATTTTTCTCTTTTTTACTCCCCCTCCCTCTTTTTGTTTACCAGCCTCCATATAGAGTTGAACATATCCACACAACACACCTTCATACACAAACCACATGTAAAATTTCTGTACATTCTCCTTTGTGTCCTTTATCCATATTGTTACCATGCTGTTAAATTAAAAAATAAAATACATTAAAAAAGTAAAAAAATAAGTACACTTTTGTACATAAGTAATAGATAAAACATCTTTTTCTTATTGTCTTCATTATTATTTGCACTACTGTCACTGATTGTACAGGGTTTGAGTCATAGCCTATTAGGTTGTACTGTTTAACTTTGTCCTGTGTGCTGTGTGTTATGACAGCACCCGAGGTAAGACCACATGTAGTGTGTGTTTGCTTATCCACAGAATGTGTGTGTCGTACCCTGACTATGTTCATCTGGACACTGTTGTGAAAGAAAGCCCAGAGCTGAGGTCCCACCTCCTCCCAGGCCTTGGCCATGTTCTGGAGCCTCTCTAGCTGCTCAAAGGTTGTATTAGCCTAGATACACACAAATACACACACATATATACACAGTTTCAAGTCAAAGAATTGCAAGTTCACAAATACTAGATTTCCAGAGTAGTATATCAGCAATGAAGAAGCCTAATCAGCATAGAGCACACTGGTCCTATTGCTAATGTCAATAAAGAGTAACATAGAACTGTCTGTTGTATGAGATTAGTGTCAGATGACACAGATGAGATTTATGAAACTTAATATTATCTTATCTAAACACTAAACTGCAATGTTCTTCAAACAACATACAGTAGAGCCACTGCAGTCATATTATGTAACATAATAACAAAACTCTTGAAACTGAGATGTTTTGTCAGGAGCAATGAAAAATGAGAGAATGAAAGAGATTGTGTTTTTCCTTTTATTGCTGCACCATGACTTCCAATTTATTTTTTAATTTCTCCCCTTCTCTTCCCTTCCCTCACATCACAGTAGACTGCCCTCCTAACATGCTCCGCCCTCTTTGCTTTGGTACTCAGCTCATTCCTCAGAAAGCTGGGGTTTAGAAGCACATAAACAGACACTGAGAGTGCAGGAAGAAATGGAGGAGAGAAAGGGTGAGTAGAGAGAGAGAGAGAGAGAGAGGTGAGGGGTCAGATTGGAGGTGGTCTCTCTTACACTCTTTAATATCTTGCGGACGGCAGGGGAGTCAGGGGTGTACAGGATCTTTCCCATCAGCAGGGGCTTGACTGAATTCCACACAATTTTTGTGATGGGGTTGGACTCCAGGGTCTGCATCAGGGCATTGCAGAAGGGAGCTACAGGGAGAAGAATAGCAAAAATAGTCCACAACGAAGGAGAATGATGAGACAGAAAAGAAGAACTGTACATCATATAGATTGATACAGAGATGCTTTCTCATGTCCATGGAAACTCAAATTGTATGTTCAAATAATGTAGACTAAATGGCCAAAACATGGTAATTAGCCAAGCATTGTTTATTTGGTTTGAATATTAAGTCTTATGTGGCAAACTCTGTTTATTGGGCACTTAAGCTGCTTAAAACAACTATGCTGCTGTTGGAGAGGAATATATTGCTTAAAAAAGTTTTACATCTTTGGAAACGCCTTTAGCTATTTTTTTTTAACAAAAAAAAAAAAAAAAAAAATCACAGTTTAATTAATTTTGGTTTGGTCATCACATCTCATCCATGATAACTGGGCTCCCTCTGCTGATGAAGCTAAAACAGTTACTAAATGAACCTCAAGGCAATGCTGCTTTCTCAACTGCCGTTTCCAAGGATAAGAACGAACTTTGATCCTCAGCTTTTAAGCCAACATGGAGGAGAACTCTGTCAAAAAGAGCATCTTTCATGACAACTGTGCAAACATCTGCTGAGCAAGATCATGTGATAAGACTGAAAGTTCATTATAACGAAACGTTCTTTGTGGTGAGACTGATTTCTCACTTCCTGCCCTGTACAATTCTCTTTTGTAAACTAATTAGTGTATACAATGTACTCTAAATAGTATGGTACAGTGTATACTATACAATACCTTATTTTAAATGGAACTGTGACATTTCACAATTTACTTACTGGTGGTGTCATCATAGACATAGTCGTGGTTCTTGGTGCCATTGACCCCTAAAAATGCCTTGTAGTTGTTGTCCTCATACCAGTTGAAGGACAGGACTCTGGAGCCGCCTCCCTCTGGGTACCCACAGAAGAGACTGGACACACTGGACCTCAGCTGGGTGAAGGAGGAGGGACCCCCAGCATGGAAAAGAGAAGAAACCAGCTTCAGGAGCTCCTGAGAGTTCTCCCGCTCTCTCAGCTTTGCAGAAGACACAGAAAGAGGGTTTTGTCAGTGGTCAAGACCTTTATAAAATACATTCATTACATCCATAGAAACTAACAGTATTTCATGCAGGGGTTAACCTGGCTGCTACCTTTAGCTTTTATGTGTTTATCACAGGTACCCACACTGTTGTCACCTTTGCTTTCACATTATATTCTTTGATCCATTCCACTACCTGTAACATGAGCACTGAATGTATTACTGGAAAGTGTAAAAAATAATTTCATTCTAGCTACTCAACCTTCTATCGGATAATTATATACAAGACAAATATATTCATGTTGTTCATGGTCAATCATACTGTGTGAATCCCATAACCTAAATGGTCACTACAAAACAATGGTTTGAAAGATAAGCAAACATGCTGGACAGACGTCTCTTCTCGTGATGAGGACAGTTGGCGGATGGACTAAATATCCTCCAATTGATAGAACAAAAATAGCTTCATTCAAGTGTATTTCTCCTTACTGTGCATCATTTCCTTTATTTAAGAAATGGAATGGGGGAGGCCGTTGGTAATGATTTGAGTTTCACGTTTTGAATCGATTTTGTTAACGGGGTTAGTAACACATCTTTGTAAAATCTACTGTTTCAAATGTTTTAGGAGTGGAGTTCAATTCTTCCAGGGAAGTCTGTTCATAAGCCTTATAGTTTAATCCCTGTAGCCCTTTTATTACAGTATAGTCAAACTGGTTTAAGGTTGACGGTGAGAATGAGAATGACTCAGAGCTTTTCTATGTCCCCACTTAAAGCAAACTATTACGTGTGAACATGAACATGCACACACATGGTAAAACACAGCCCTGACTTTGTTTGTTCTCACTCCCTTTTCCTCCCTTTATCTATTTATTATTCCACACAAACACACATACATTAACTAGACAGGAAGGAGAGGTGGTCAGTGACAGCTTTTGGCTCGCCTTTCTGTCACCACGGTGATACGAAAGCCCCACCTACAGGATGTGTCACCTCACAGGAATGTCTCTCTCACTCATCTATTCCCCCACCGCGTTCTCTCTCCCACCACGGCTGAGGTGGTGATGGGATGCGTTCTCCCCCGGGGACATGCAGCGAACGTGCCGAAACACACAACACAATCCCAGGCATTCAATCGCCTTTGTCTGTCTGAAATGTATAGAACTATATTAACTGGTAGAGATCCAACTCAGACAAGTCCATTTAAACTGCGTTAGGTACGAGAACCTATTCTATTCTGTTCTATTTTGTTATGTCTTTCCATTTTATATTCAGTTTGAATGTTTCACTATACAAGGCCTCTTAAATATGCATAACTGTCTTTTCTTCTCGGTTCTATACAACACCTAGTCTATCCTGTTTTACTCTGTTCTGTTCTATTCTACAATAGACAGAATACAAAAGCATAGAGCAGAACCAAACTGAACAGATTGCAGGGAAATAGAACAGTACAGATTGAAATAAAACAGAATGAAGCAGGATATTAATGATACTGTAGGATAAAAATAGAACAGACAGAATTGAATACAGTAGAAAAGAATGAAATAAAAGCTATATTATAGAGAATCAGTTCAGAACAAAATAAATACTGTAAATGTTCTTTCTTTTCTATTTCTCTACAATATCTATTCTATTCTGTTCAATTCTTTTTTGTTTCTCTATATAGAGTATCTACACATCGGTGTTAGTGTTCAATTCTATTGTACTCTGTACTTGCAAATGCCATTTGAGGCAATTTGTATGTGTACACATTCATACTCAATTCTGCATAGATGCATAGCACACACACATACATCCTCACACACATCACGAGCTTACAGAGACATAGACACGTGCACAGTTCACATGTAGGTTTTTAACATTAATGTACACCCAACAGTGTTGAGTCCATCACTCAGTCTCCTCTCTGAGAGAGTCTCAAACATGGAGCAGCGGAAAAGGCGAGTTTCCTGCAAGGCTAAAAATACCAGGCCCTCTGATCCTGCAGGACTGAGGAGAAGAAGAGAGGAGCGGGAAGCAGGAGTGAAGGGGATCGATGGACCTTGAAGCACTTACAATTTGGATCTTGTCAGACACCGCTTTAAGAACCTGGCCCCAGAAGTGAAGGTCAATCCCCTCAGAGCTTCGGTCCAAAACCTGAGGCATCTGGGGACACAAAGCCACAAGATGCATAGCAGAGACATATTATTACTTAATTTCTTTTGTATCAAAACCATCACAACTTTTTGACATGTCCCATGGTGGCCTTAGATAGAAAAATAGATAGAAACATATTCATATCCAACAAAAAAAAAAAACCACAACAGCAGTGAAACAGCAACCCTAAAATACTGCAGAGTCCTTACAAGAAATATTTGTTATTAAAAAGAGGAAACTATCTTTTCTTTGGACACAGTTTACTGAAAGAAGGAACAGCAACCTGCTGGTTGAAACCATGTCACATTTTCCATTTGGCTTTCACACAATGTGGCTCCAATGTGTATTTTCACAGCAATAGAGTAGTGAACCTGCCTCAGACCTCCATCAATTGTTTGACACGGCTATGGAAACATGCTACAATCAATTCCCATTAATTCATACAGCTTCTGTTCTTGAAACCTTCAGCGGTAGGTGCAGTAAAATGCCTGGTCAGGGCCGAGTACCGAGGGCTACGGAAACCCTGAACGCCAAGACAAACACGCACATGAGATATCCTTCCTCTCGCATTCCTCGCGCCTGCATTTCAATGAATGAAGGAAGGAGGGAGGGGGTAGGGTGTGGGGGGAGAAAGAAAGCGAGGGAATTGGAAAGGAGGGTGCTGAGATGTGGATGGGAAAAGGGAGTAAGGAGTGTAATGAGGAGAGGAAAGTTGATACAAGGCAGAGATCAGTGGGGTAATGGGCTTTAAACTTCAGAGAGCTAATGGCCTAAATGCCACTGTAATGTACTGCTAATACCAACTAAAAAAAGACCTGTGTATTTATTATATTGATTATATTTATCATATTTAACAAAATCTTACTAATATGTACATTTGACATGAACAGCTGAATTGAATGATTTCATGAGCTGTGAAATGACCAAACTCGGGACTTGGTTGATTTTTATAATTTGTCCAACAATCCAACATACGTTATGTTACGTTTACCAAGGCTGTACCTCTGTTATGTCACTGTTGATACTGATCGAGTCACGTCAGCCTGATATTAATTATGGGATCCCATATCCAAACATATACTTTGCTTCTCAAATATTCCAAATTTTAATCTTTGTCTTCAAGACTAAGGTCATTCAAGGTGCTCCAACTCCGCCACGCTCTCATGGTTTCAGTCCTACAGTTGGGGATTCAAGCAGCTAGATAACCAGGTGTGCTGGCAGCTACTGTGACCCACACATGTTGGTAAAGTACAGAAAACCCCACAGGCTCTGGGTGAGGAAATGATAAGCCCATTAGAGAAGCAGGCCAAGAAGATAATGCCCGTCACCTGACTCAGGCTGAACCTGAACACACACATAGTAAAGAAACTGGGGCGTGCCAAGAGAAAAACTACAATTTGTTGATATACATCAACTGCTTTATTTGTTTTCCCTATTCTGTAAAATTTTCTTAGATTTATCTTCTTCTGAAAAGTGGTACATTCCACATTTAAATAACAAATCAGGGCTTTTAGTTCATTAATAACCATAATTGGTGAAGTGTGAGAGAGCGTCCAGAGAACAAAGAATCATTTGTTCTGCTTGCCCCCATGTTCCTTGATTTTAGTGAATACATGTGTATACAGTTTGAAACAGCCCACGGTTTATTCCAAGCCTCAAATAAAGCCAGTGACCAAGTGAGCAGGTCTGGCACTTGCAAATCAGGCATCATGCCAAAAGTCGCATAGAAATTCACTACTCTCAATTCAAAGGAGTATTGACTGTGTACAAAGGTTTTATTACATGTATTCATACTGCATTTAATCATCCTTCTCTCTGCAAATATTTCATGGCAAATTTATCTGGTGACATACAGTAGTTTTGAAAAGTGAATGTGTGATATTTTGTGGTGATATTTTTTAAACAGTCAATAAAGATATTAAAAACACATTAGTGAGCCACAACTGGGTGACATCATTACCATCAGCACTGCCACTGTAGTTTAGTTTAACTCAGTCCCACAGAACATATTAGCTGAAAAAGGTTCCCCTTTTAATGGTATTTGAGTAATATTTACAAAAACTACAATGCTCAGTTATTTTAGAAAATTAACAGGCTTTTTTTTTAAATAAAACTATATATTTGAGAGTTGTTTTCAAGATGTATGAGTATGAATAAGTTAACTTGCAGCAGGTGCCACAGACAAAGTGTATAAAGTACTGACAGATGAGCTATAAACATCCTCATCTTTTAAGATGCTGTGATATAAAATAATAATATTCCATATACTAGCTAGCAGATATTAATCACAACCTTGAACAGTCATTTACCATCAATAAAATTATTAAATTCTTTGAAATAAGTGGATTTACTGTAAAAAAAAAAAAAACATTAAAAAAAAATCAAGACTATCAACAGGAAGACTGGTTGCTGCCATGGCCTTCACTGTCAGGACAGGAAGAGGGACATGTATCCCGACAAATCCAGCCTTCCAGAGGATCTCAGTGGAAATACTGACTTGTGTGTCAATGACCAAAGTGCATTCACAAAATGTCTATTTTCAGTCACCAAAATTTTCCATCATAAACACAAGGAGGAATGAATGTAAAGAACAATGGTCTCCTCACAAAACAAAGCGATGAGGACAATCGGATGACACTGTCTCACTGTAGACTATTTGACAGAGACATACTGATGTGATGAAGGCTACACAAAGCACTGTCAAACACTGACCAGTCTGAAGATCTTGAAGAAGTCCAGATTAGCATAGAGGATGTCCTCTATCTTCTGCAGCCTTTGCTGGCTGAAGGCACACAAGGCATTGCGGACCCCATAGAGTCCCATTCGACTGGGGAAGATGATGAAGCGTTCTAACAGGGCGTGACTGCATGCAATGTCTTTCAGTCGGAGGTCTGGGACACCAAAAGCAAACTGGGGAACGCACAAAAAAGTGGGACACTGTAATATTCTTTGATAACTTACAAACAGTGGTGGAAGCCAAGACTGCCACCCATCCCCATCCCGCTGCACCTGTTCGATTCTTATTTCTCCATTGACGAGCTGGTAGACTATTGAATTTGAGAGGCCTGCATCTCGCAACAGGAAGGCTGTGAGAACCTCATCATCCTTCAGTATGTCATTTATCCGGAGCCCACGGCCTAGATGGAAAAATCACAAACAGAGAAAGCGAAAGGTCAGAAAAACTAAAAACAAAATGTTGACCTGACCAGCACCAGACGGCTCAGAGGAAATGATTCACAGTAAGACAGTTTGGCAGGGATCAAGTGTTTGAGGAAAAGTCCAGCAAGCGAGAGGAAGACAGCATTTTTACGCATAACCTTGCCAACAGGTAAAGTTAATCTAAACTGAAGTAAATAAAAATTAACCTTTTAATACATGTTCAACACGTGTATGAACATGTGCAGTACTGAACAACCAACTGATTATATAACAGTTGAATCAAAATAAGAGAGAAAGTGGAATAGGGTAACTTCATCTTGGATAATTTTAATGTAGCTGCAATAGACCTGCAGATATTGTACATAGTTCACATACAACTAGGGCTACAACTAACAATAACAAATGCCAGAGAATTGTAAAAAGTGCCCATTATAATTTCCCCACACATCAAGGTGCCATCTGCACTTGTCTGACTGACTGACAATAGGCCAAAAACAAGGTTTTTTAGTTTACTCGGGTGTCTTTTATTTTGTTGTTTTTCGTGTTTGCTGGCTCCCTGCAAAGCAAGGGAGCTGCATGCTGCCCTGTCTGTGCTTGTAAAGTACCATGCAAATAAAGTATTCATTATTTAAAATTATAGGTGGTTTGCTTTTGTCTCAACCATCATATTTGTTGTTCTGATTAATGTTTGAGTTGAGAAAAAAAAAGGCTACAGTAACAGTTGTACTCTTGAGGAAAGTGCCACTGACTGAATCATTTCCTGACTTTTCCCTTTACCTGACATCAAAGATGGGCTGTTGCGTAACACGTCCATTAAGTTTGAGAAAGATGACAGGTCGCGCCAAAGACGCCCAAGTTGCTGAACCTCCTTCTCACTGAGCAGAAGCTCCTGGACATCAACATAGAACTGTGACAATCTGCAACATGCAAAAATAAAGTTACCTATCTAACTTCATTAAACCATGTAATATGTACCATTGTAACCAAAATGTGAAACTGCATTTTTTAAAAGTAAATAATTTGAGAGTGCTATGATTAGGCTTACACTGAGTTGTTATAGTTGGAGACAACGCCCGGAGACTCTCCTCTGGTTGGATATCTGAAGCAGGGGTTGTTGGCATTGCAGAAGATGCCTTGGATCCAGGGCAGAATCCCTGCTGATGGCATGGCCTTGTTGGGAAAATGACCTGAAGAGACAACATTAGACATGTGAATGTTTATGATCTGATTTTAAGAGTTGCAACAAGTGCATGCTATTTATTCCCAGGAAAAAACTTCAGCAGGTACTAGAAAGCACCAGATACAAGTCACTATTTTGTCTACAAAACCTTGTTTTAATCGATAGATTGAGGTAGCTTGTCTGTGAGGATGTTATTCTTACATTCATGTTGTTGGTGCAGTGGATTGGCCTTCCTCAGCCACACCAAACTAATAAATAACAACACTGGCCAGACGATCTCCACCAAGAAGCGGATCTGGACAGAACCAAGTGACGTGCAAGTTAAATACAGTGAAACGGCAGAAAAACTGAATTCCTGTACACTCCAATGCAACAGTCTGACAGAAACAGGAAACTGTTGTAGCCAGTTTACATAAATAGCTTTACTTTCTGTCTCTTGCGGACAGTCCAGTTTTTCCACAGCAGCAGGCGGATTTGAGAACCGGTCTTCATTGTTCCACAGCTCAACCCCTGGAAGGGGTCATCAGACTGTAACAAACCTGTAGATACACAACTCCATTAGCGCTCACATTTACAGCAGATCACGATACTGCTGCTCAAAAAAGCCCATGACTCTAGCACCTCATTGTTATAGAACACTTGTCTTGGACCAGGTTTGATCTTGAGCCTATTATTAAACTCCGACTGTGACTAGACTTTTCTTAGATTAAAAAAAAAAAAAACATTTTAAAGATTTTTTTTTTAAACTCTATGTTCTACACTCACTCTGCTGTTTTTGGTGATGACTTGACCTCAGCTCAAACTTGCTTGTATCTGGCCTTAGCATTAACATGTTTCTTTAAGGTGGTCTCGACTACAACACAGAACTGACCCTTCATTAATCTACTTTTTTGTAAGCATGCTAAAATGTTTTTTAGTAAACCACCCTATCCCCAGGTATTAGTTAGCAAAAGGCTGAAATTTGAAAGGGGGGGTATACTGTACCACTATTAAAACTACTAAATGTATTGCTGAACACCATTATTAAGAACATACAAACATGACTGGGTAGGTGTATAGAAGGGAAACTGTAGTGATAAATTTGCAATTTGGACCTACTCTGTCCTGAAAACACATTTATTTTGGAGATACATGACCTCAGTAAATTCGATTTAATCAACAAAAAGAATAAAATGGTAAATTATGATTCTTACCTCTTATGGAATGCTATAAAAGTCACACGGCATCTAGAGAAAGAGGTTCACAGACAAGGTGAAGTAATGGAAAACGAGTCAGAAAAGCTCTGTATGACCCCTAGCTGCCCACTGGCTCTCCTCCGCCTGCAGGTCAGCAGCACTCCTAATCTGATTGCTCTAATCTCCCAGCTCAGCATAGGCATGCAGGCAAAAAAAAAAAAAAAAAAATTTACATCTGTGATCCATTTTGAGGCAGAATGAGTGGATGACAGGAATGCTGGTGGAGAGAAAGCCTGTCTTGAGTCAGGGGGGGAACAGGCTTGATTTCCCAAAAAACCTGTGTGTTTAAAAATGTACAGGCTCAAGATTTACCTGCAGAATCATTGTCATGCAAGTCCTCAGCTAATCACCTGCAAAAAAAGGGTGGGGATCATTGTGAGCTTTTGTGCTGTATGTGTCTGAAGTGACTCACTGCTCTATGTAGCTTCACAAGGCAGAGCAGGTGACAAGGGTGATTAGGCTGAGAGTGTGAAGCCTTGACACCCGCACTTAAAACCGCTGTGAACTATGCATACATAGTACATTACATGTTACTGTACACAGATCTGATGTGACAACTCCAGTGCCTCTTCATCTGAATTGCCAGTACAGAAAAATATATGGTTAACGACTGGTTAGAGTAAAGAACAGGCTGCAATGCAACTTACAGCAGCAGAAATAATACATAAAGTAAACCTCTGCGTACAAAGATACAGTAAAATGTATCAAATATAATCGTTCTTCTCTGATGAACTGAACAGATATTGGAATAATGTATTTTCAAATAACTTCCAAGAGGTTTCCTGGAACAATCTATGTAATGTAGTGATTATTTTAGGGCAAATGGGGACAGTGTTCAACTTCCAGTGAATTAATTCCAGTTTACATGTAAAAATATGAGTTCAACACATATGAAAAGTGTAACTTCCAATCATAAGTGAGTAATAAATTGTTTGAGATTAAATGTAGCTTCTCATCCACTAAAGTTCCTATTTCCCAGATAATTTAATTTGTACCACATTAACACGGTTCAAACCAGGACACTTCATACTTCAATATCTTTGAGTTCTGTGCTGTTGGTTGTATTAAAAAGCAATTTGAAGGTATGACTTTGATGAACTTTTTTCACTATGACATTTTGTATACTGAACAATTAATCAAGGACACATTTGGCAGATAAAGTAATACTGAAAATAAGCGATAGTTGTTGCCCAGGATCTAAAACCATTCCACTAAACTCGAGTTTGTCCAATACAGCTATATGTCCATAGGACTTCAAAAAAGAATTCTCTAAACACTCTCAAATATGTCTTTTTCTCTGACGCACTCAATAGAAAGATCTGTAAAAACTCAAATGGAGCAGAAATAACTTAAACTACATTTTTAATTTGCAGCAAGAACTGTTGCATGTCATTTTTCTCCTGGATTGTCACAATACTGCGATAACACGAAATTACTGTGACAAACATGCAATATTTATGAATGAATATAAAAATGTAAACAGATACATAAGACTTACATAGTGAGAAAAGCTGTACCAATCACAGGCTCCAATGGACAAATTTAAAAAGGTCAAAATGTTAAATCCTTTATAATTAAAATCCTCGTGTTAAAAATACATCCATCTATTACTTGTGGAATAAAATACAAAACTGAGCAAATTTTAACATTACAGGTAACATTAAAACTGGAACCAGTGTTAAGTGCATTGTGTGATTACAATAAAATATACGTTTATAACAAATCAAACACTGAACAAGGAAATGATAGGTCTACATTTCTTTAGAGACAAATCTATGTGGTTGGTAAAAATTCTTTGACGAAAAAATAAAGTGACACCAAAAATTCACGTTGGCGTCACCATTAATCTTTGCTTGGTTTGAAAGTTTAGACCATCCACTGTTGACACTATGACTTCAACATGTAAAATAAAGAATATTAGTCCTAACACTTTTGTGGTTTATTTTCATAGGCCACTCTGTTGATAAAAATGTTTACCCCAGGAATACACTATGGCACAAATACCAAATTCCTGCAGTCGCCGAGGTCGCAGTCTTTGGTAGACAGGCTTAGTCTCACTGGGGCTGAGGTTATCAGGGCTGCTTGAGACTGGGGACTGGGGGGGTGAAAGGGTAGAGGAGGTCCCAGGGTCAATGGCACTGTCAGTAGAGTCCTGTGACTGGAGCCGGGTCTGTGGGAGGCTTGCAAGGACAGGGGATGGAGCGTCTACCTGGACAGGGCTGACTGGAGTGACTGCAGAGGTGGTGGTGGTGGTGGTAACAGCAGTAATCGTGTTTGGAAGTGTCCTGTCTCTGCTGTTAACGAAAACAGGGGGCTTGTAAAAAGTCCCAGGAGGAGGCTGCAGAGTCCTCGGTGCCCTGAGGGTTAGAGGAAGGTTTGCTGAGCTGTTAGACTCACTGACTGAATTTTCTGTGTCATTCTCCCTTTTAGAGGTCCAGACAGGCTTAACTGACACTGTGTAGGGGCTGTTGGAGAATAAAGTACTCACACTGCTTGTGGTAGAAACCACAGAGGCAGTGGTTACAGTTGAATTAACAGTGACAGGCACCGTTGCCTTTATAGGTTGTACTCCAGAGCTGGCATTTGGCAGGTTGGCCACAATCATAGCAGTCCTGGGTGTAACATCATAGTGCTTGTACTTCCGGTCCCATGCTTTTCTTTGCATTGTCTGTGTGTCAATGAAAGGTGTGATGTAGTAGGTGCTAACCCTGGATGAGCTACTTTGGCGAGCCTTCTCTGGCTCTGGCGTCTCCTGTATAGTTTCTGTGACAAGGTCACGCTCAGCGGAGCTTGTATCAGCATTAGCAGCAGTGTTTCGATTATTCCTCTCGCTGATCAGGGTGGGTGTGGGCAGGCGTTCCAGCGGCATACTGACTGGTCGAGACACATGTCTGGTGCGCTGGGTCCGTAGCTGGACCTTTGGTGCCACACTGGAAGAAGAAGGAGTAGTGATGCTGGGACGGCTGTACACTAAGGTTGACCTCTGGACTTCTCCACCACTAGATGTCTGGACCCCATTGAGTCTGGCCAGGGCGGAGCCATCTGTCATGTCTCTTCCGTGGTGGACCTCCTGTGCCTCATCCAGGATGTGAGAGGATGGGATCACTGATGAGTATCTTTTGTAGGTTTTGGCACTCTGCAGGGACATAAACAATTAGATCTGTGCAACATGTAGTAATCAATAGACAACAAAGTGGACTTTAATTTTGTTAATGAGCATTAACAATATTTATTTTCATACAATGTCAAAAGAAGATGTGGATGCATACCAAAATCAGTGGGATTTTTTTTATTCAGTTAAACTGTCACACTTTGGATTTTGGCTCTGGCTGTTCACATCCCATATCACCCATTTATTGCCTTTGACCACAACCTATTTAACTTACCATGTTTGGTAATTAAAAATTAAGGGTTAAATGGTGACCTGAGACAAAAACTGTAATGTGATTTGGCATTATACAAACAAAATTTGATTTGATTTAATGTTCATTCCCCTCTGCAGTCTACAAATGTTGTACTAATAAAAACAAAATAGCTTTCACATAATACATAACAAGGGCAGAACAGAGCAGTGACAATAAGAAAATGTCCTGTATTTAAACCTTTAGAATGCTCTTTCTTTGCCAGGGCCAGTGCACAATACATTTACTGTATCAGAAAGTCACCTTCAGCTTTTCCCATTGAGGGGTCGCCACAGCGAATCGTCACACTGACGACTCGCATGTTGACATTTAGCACGTGTTTTATGCCGGATGCCCTTCCTGATGCAACCCTGACTCGAACCGAGGCTGCAGCGGTGAGAGCGCTGCGCCCTAACCACTAGCCTACCAACTAAAAGTTAATTTTCATCTGCAGCCCCTGCTAACCATTCCAAGAGTGTTATCCTAGCAGTCATACCCTATAGATTAAATGAGATGTAGCATAAATCTGCCAGCCTGTTTTTTGTGTCCCATATTAGTAATAATTTCTTAAGTTAAATTAAATTAAATAAAAGGAACAGGCTATACAGATCACGTGTAGTTTGCTAAAGTCACTGTATTACTCATAACATTGGACTTTATTATTTACATTAAACTTCTGCCGTTGTTGACACTCTTTTGCTATGCATAATTACAGCTGTGAGGCTGATGTTAATGTTTTTCCACCACTTGGCTACTCACTCACAATCTGTAAAAGGAAATATAAGAGCAGCATTACCCACATGATCAAATCCCTCCTCACCTCTTTGAGATCCATTAGAGAAGCTGAGTGTCTGCTGAGTCGCTGCAGCTTCTCTTGAGGGTTAAGTTTAGGGGATGCCTGGCCAGTTGTGGCAATGTCAGAGCCAGACAGTTGCAATACGTCAAAGACCACTGAGAAGTGTCGCACTAGCAGCTCCACCATCAGGGCCTGGTAGGGGTAGTCCACCAGGGATGACAGGGACACGTCTGCATCTATCTGCTGTGGCTTCACCAGAGTGGGGCCAAAGATAATGCCCAGGTTACTTGCGGTCATCTTGTTTTCTTCTGCCTGCTTTGACACTCTGTGGTAATAAAGAGTAAAGATGAGTTTATTTCATCTGGGTTATAAGGAACAGTACATGGACTCAGACTCAGAGGTAGATTGACAAATACTGGTCCTTTTATATATTCTTAACATTGGTCAATCAGTGTTGCTAATGGCAACCTGTAAGTGAATGTTTTAACTAGCTTCAGCGTCAATCTGAAAAAATAAAGTTACTGTATAAGGAGATGGTAACCAATAAAGCAAGTTTGTACTTACAGATAAGAAAGCCAAATACTAAATAAAAAGTAAGGTCTAGGCTGAAAAACTGTCAGATCTAAATATAAAGTAAATAAGAACAGAATTCCCATTTAAAAAGTAACAGTGCTTGTGTCAGATTTGAAAAACAAAAGAAGTTTTATGTTCTTTGTACCACTTCCTCTCTGCCACTAGGAAGTCTCCATTTCCCTTTGTGTCCTGCAAGGAAGTCTGGATATCACTGTGTTTATGCAGAGAGTAAAAGATAGAAATAACTTACAAAGGACTAGCTGTAGGTAGTTTCTGAGAGCTCTAACCTGTTTAGGTGTGCTATAAGGTAGCGCAGAGTCCTGTAGTTGGCTGTAGGCAGCTGGCGGAGCAGATCTCGAATCTTGAAAATCACTCTGTTGAGCTGGATGCTTGGCCCACCTTTGTCTCCTGTCTGGGTGCTCGGAGGTTTATCAGTCTCCTCCACTATCACTCTCTGACACTCTTTGGCCAGGCCGATGAAGTCGTTGTAGTATCGATATAGAATCAGTGGCTCTGGTAACTGTTCGAAGAAAATAGTTTTGTGTTCTTACCAGTGGAAAACATTCAGAAGCTACCACTGCTTGTACTGAATGAAATGCCTGTTTAAAACATGTATTAATACATAAAGGGTAAAACCAAAACGATTTAAATAATAAAAGCATCTTTTAATTCCTGCTTTGCTAAAATGTCCCACTTTATGACAAATTTAGCACTTGCAATTCTACATACCACTATACCCAACATTTTTATACTTTCACATAAATTACCCTGTAGTTTTAATGACTTTCTAACTATTCAGTAAGATTTGTGAGGCTCACCTGTCTCAGGTAGAGTTTGAGGACATTGCCGATGTCATGAGGTGAGAGGTCAGACAGCTCAACCAAATCCTTCCCATTTTCAAACGCCTGACAAAGCTTCTCAACACGTGATTTTGCACCGTTTACACGATAAATCCCCTGAGGGGAAAATCACAAAAAAGATTCTGCAACCATGGCATATGAAGACATAAACCAAACTTTGGTATTTAAGATTAACTTAATAATTTGCAAACCAAGATATCAAGTATATACAACTCCAGTGTGTGCATCAAACAACTTTACCTTGATGTTGAGGGCACGGCTCTCAATCTCCGACGTGCACTTCTTGATGATAAAGGGGATACCATCTGGGCTGTTTTTTGCTGCCTGGGCAAAGTCAATACCAAACAGGTGCAGTCTGCCTTGGAGCTTTTTATGGCCACACTGGATAGCAAGCGTCTCCAGACACTTTTTATGGCAGGCCAGGGAGCACTGCAGACACAGTCAAAGAAATGCTCAGTGGCAGATTGATTATTATTTAAAATCACCAATTTCTTCTTGTAACTTAAACAATGTACAATTCAGTAGGTCAAGTGGTGTGGGTCGTAGTAGTTTATTAGTTGTTGTTTTTTTTATTGTTATCTGTTTTTTGTTTTTTTAATTTGGACCCCGAGTCTGTAATAAAGTATATCTGTCTATCTTAGTACGGTATTTCTGGTCTTACTTTTCTACTAGCCAACAACCAAATAGCAGCAAATAACAGCTATGTGGTCCTACTGTTCCACATATGTCTGGGAATAGTTAAATGATCATTTGCACTTACTGCAATGAATAAGATAAATCAGCTGGCGCATTATGAAACAACTACCCAATCCTACCAGTGGCTGAAAAGGTTTTATGCCCTGCTATCTATCCTGCTCATATACATTTCTACAATTAATAAAGACAAAAAAAAATCAGCTTACCTCCTCACACTCAGCTCCATGGAAAACAACCAGACTATCACATTCCCTGCACTTAGATGGGGCTCGCAGTTTTCTCAGCTTATGGGTTTGAGCAGCTTTGGACATCTGAGCATTTCGGAAAGGACCAGGAGAACTGGCCGTGTCTGTCACCATCTCTGCCAGACCTGTAAATCAGTACAGCAAATGAGGAAGGTGACCAACTAGTAATGTGACATCATGCTGAGTTCTTGTCAATATGTTGACTGATTTCAGACCAGAGCAGCAAAAACTGAACCACTATGAGGGTAATTAGAGAAGTGATGAGGCTTTGTTGATGCCACATAATTATACAAATTGTAGCTTAAAGTAGTTTTCCTTATCTAGTTGTTCAAACATTTTTCACAACCCAATTCTGAAAGAGTTAAAAAAAAAAAAAACAACAGATAAGGAGAAATTAAGATGTGATAATTAGGATAAAACACACTTAAAATGTGTAAGGACACTTAGAGAATATCAGAAGGAGTTAAGTGGATGATCATGCTCTGTTGCTAGTGGAAAAAACAGAAAACGGTTGTGTTAGTATGTTATCTTGACTTCCTATCCATGCAGTGTAACACACAATTACATGTGATTCACAAGGGGGAAAAAATTTTGGTCAAACAGAAGAGCTGGTCTGCTGCTTCGATTCACAATGAGAAAATAAACAAACACACTGCCTGGGAGAGGTCATCATAGATACAGAAGTGTAAGCTGAGGCAAAATGCCAAAGCTAATATGACCCCAATCTGTGTGGTGTTGTCAAGCGTAAAAACATATGATGTAAGCCAAATTCACCAGAATCAGACATATACAATAGTGCTATGTGTTTGCGAGGAGCACAGTGATCATTATTTCTCCTTCCCTGTCACATAAGTGGGCATGGTGATTGACTGTTATTGCAAACAAGCACAAAACTGGTATGTATACACACACACATACACACATATATATATCCCCCTTTAGCTTTGTTTTATATATATACATATATATAAAAACATGGATCTGGCTTAGGAGAAGGGTGCACATAAAACACAGTCATAAAGACAAACGCATACAAAATGTGGTCTTGCCATTATCTGAGGGCGACGGTGGCTCCCTCTCATCCAAGTCATCAGCAGAAGACATGGTCCCAGTGGAGGGAGTTCTTGGCAGCCGTCGTTTAAAGTCGCCTGCACAAATAAATAGAAGTAATGAATTTTTAAATAACCATCTTCAGTAAATCTTTGTAAATGTCCAGTTTTACCACAGCTTGGCACAAGTACAACATTGTAGGGCAATAACGCTCTATGCGTGCACATTTAATGTTGAATGTTTCATAGCTTTGCACACTGTGGCAACTGGTGTCAGCTGTAAGGGGAAGTGCACTAGAAGATGAGTGGTGTATGTGTCTGGCATACAATAAGGAAGTAACACATACAAATTAGTATAAAAAGAAACGCATCATGAGCATCTTCATCCCCCTTTAGCTTTGTTATGATCTGGATGTCAAGATGAAGCTATTTTCTCTTTTCTAGTTTTCTTTTAAATTTAATTTGGGTGTTTTTTTATGGTTTGATGTCTTGATCTTATCTGTGCAAATATTGTGTCCTTTCCCTGCTTTAGCCTTTCAATATTAAAACGAACAAAAACCCTCAGGACACTTTTAAAAGAACAAAAGCTTGTTCCAAAAGTCTCATACCCGGGCTGGCGGTGGGGGAGTCCATGGACCTCGATTCACTGCTCCCTCCAGCACTCTCTGAGTCACTGCACATCCCACCCTGGCTCCCCTGACCACTGGAGGCCCAGGCTCTCAGTGGAGCCTGGCTTTTCAGGGCTGCAAAGAAACATACAGATCACCACTCACGCACAAAATTGTTAAATTAGCAACAATCTCAGTTATTTTCCGGGACAAGTAGTCACACAGATATTCCGTTCTTATGAGTAAATGATTCAGACTGTTTTGACTTTAGTTCTGAAAAAAATTACATGACTCAGCTCATATGGTAAGTCCCTGAGAAGATCATTTAAAGCTACAGGCAGGATTGCAGGCTGTTATGACCAGCAGCCAACCTACAGTACCAGTACCAGTAACTTCCAGCAACTGCACCAATCACCCTGGGTTTGAGGATCACACCAAAAATGGCACATTTCCTATTTTTGGGAAAAGGATTACTTTAAAGATGTCCAGTGTCTGTAAACATGCAGTTATCAGTTACTGGTTGTCAGAATTTCTTCATATTCTATGTTGTATTATCATAAAAAAAAGCGTTGTGCTATGCATAATGACAATAAAGAATCTTGATTCATATGCATGTTGTCATTTTGTTAAATGATATATTAAATGGCATTGTCTTCAAAGCCTGCTGATATACACAGCGCTCGTAAATACAAAGGCCAACCTTATTAAGCTTGTGACTGTTCCTTGTCTACAAGTACCTTAAGTAAAACTCATGTTTCATTTATGTACATGATTATGTACCTTGTATGTCTGTGCTGCTGTTTGACCTCTGCTTGCTGATCTTTGCTGGCCGGGTAAGAGGACTGTCCACTTCGTCTCCACTCAGCACGTCACAGGAGGTAATGGATGCTTGAGACAGGTTGCCATGAGATGAGTGAGTGCTGCCCACTGACCTTTTGTTGAACATATGCCTGGGGAAATAAAGTCAGCATTAGGGATTACAGTATGTGTGATGAAATCACTGCTAAGCAAGATTTCTATTGTCCCAAAGTTCGGGACTAATATATCTGTGTATCTGTGGAGGTGTGACAGGGCTGTTGATCAACACCAGTGACTCAACAATTACTTCACTAGGCACTGACACTTTTGGCTTTATTTTCAGGCAAAAAAAAAAAAAGCTTATTGTGAGCTGTTATATGTAACTATCAAAGCCTTTTCGTAAATACAAGTTGTGCTACAAACATGATCAAAACAGGAAGAGAAAATTAGGAAACAAGAATTAGTCCAGCCATGAGGCCACAAAACCAAAACACCATGTTAAATACAACAGTGGTTTCACAATAATGGAAGTACAAACTTGTCTCAAGTACAAAATTTACATTTAAAGAATGTAAATGTAGCATTTCTAGAACGCTACTCTTTTGAATAAATGTCATTATCTGCTGTTACTGTCTTTCGGTATCCAATACAGCTACAACAACATCAATCATCTTATCATTAAATTATACAAAAAAATGAAGTTTCAAAGCACTGTTTATTTTCTTGATGGCAGAAAATGTGTGCGTGTGTCTATCTGACATTGCTTTGACAATCTAAATACAGTCTCAGAGACAGACGAGAGCCAAAACTCTCACGCTCACAATCTCCCCTGCTGCATTCAGCCTACACCACATATTTCCTGAGGAAGGGCAACAAATTCTACACGCATTCTGTCGCTCCTTGGTTCTCTCTCACACTTGCTTCCTCTCAACTCTGACTCACTGATACCTTTGCTAAAAGAACTAAGCAACTTCTTAAACGGATGTGAACAACTTAAAGATATTTCAAAACACTGACCTCTGAAACTAACATTTAAATCCAAAATGACCTAAAACTACATAACTGGACAAATACAAATGTATGTCCTGAGCTGAGCTCAGTCTATACTGTCTGTCTCCTATTACTGCTGTATATTCAACAATCTGCCCTGTGAAAAAAGTGTTTGAACTACTGTAAGCTATCATACAGGAATATTGCAAGCAGATTTCATAATACTTGCACACAGCTGAGGAACTTAAGTCAGCTTGTTAATTTCATGTTTTGCTGAGCCACAGTCTTTGGTACCTGGTATTGTCAGAAGACATGGAGTCTAAGTGTAAACGCTCCTTAGGCAGATTTTTGGGCAGGTTCCGGACAAACTCAGCATAGCATTCGCCTGGTTCATACAACTTAGCGCTCTCACTCAGGGCCTGGTAGTGGGCAGGGAGCAACACAGTCTGCGCCTGCTGCATCTGGAACCAGTTCACAGTCACCTAAAGAAAGACAGATAAAAACTTGAATGAATGAGTGAATTACTCATTGACTGAATGCATGGAGGTACTCATGTGACTGTAAATAGATAAAAAAAAAAAGGCCTATATAAAGAAATACAACCAGACAAACATTCATGCATGTACTGTAGCTTCTATTCTTCCTAAAAAATAAAATCAAAACTACAATTTAAATGTAAAAATCAAAACATTGAGTTAAAAAAATGTATTCAGTGCAAACTTTCAATACTTGGCAGATTCCTGAAATCAGTTTTTAACATGAACATAATTCCCACTCGTCTTAAAAATGTGTTCTGAATTTGAGCACCAGGGAAAGTCAAATGGCTTGTTATGTCCTTATATATTTGAACTTCTATAAAATCTGAAAAAGGCATGTATGTTTTAAAATAGGTTTATTCCAAAAGTTGCCAAATACAAGAATCACAGCTCATACTGTGGATAGTACATTATGCTACTGGCTCAACATCAGTAATTTCTGAACCATAACTTTAATGCATATTCACTTTCATTATGAAAGACTCAGTAACAAATAAAATAAAATAAATGCAATTGGTGTTTCTTTAATTGATAAGAATTTTGAATAAAGGGCTGCTTCATATAATGTTAACCATTTAAATTATATGAAAACATTTAATAGAGATATAGGACCATTTATTGTTAGTCCTTGTATGATCAGATCTTTCAAATAAATTGAAGACAGTGAGTTTTATTCTTGAGTCTTGCAAATCTATTAATCTGTCTACAACTTATTTGTAAGCTATAGACTATATTAAGAAAAAAACTAAACATTATTGGACAATCCAGTTTCCTCTCTCATTTCATTGGTTTGTTATGTACTATCCACTCACAGCTTTTAGTGTAAGATCACACTGGAAGACCAACTCTCGGATCTGTGTGAGAATACTGCTCTTAGCATTGGCCAGATCCGTTCTCCTGATGCCTGCATCAGCCATACAGCTCTGATACTGATCCTGGGCCTCCTCCGCCTGACCAAAACAATGGATACAGAGAATAGTGGGAGGATGTGGAAGTAACACCACATTTCTACATACAGCAAATGTGAACAACTGCAATTCTGTAGGCACAGAGAGCGATACCATTTACTCTCTCTGTTATCCTCTCCTCCACATACCTTCTGCAGAGCCTCCTCCTCCAGCCTCCTCTTCTTCTCCAGCTGTTTGTTACCAGCATTATTAGACTGCTCCTCCTGGGAGCGGTTGGTAGATGACTGGGCCTTGTGGTACTCTTCTCTCCTCTGAGCCTTCAGCACCCGGGCTTTACGCAAGGTTGCATCTGCCTCTTGCTGCCAAATCAGTTACACAAGTCCATGAAATCAAATGTGAAACAGGTATGCAACAGATATAAATAAAATCAGGTATGCCACTGTGGTTCACCCATTTTGCATGTGAAGTAACAGTAAATGCCAGTTCATTAAAAAAAAAAAAGTGACATTATGTGCAATGAAACAATTGCTGCTTAGAGAATAGAGTTAAACTGAAATTCTATTACCATGCCAAAAACATACTCCTATAGATCACTGATGGCACAAATAAAAATTGATTTTGTGCTTTTGGCAGACTGCATGCCTGTGCTGGCATTTATGTATTTGACCATCTCTTGGTTGGCTGACAACATTGTAGCATTTACAGTGAAATGCTGCTCACTCGGTAATACAAAAAGGGAGACTATTAGAATTACTACTGAGCTAAAAGCATGTATCTATACAGACACTCTTTACATACCATTTTCTTCTGCTCCCTCTGCCACTGTTCCTTGAGGTCTTTCCTCAACTTGTCCAGCTCATTTTTGCGGGCCAGAAGAGGCTGGGAATAGATGCAAAATCACCACTTACACAGAGGTTTATCAAAGACAAGACATACAGGTATATCAAAGATGCATGTGTCCTGATCAAGAGGTTCTCCTGCAGTACATCATTGTCAGCTAGAGGCCTTCAGCCTTCATTCAACTCAAAACCCTAGCAAATATTCTAGGTTCAACCTTTCTTGATCATCTATTGCTACAGTCTTGGGTGTGTGTGCAAAATTTAGGATGGAAATTACAGGGCACAAAATAGGACAAAATAAGAAAGATATGAGCAGTATAAGAAATAAATTACTGATTCAAATGTGGTATAATCATGGCTGAGATTGCAACTCTTATTTTAAGAGTTTACTTTAAGCTGCATCTTGGCCAAGAGACAACCGTGCTAACTGAACTTTCTCAGATTTTTGGCTGCAAACAGAGCAACATATTTTTAAGGTGTGGTTAGGCACAAAATAAAGGTAACAATAACCTCTGTGAACTATGCACTACTTATTGTCACTCTTACCTGTATGAATTTATTGGTTTGAAGAGCTGTTGCAGTTTGAGTAAGGAGCTGGTTGTATTCTGTGTCTTTCTTGAATGTAGAAACATAGATATCACTGAATGGCATGTAGTCCTAGGACGAACAAAATTAAGAAATGGATGTCTACATTATGTAATGTTTTAATAAAGACATTTAGAAATACTGTAAGTCTATTTGAAGTCATTACTCTTTAAAATGTGGTTCTTTTGTTACCTGTTGACTGGCCAGTGTCTTTGCAGACTCTGCCATTTTGGCATAACATTTAGCATATTCAATATCTGAAAGACAAAAAAAGACAAGAAATTGTTTGTTTATAACCATTACTCGGTTATAATCAACAATTCATGTATGTACAGTGTGTTTAATGAAGCTGCAAACATAGCACAAGCACACAAAATCTCACTTTTATTTAATTATATA